GTAAACCGTGCATAAAAAGGTGGCAGATTTTGTTGGGAAAGCTGAAAAGGGAAAGCTACACTCAGCTCTTGAAGTCCTTTTGAGAGGGAAGCACTATCAGCGTTTGAAGATACAATCAAAATCCAGTTCTTGCACCAAATTTCAAAGTGGGGGTGATGTGGCTTGTTATATTGGTGCTGGGGAAGACAGATACCACCTACAGATTGCTTACTGCTGTACTAGAAAGAGAAGCAATGACACAGTCATGAAGGCTGTTGCTGCAGGCTGTTGTACGTATGTGGAAATGGCCACACCGTTGTTTGCTTGCTTATTTATTCACGTAAGAGATTTGAACAGCCGCCCAGCTTATGTGACATAATCCTACGCAGCTCACAAGAGTAATAAAAGAGTAAAAAAACAATAACAAGCATAGAAAACAACAAACAGAACAGATAACAGTATTGTAGCATTAGTATAAGTGGTTTTCCCACCATAAAAAGTAGACTGCAAAGCCCTTCCCCAAGAACGTTGTAAATCTATGTTTTTCAAACTCGACATCTCTGTTCTCGGAGTTGAAGTCCCCACATCTCAAAGGTGTTGAGGTTGAAAAACACGTGTTGTAAATGAGTAGCTTTGGATAGTGGGTGAAACTAAGTTTGCAAGGAAGAGAGGTAAGGAGAGTCAAAGAGGGAATACAGTCAATAAAATCCCATGTAATCATGTTTCATTTTCCATTGGGCATGCCTTCACTCTCATAAGGGACCATCTCTTGCTCATTGCAGGAATCCAGATTAAATCATCTTTGACAGATGCCTGTCTAGACCACACTTGAAGAAACTTAGTACCTCTCTGGCTAATTGCTTCTACTGTTCAATTGCATTTCTTATTGGAGCATTTCCCCTAACATTTCACAGAGGCATATTACTTTTCCCGAAGCATTATTTTGCCTTTGTGATATTTGGCAGAGATGGAAAACCTGAAATCCATCAGATATTAATCAATTACAGCTCCTCAGGAGGCTATGATGAACCGTGTCACTCTCTCCTGCTTGCTTGTGCTCCTGAAATTCAGCAGCAGATTGATGCTTTTCAATAGCAAGATGTTTAACTAATGTGTAAGAACAAGCCATGAAACAGGTGAATTCTAGGTGAAGAGCAGGCCACCACTTAGGTTGCAGTACAGATGATTTATTCAAGCCTATACACAAGATTCTGATAAACTAAAGTCCAGTACTAAATTGGCATCAGATCAGGCCCCGCGGAATTTAGGAGGGGTTAGACTTCCGCATGGTGTCAGGAAGGGCATCCAGCCAGCAAATGCTTAGCTCCATCCATTCGTCCTGACTCTACTCTAAATTAAGGAATTACAGGATTGTAAAAATAAGGAGAGTTGGAGCACTTGTGTGGGAATGCTATGATTCTAACTGATGATATGTTTAACTCTGCCTCCCGCTTCTGCCTGCTCTTTTCCTACAAGAATCAATCCATTAATATCTTTAATACACCTAAACTATTTTACTCAAACTCCAAATCTATAAAGCCCCCCCTAACATGCCCAAACTAGTTAGAACTCTATTCTCCAATGACCTAATCTCATTGCTGACCTTTTATATACTTTGGTATATGTATTTTACTACTTGTAAAAGACTACCTGTCAAGAATGAAACTTTGACAGCTACGTGCCTCTTCATTTCAACTTGCCATTAGAGTAAGGGGCGGGGAGGTGTTGCTTTAGAATGGGTTAGATGGAGAAATGAAACCTCTACGATTCTGCTGAAGACCATGAGAGCTTGAAACCTTTCCAAGGACCCCGCAGCAGGTGTGGAAAGGAAGCAGATGGTTCCCATAACAAAGTGAAATGGTTTATATGGATTACGTGAGAGGGTGGGAGTTTGGCTGGAAAAATTATTGTTTAATTCTATGACCTGATGTCTGGGAACCTCAGAGTTAAGTTTGCTTTGATATTACCATCCAATAAACAGTAAGATAATATTTAAATGCCATTTTAAAAGTTTATCAGTTAATAGAATTCAGGCTTGCGGAATCTAGGGTATAATGCAAATGTCGAATCCTTAGCCCTGCCCAAATTAAATATTAAACCAGTTATAATCCAAGGAGAAGAGTAAAATATTTTCAAGTAAAAACACAGTAGCTTACGTATGAACCAGGAAGTTCCTGGCAAAAATCTCCAACTTGTCATTCAATGACCATTGAATTACATCAGTTGTTGTCCTCTTAACCTCCCCTTCCAAGCCAGGTGACAGCAATGAATGAGCCTGTTAGTTTCACTTTCATGAAGAACTTCATAAATTTGAAAAAGTTTCAGATACAAATGAAAGAAAAGTCTTATCCGCCTGCCAAATTTGGGAGGTATATAAATTCCTTGTGAGGTCAATGCCATATAATATTGTTCCAATCTCTTCCCCTAGATCAGTGGTTCTCAACCTGTGGGTCGCGACCCCATTTGGGGTCGAACAACCATTTTACGGGGGTCGCCAAACAACGCAGTCCGCCATTTTTTCCCCTTTTCCTTAGCTGTGCTACTCCCTTTTATTCTATTGGCTTTTGAAAGCCAATAGAATAGACTCTCTTGAATAGAGTCTAATTCTATTGGCTTTCAAAAGCCAATAGGAATTGTCCAGGCTGTCTCTGCCCTGCTGAGCCCGCCAAAAGTCCCATTCTGCAAACGGTGCTGCACCAGTTGAGTAGTCCTCAACTTACGATCGCTTGAGTACTCCTCGACTTACGACCGGTTGTGGGTCGTGGCATTAAAAAGGTTGAGAACCGCTGCCCTAGATGATGAATCTAACTGTTCAATTTCTTTTTTCAAACCAACACAAAGTGACACACATGCACATAAAGCACACAAACACAAAAGCATATCAGTTTGTATTTTTTTTTAAAAAAAATGATTCTTAAGTCATTTTATTAACAGTTATAGAAATAAGTTGTTGTACAGAAAGGCTTTGTTATTCAACATTAGGATTGTAAATGATAAAAAAACACCTAATTTGAATAGCAAACTACTAACACTTACAATAAAGCAAATGAATTTGTAGTGATTCATAGTCCCTAATCAGAAACAAAGCTTGTTCTTATTTTACCAGTTCTAGTTTGTCTGGGAAGCAAAGAAGCATGGAATCCCAGTTCCAATATAATCCTAAGCACTTTCTTTCAGACTAATGTAGCCTAGTCTTCCTCACTTTCCATGTCCAGTTGGAGGACAAACAAACAAACAGGCTACTAGTCTGTTCATAAGCCCCATTGTTACTTAGATTGAGTGAAACAGAATGAAACTATAGTTTAGAAGTTTTAGAAACTTTTGGGGAGTGATTTCTACAAGGCTGTAGAACAAATAATCAGTGGAACGACTTGCCTCCAGAAGTTGTGGGTGCTGCAATGCTGGAGGTTTTAAAGAAGAGATCGGACAGCCATTTGTCTGAAATGGTGTAGGGTTTCCTGCTTGAGCAGGGGGTGGGACTAGAAGACCTCCAACTCTGTTATTCTGTAATTCTGCTGTTTCGAGGGATATAACTTTGTGTCTCTCTGCAATATGCAATTGTTTAATGTTTCAATAGACATTTCCCTTGATAAGGAGTTTCCTTGAAATGTGTGGGGGAGCCATATCTGTTGGCACAGCTGACTTTTTAAACTCTCTCCCCTCCTCACATGGTTATGGATCCCTTGTGTTTGCGTTCTCATGTGAATCTGCCCCAAGCATATGCTGAGCTGATGATGGATAAGGAAAATACCACCTGCATGGCTCTTTTCACACTGACAACATTAGTCCCATCTGTAAGAACAGGGCTAGAAAACTCTTTGTTTAAAAACTGGGGATTCAGGAGAGGCAAAGAAGGAGACTTAAAATAGACGTCTGTTCATTCCGTGGCCAGTTCTCGAAATATCCAGTAAACCTTCAAGTTGCCATTTATTGCAGGGTTATTTATAGTCGCTATAGTTGAAAGGGAACATTGCAAGTTTATTATTTCCTGTGTGGTAAACTATGACCACTTTGTTTATCTTGGCATTAGCCCAGGAAATAATATACCTAATTATGGATGAATTCAGTGTGTTTCCTGGTTAAGTTCTTATAAACTTACGTCTTCACACACAAACACACACATAAGGAAAAGTATTTCATAGATGTTCTCAAGCTGGATAGCCAGTGTCATGTTAACATTAACAGAGGATAGAATAAAGATCACGTGAAGTACTAGTGCTGCTTTATAAAGCCTTAGTAAGACCACACCTGGAATACCGCATCCAGTTTTGATCAGCACCCTATAAAAAAGATGTTGAGACTTTTGGAAAAAGTGCAGAGAAGAACAATGAAGTTGATTAGGGGCCTGGAGACTAAAACATGTGGAAAACGGTTGCAGGAATTGAATATGGCCACTCTAGTGAAAAGAAGGACCAGGGGATACATGATAGCAGTGTTCCAATACTTAAAGGGCTTCCACAAAAAGAGGTGGTCAAGTTATTCTCCAAAGCACCTGAAGACAGGACAGGAAGCAACAGATGGAAATTAATCAAGGAGAGAAGCAACCTAGAACTAAGGAGAAATTTCCTGATAGTGAGAACAATCAACAGTGGAGCAGCTTGCCTTCATCTGCATCACTGGAGGCTTTTAAGAAGAGACTAGACAGCGACTGGTCTCAAATGGTATAGTTGTCTCCTGAGCAGAGGGTTGGACTAGAAGACCTCCAATGTATCCTTCTCACCACTGCCCCCACCAGATTAATAGGTAGTCTATTAGCCCAATAGGCAGCCATTAGCCCAATAAGAAAATGAGATGGGTGGTAAGATGTTGAAAGCACATCCATTCCATTTCTAAATCTCTAGGAACTTGAAGGGAAGATTTATCTTGCCCACCTTGCTTATGGTAGACTTGGGTGAGTCTTTCAGAAAGATCCTATGTCCTGGGAATTACTTAAGGGTGGTAGTTGAAGATACTAGCTTTAATCTCAATTAGTCACCTTTAATTTATGTCCTTCCCTTTTCACCTGTTGTTTTGTTTTCCAGCCATCTACAATTACAAAGCAGTCCTGGATGTGGAGCTCTCTTTACAGGTTGGAGATACTGTTCACATCCTGGAGATGTATGAAGGTAAGCAGGCTCTGGATTGCCCAGAGGGAATGGGAATGGCTCGTAGATCCAGCACCAGACTCTGAGGTTTAGATTTGAAGGTATGGATCAACAACAAAGTGGAAAGAGACGAGGGAAATCCCAGGTGATAAAACAGATTCAGTTATACAGATTCTCACTGTATCAAGTTACAGAATGAGTAGTCCAAGATCTGAAGCAGGAATCTCAAATATAAGAAGTGGTGAAGAGCAATATTTTTTTCCCCAACATGGCCAATCAGTTGCTATATGATCTGGCTGCTCCTTTCTGCAACTTCTCTAGCTTGGCTGTGCTGCTTTAAAGTTTTATTGAGTAGAAGTGTATACGTGCTCCAGTATACAGGTAGTCTCAATTTACAAGAATTCATTTAGTGACTGTCCGAAGTGACAACGGCACTGAAAAAAGGGACATGACCATTTTTCACACCTAGGACTATTGCAACACCCCCATGGTCACATAATAATCAAAAATCAGATGCTTGGCAACTGACTCATATTTATGATGGTTGCAGTGTCCCGGGGTCATGTGATCCCCTTTTGTAACTCTTTGATGAACAAACTCAATGGGGAAGCCAGATTTACTTAACAACTATGTTACTAACTTATCATCTGCAGTGATTCACCTAACAACTGTGGTGAGAAAGGTTGTAAAATGAGGGAAAACTCACTTAACAAACAGAAATTTTCGGCTCATTTGTTGAGGTCTACCCATAATTGCATCGTGATGATTTTGGCTTGAGCAAAAGAGGCATGTGAGAACAACTGCAACAAGGAGCAGTTCTGAGTGTCTCCGAAGTTCTTTGACTACTCAGAGGTAACGTTGAGAAGTCCACATGATGGCCACAGATGTAGGTGCAGTTATATCTGAACATAAAGACTCTGTTGTGCTTTTGTAATTAAATGTAATCTTAAATCTAAATTCACTTCTGGCATTCTAATCACTGTGGTAATCTCAGTGTAGTCAGTTCAGCATGTCTGGAAGATGATACATTGGGTCAATAGGGAAGACTAAATTGGATCCCTTTAGGGCAGGGGTGTGAAACTCGCAACATCACATGACGTGTCGCAACATATCACAACTTTTTTGCCATTGCCGGCAATGGGGTGGGCGCGGTTTTGCTATGATGCATCCAGCCCACGGGCCGGCAGTTTGACACCCCTGCTTTAGTGGAATTTTAACCCATTTGCCTGAATTTTTGTGGCATATTGTGTGCCTTTTTATTGATCATTAGTAATGGATCCCTTGCTATATAGCTAACTTTCCCTGCTAGAATGGATGAGCGACTTCGTGTGTGATTCATCCCATGCTTAACCGCCAGTGAATTTCATATACTTCTTGAAAGTTGCTATTTCATTGTTATGCTCCAACAGACCAGAGAATACAATTTGAACTAATCCACCTTGGCTGGAAAGAGAATTGAGTCACATGAGGATTGCAAAGGGATGCTGAATCTCCATTTTCATGATGCCCTCCATCCTGCCAGTGTTAAGTGAGGAACTGCATACTTTGGAGTCACCAGCAAGTCAAACCAGCTGCTGATTTAACACCTGGTCAAGGCTTTATTTTATTTTCATGCTGGCTTCTCCTTGACATTGGAGAGAGCCAGTTAGAGCTTAGGTGCCAAAAAAAAGATTTTTGTTAGGGATGCTTATTTGCAGATGCATTGAGGAGAGTGGGTTCCTATAAGGAACGGTTGCTGTAATTGGGTATGTCTAGTTTAATGAAGAGAAGGACGAGGGGGGAATATGATAGCAATCTTCCAATATCTCAGGGGCTGCCACAAAGAAGAGGGTGTCAAGCTATTTTCCAAAGCGCCTAAAGGCAGGACAAGAAGCAACGGGTGGAAACTAAGCAAGGAGAGAAGCAACCTAGAACTAAGGAGAAACATCTTGACAGTTAGAACAATTAATCAGTGGAACAAATTGCCTCCAGAAGCGGTGAATGCTCCAACACTGGAAGTTTTTAAGAAGAGACTGGAGAGCCATTTGTTCAAAATGGTGTAGGGTTTCCTGTCTGAGCAGGGGGGTTGGACTAGATGACCTCCAAGGTCCCTTCCAACTTTATTATTATTATTATTATAGTAGATTTAATACAGCAGAAAACCAGGGCATTGGCTGACCTTACATATGGGAAAGAAAGACAAACAAACAAACAAACAAATAAGAAAACCTATTGATCCCATTCCTGAGGAGCCATTTAACCCAAATGGTTAAATCAGAATCAGCACTTCCTGTCAAGACCTTCCTATAAAGCAGTGGTTCTCAACCTGTGGGTCGGGACCCCATTTGGGGTCAAACGACCATTTCACGGGGGTCGCCAAACCACACTGTCCGCCATTTTTTTCCCTTTTCCCTAGCTGTCCTACTCCCTCTTATTGGTGGCCACACCCACTTGGGGGTCACCACAACATGGGGAACTGTATTATGGGGTCATGGCATTAGAAAGGTTGAGAACCACTGCTATAAAGGCTTTTCCAGTAGATTCGTGGAGAGTCTGTGCATCTAGATAGGTGTGTTACCTTGTAAATTGAGTGTCTATGGGATACTGAACAATTTGGGGAGTTATCTTTAAAATTTCCACTTCATCGACTTTTATCCAATGGAAATCTTGGGGATGGACTGAGTCATTCATACGAATGAATAAGGCCAAAGTTCAGAGACTGATTCAAGAATTTGTTTCCTTACTTAGCTGGTGGTAGTTGCAGTGCAAAGTGTGAAGACCATGCAGTTAATGGCTAACCTCTGCTCCGTTGATTATTTATTATGTTTGAACATTCCCAAATTTCATAGATCCTTATGTCATTGATACAACATTGGAAGCCCTAATGTGCTATTATCAATTATATCTGTCTGAAATTGCTTTTTTGACAAATGTATATACTAATAGGATACACCTTATCTAAGAATCCTGATGCGGGCAAATTTATAATATCCACAGCTTAGTGGAGGTTGAAGAAGGGAGGGGAGGGGAAGGGAGGGGAGGAGAGGAGAGAGGAGAGGAAAGGAAAGGAAAAGAAAGGAAAAGCTTAAGAAAGAAGATAACGGCTCCAACAAAGTGACAATTAAACAAAACATTGGATGCTGAATATCTGAGAACAAATGAGAATCATACCAGAGGAATGTAATGGAGTCTTTGGAACAGGCACATCTGGCCAGCTGGAGACCTAAATAAGAACTCCTGATAGCATCTCTTGTTATCACATCTGTTTTATGTCTAACTTGCTTGGTTCAATTCCTGGGCTTTCTGATTTGGGGGCTTTTCTATATCTGGCCATGAGATGCTTGGAGCCACTGTGTGTATGTGTCACAATGGCTATTGTGGTCCATGGCAGAATTTATCAAATGAGCTGAAACTGGTACAGTTTGTTCCAGGCTGAAAAGGGCCGGAGCTGGCATGTGGCTCGTTTATTTCTCAATGACGACTGTTCATAGCAACAACAGCCTCCATCTGGGGAGACACCACTCGCCTTGTTTACAGCTTTGCACAATTTCTTAAATTGAGTTTCGTGATCCATGTTGACATCTTCCCCCCAGCCCCCTTCCACTCCCAGAAACAATATAAAATGATGTCAGCAGATGATATTAGGGAGTCTAGCCCAAATTTCATACATAGTGCTCCTTCCTCCCAAAAAAATGTGCTTCTCTCTGGCTAGGTAGTTGTGGGAGTGGCTTTACATTTCTCAAAAGCTCCTTTATTATATTAATTTTCCTTCCCTTCCCACTTCGGATCCTCCTAATTTACAAAATTGATTTTTTCCCAGTACAGATAGTCCTTGACTTACCGCAGTTCTTTTAGTGACCGTTCAAAGTTACAACAGCACTGAAAAAAGTGACTTATGGCATTTTTCACACTTATAACCATTATAACATCCCCATGGTCACCTGATCAATATTTGGATATTGGGCAACTGACTCATGTTTATGACAGTTGCAGTGTCACGTGATCACTTTTTGCAACCTTCTGATAAACAAAGTCAATGGGGAAGCCAGATTCACTTAACAACTGTGATACTAACTTAACAACTGCAGGGGAGTTCACTTAACAACTGTGGCAAATGGGACAAAACTCACTTAACAAACGTTTCACTTAAGAACAAAAATGTTGGACTTATTTGTGCTTGTAAGACGAGGGCTGCCTGTGTTGCATTTTTTCTTTTAATTTTTTTTCCCAGTTGCTTAAGAATGATTTCCGTATTTTTATTTTTTAAATGTAGTTTAACTACTTTAAATGTGGTTAGAAACAACCCATATGCTGTTTTATCACAAATTATTTGGGTTTGTTCTAATTTCTGTAGCCTCATGAGATTAGTGATCTACATGGTGTTTTGTTTCAGAAGACTCCTAATTAAGAGATTCTCATTTTAGGTATTTTTATTATCCTGGCTAGTGAATTGGATCTTTGAGACTGCAAACATGTTATTAGTGTTCTCCAAACTGTTTTCCTCTGGATAGATTGACTGACTGCCACCATAATCCCCAGCCAACATCTGAATCATAAAGGATGTAATCCAAAATTTATAAACAGTCGCAGAAAAAGCAAAGCTCCATATATGACCTTTTAAATAATTGAATTCAGATATGAGTAGAATTACAGTTTAAATCTTGCTGAATTTTAATTGTAATTTAAATAACTTGCCTGCAAGAAATTTTAACTGAATGTTGTTGAAACTGGTTCCACGTTTATAAAGCATATGTTTGTAGAATCGTTCTACTAAATTCTGAAAATAATTTATGATTGTAAAATCATTTTTTTTGTATGTTTTCTTCTATCCTTGGCAGACTGGTACAGAGGCTACAGCCTTCGAAATAAATCCAAAAAGGTACAGTGGCTCCAAATATTTTTTTTCCCTTGTGTCTCTACTCTATGCATTAATTCCTCTGAATCTTTGCTCTTAAAATTTATTTGGCATTCCTGACGCAACTTCGTCTTCCTTCAGTCTTTTGATACATCTCCTTTCTCTCAAGCTTTTCCTAAACTTTGGTAGCATTTTAAAAAGAATATTTCTGGGTGTCGTGCATTTTACATTTTTGTGATTTTGCTGCCTACCTAATAGCTTTTCAATCATTACTGAAAACTTCTCAGCACTTAGCCATACAATAATTCAATAGTAATTAAGCAGAAGGGAAAGAAAACAAATCGCGGTGCTTCTGGCCTTTATGATTTAAAAAGCTGGTTGTCTGAGGTCCTGAGGACATTCTTTGGTGAAACCAGCAAGAAGAGCACCAAGGAGGCATGCTTATGGTTAATACAAAATGTTGTCTTGTTCCTCAGATGCTTTGAAGATTGGTAGGAACTGACAGATTATGAAAAATAAGGATGTAATGAAACTATCCTGCAAATTAAGTTAAGAGTTAAGCGTTAAATCTTGTTAAGGTTGTGACAGTCTAACAGCAAGCTGTTTTACCAGGAACGCACACTCCAAAACAGGTGTGCAAACAGCAAAAGCCTGGATTAGAAATAGAACCAGTTTGTGGATAATTGGATTATAATGACTGTTTACAGCGTTCAATCTATGGGTCACATGCAGCCAAATTTTGAGGTCAGTTAATTACTATGGAAGATGTGGGTGTGTTTAAGTAAGTCACTGTAACCAATTTAAAAACTTATGATGCAAAATGAGTTCATATTTGTGTAGCCCTGATTATGACAAATTCAATTTTGCATGATGCAAAATTTATTTCAATTTCTCCTGTCTTCTTAAGGCAAAGAGTGAAACATTCTACCAATGAGGTACTCCATATAGAAGGCAGAAAGGGAGCAAGGCTTAGTAAGACAAAATAATGGAAGGCAAGAATTAAGAAAATATATCTAGCTAAATCTAGTTTTTTGTCAACACTACTTGCTAAACTTCTCTAGCTCTCACTCGGTTTTCATAGCATCTTTGCTTCTATATTGTTTTTATATTGCTCGCCGTTTCCACCTTTAAGCTTCTCACTTGGAAGATCTCATCAGCTTCAGACAGTCCTCACTTTTTCAGGGTTCTTGATCCTTCCTTTCCTCTTGACCCATTCTCCTAGCTTTGGTAGGGTGCAGTATGTATTGAGGGCTGTCAAAATTCCAAAAATGCCCCCTGCCCCCAAAGACTGCCTATCTATTTTAATGTCAATGCAACAATTTTCAAGACTGATCCTACTAAAGTATGGGATGGCCTACAAGGGTATGGATGAAAGGGAGGATTCTGGACCACAGATTACCCACTCTGGACTTTTGTTCAGTTAATAGGAGTTCTGGGTTCAATGACTATTTCACTCAAATTTTGACAAGTTTCTGAAAGATCCATAGGGCTTCCCTTCCCTGTCCCCATCCCCATCCCATCCACAATTACTTGAATTGTGATTATTGTTTTCTGGATTCAATTCAATATTTAGGGCACAGTACCAAGTGAATACAATTCACTTTGGGTGGTGTGATAGAGAGAAACGGTTTTCTGTTTTCCAAATTCCTTCTCTATAAATTATATCCAGATCCTGTACAAATTGGAAAAGTGCCTTTAGATTTCCCTGGCAAGCTATCAAGCCAGAATCTAACTAAAGTAGCTACTTTGCACTCTTGGATATCCTCCAAGTGGGATAATCAAAGCTTTAAACTGCTTTGGAGCCATTTCCATATTGATGCTTGGTGTGAAATGCATCAAAGTGTCAGTAAGTCTCTCTTGATCTGTAGAAATTGTTCACCACAGCAAAAGTAAACTTTGCAAGTGATTGGGTATCTCATTCTCAATGTTTCCCCCAGAACTTTAATTCACAGTTCATTTCTCTTCCTGGAAGACTTTCTTTCTGAGGGAGGAATGGATGAAACGCCATCAATCTTTGAGTTGTTGATGTGCATTTTCTTCCGCAGGCAAAAATGATACTTAGTTGGGATATCAAAATGAGGGACCCCTAGAGCCTCTTTTTAAACACGGTCAGTCAATCTTTTTCTGATGGTGGCTAAAAAGAGACTAAAGAAGCATTATGAAGAGGTGAATCTGAAATGTACAGTTTTGGGGAAGGAAGTCGAATTTTCAAAACTGACATTAGTAAAAGAAATATACAAGCTGATCAGCTTTGTGTGTTATTTATTCCCCTAAATGTGAAAAGTTGTCCTGTTTGGGTTCTGGATTTCTGTAGCTTGCTTTTGGGAAGGAGTATAACCTCAATTTGTATCACTGGATTTATCCAGGACAAAGGATATACCAATGGGAGTCACTGAGAATGACTGGGGCAGCCACATAACTCTTCTTAAATAAATGCTGTATATTAATACAAAGGAATAGTTGTTTGCCTACTGGTGGCATTAGCTTTAGAGCTTAAAAAATATAATACATTTCAATCTATATTTGGACATCAAATTGAAGCATGAAAATTGATCTTTTAATTCAGTAGAAGTTTGTTGATTTGGATAGGTGATGCAATCAACAAGGAAGGTGACTGTCTCTGTGATTAGACTGTCTAGAAAACCAGTGAAAAATTGGAGGCAGAGTTAATTAAAAGAAGCGATGGGGAAGCTGCATGATTTAGCTGTTTATTAAAGTTTTGCTGCTTATGAATATACTTCCTCTAGGACTTACGTATCATGTGCATAAAATTAAAGACCAGCAGTGGGAACTGGAATTCTCTAATGTTTTCAGAGGAAATGGTTTCTTATCTTCCCCTCTTCCTCTTTTTCAAATTACCATATTTATTAGCATGATCCTTACATTAGAGAGATTCTTCTTCTTAGATTAAAACTGCTGGCACAGCTTCCTTGTGCATAATTCTAAAAGCTACCAGTGCTAATCAATTAAGATTGCATTGAAAGAAGTTCTTTATGGAAATATTCCCCCTTCTCTGCCAGAATATAAACGAACGTAAAACCATCCCACAATGTTTTTTGTTGTTGTTTTTAGTCGTTCAGTGATGCTACATGCTAGCTTTCCTACTAAAAATGTTCAAGATGATTAGGATATCAATAGAAGGCAATTATCTCTTGTAGCTCTCATGCTTTGGATCCTAAATGTAAGGTAGATAGCATCCTATAGGTATTCCAAGAGGCAGTTCTAGTGTTAGGACCAACAAGGCAGGGAAAAAGCAAAGATTTGGAAGGATATGAAAAGAAGGAAGTGGACCACTTTGTCTCTGATAGTTCAGAGAACTTCACATGATCAATATTATAGTACCAACAGAAGAGAATATTTTTAACTCAGGGTTGAACTGTGAGGTCTTTGGGGTTCTCTGTGCTTGGTGGTTTTCTTGTGCTTATGACTTATCACTTTTCTTCCTTGTTGTAATAGAGGAAGAAATTGATCATCAAGATCATCCTAAAATCAACCATCTTTGACATAGGAAATGGTAATGATTTTGCAATCCATGATGGTAAATAGAGCTGTTGGGCTAGAGTTCCTGCAGTGATTGAAGCTTGAACCCCAGACTCTTGCATTCATAACTCTCTACCCATTTGATAAAGTCATTGTTTGTTTTGTTTTTTTGTTTAGGGTATCTTCCCATCAACCTACATTCATCTCAAGGAAGCGACGGTGCAAGATGGTGGGTGAGTAGCCAAGATCATTTTTTAATTTTCAACAAATTCTGGAGTTCCGGATTTTTTGGAGTTGCAAAGATTCCATTCTGTGAATCAAGTTCTGCAAACAGTTGTCTACATTGTTTCTTGCGGTATTCACAAGTTTTGTTTATACAGAGTATTTGAGAACTGATATGAAATAGTGCCCAGGAGGTAGAGAGGTAAGTCTGAAGAAGGCTTCCTTTCGATAGCCCCAGACCACATCCAGAATGAGCCATGTTAAACTATGGGAACTTTTTAAAGCAATAATTGATGAATATCAATAAATAAGACATATCTAATACAGTATATGGATGGATGGATGGATGGATAGATAAATAGAAATATAGATAGATATAGATATAGATGTAAATCTAATAAGTCATAAATAGTTCGTTGGGTAGACCTTAAATGACCAACAAGAATTTCAATCACTTTTCCATAGACAAAATGAGACAGTAATTCCTAGTGAACTTCCATTGGTCCAAGAACTCACCTCTACTTTGCGAGAATGGGTAGTCATCTGGCATAGGCTTTATGTGGTAAGTATGAATTCTCTCTATTGGGCCACCATAAGCTCTCTCCCAAAGCAAATAACAGGTTCAGGTGGTTAAGCTTTATCATGTTCCCCCCCTCGTCCTTATAAGAATAGGAACAATTCTGGAAACCATAAAGAAACCTATTGGAGGTGGTTACACTTTGATTTATGTCCTGCCTTTCCTTCAGAAACTGGCATACATAGTTTTACATCCATGTTTTCCCTTTAACAGCCCTGCAAGGTGAACAAGGCTGGCTGGAAATATACTTGGTTTGCTTATATCTTCCTGCCTTTTCAATTTCTCTTCGATATTCCACTGTGGTGGAAGTATACTTGCTATACTTCCATCAAAGTGGAATGTTCAAGATAAATTGAAAAGGTAAGAAGATATAACCAAATACAACCTATTCAATGATCTAATATATAGGTGATTCATTTGGATTTAATCTAACCCTTTGAGAAATAAAAAAGTAGAAGACTATGAATTTCCTGTGGGGTCCTTTATGCTCTTTGAGCTTGGTTGTTTTCTTGCAGATGTTTCATTACCCAACTAGGTAGCATCATCAGTGTCAGAAGATGGGTAATTCTCCACTCATATACAAATGGCTTGTTCTATCAGCATTGGTGGGAGTGTTCTTGGTGATTTCTTGATTAGTTTGTTGTTTACAGTTTGATTGTTGATTGTCTGAGATGATAGTTCCTTCATTGGAGTACTGTTTGATTGTTGGTCTCGTATTAATCTTGGTGTTAAACTGCTTATCTGGGTGTTGATTGCTGGTGTCTGCAAAAAAAAACAAAAACTGAACTCAGAGAGCGCCAACAACCCCATAGTTCCACCCTGAGCTACATATATTCTCTTCTGTTGGTATGAGTTTCCTTTTAGTACAGAATGGCTTTGTTGTGTTGTTTAATTTTCTGTTTCTCATTTCTCATCTGCTCTAGGAGAACAAAAGCTCCCTCTTTCGCCATGTACAGCAGATGACCTATAGTCTGATTGAATGGCGATCCCAGATCCTATCAGGCACTCTTCCCAAGGATGAGTTGGCTGAACTCAAGAAGAAAGTCACAGCCAAAATCGATTATGGCAACAGGTAACATAGGCTGTCTTTTTCAGGCTTCAGTCACATCCTCAGAATGAACAATCAAATAGGTTTGGAGCCTTCTTGGAACTGCTGCAAGGGCTGTGTTGTAAACAGGAGAGAGGTGGTGTTGTATCCCTCCCCCTCTGTTGACAGAGGGCTGTTCAATTTTAACATAGATGGCCTCTTTGACCCCTCTTTCAAACCAGTGGTCCTAACCAGTGGTCCTCTCTGTCCAGAATGTGGACTTTGTGCTGTCTTCAATAGAGTAGCCTTTATCTTTGTCTTTCAAATGCAGATAGACTGCTGAATTTTGTTCTGATGGGTTTGTTCTCCTATGTTGTTCTTCTATGTCTCCTCTTTGCTCTTGATTACCTCCTTGCTTTTCTGGATTATTGCAAGGATTTTGGGACTGGATCTAGTGGTGCGAGATGATAATGGGAACATATTGGATCCAGATGTTACCAGCATGATTTCACTCTTTAAAGCACATGAGACAGCATCCAAAAGAATTGACGACAGGATCCAAGAAGAAAAGGTATGGTTTTTAGCATATTGTTTCCTGAACAGGAAGCTGGCTAGAAATAACTTTACACAATAATGGAACCGAAAAAACATTCACAGTGGTATAAAATGATGTGGCTGTTGTGTGGTGAGGCTATGCATCAACAAATAGAACTTGTACTTCCTTCTCAACATTTCAATATCAGTGCAATCAATAATTGCTGTGCTTTTTTTTTGGAGATGGCGAGCAGCTTTTCTGTTTGCCTAGGATTAACCTGGAAATTTTACAACAACTTTCTTTTTAAGGGGGAAGAACTAAAATCACCTTCTGAGCCTAAATGAACATTTCACCAGTGGCAGCCCTTTGAAGGAGTTCCTTAGGTGAAACAGAAAGAGATCCATTGCTTTATCTGGAGTGGAGTTTAAAGGCTAACTCTTATATAGTGGAGAATTACATGCTGAATATGCATTCATCAATGGTAGAGAAAAGATTAACTTCCTCAGATTTTTCCCTGTTGTACAACCATCTTCCTGAGTCCTGTTGAACCCTGATTGCTGGTTTATTTCAGTCTTTAACATGTTCTGTAGACTTGATTTGAAGCCCAGCAGATTTAATTCATCGAACAGCCAAAGGGAAATTCTGATATTTGATTCATAAGCATGTTGCAAGCATGAACAAGATAGAGCTGTGCTTAACGCATGTTAATAGAATAATCATGCTTTTTAAAGCATTGCTAATAACCCATGGAAGAAAGTTTAATCACTGTGCTGTGACGAGATAAAAACATTGTTTCTGGGAGTTTTGTTTGATTAACCTCTTGATTTAAATTTACAGGTAGAACAATATTTTGGAAGGGGAAAGTGTATACTTAGAAACACAGAAATGTGTTCCTTCCTTCCTTCCTTCCTTCCTTCCTTCCTTCCTTCCTTCCTTCCTTCCTTCCTTCCTTCCTTTTTTATTTTTTTTATTTTTGTCCGATGATTGACATGTGTTTATCTCAAACATGTTTAAACACAGTTACTGATGTTTGACCCATTACACCCACTGGGAGTTGGTTCCAAGCTTCCACTACTGCTTTCTAACCCTACTTTTGAACATCCCATTGACATTATGGTTGATATGATTTTGGTGCCTGCTATCATCTTAAAACTGAGAAAAGAGAGTCTATCTTTATAAGATGATGCTTGCTAGCTCCAGCTTTTATAAATAGAATTTGAATTGTAAGCCACCCAGAGTCATTGGGTTGAGTTGGGTGGTTATAGAAATTGATTGATTGAATGAATGAATAAATGAATGAATGAAATAAAATGCATTGACTACTGAATGTATGAGTGTGTATTCAGATAATTGGATGCTTCTTTTAGTTGATCACATAATTCATTTAATCACAGCCTTGATTCTACATACATGTTGCCATGGTGTGTGAGCATGCCACACTTTCAGTTTTAAGGAAACTAAACATTGGCAGGAAAAACAGACAGTTTTATTGGATAATTCAGCACATTCTGACTTTAATCTCTTCTTCCCCAAACAAGTCTCTTCAACAGAACGTAGATCTACGAGGACAGTCTATCTTTAATACAACTCACACTTACAGCCTGTACATCAATTTCAAGAATTTTGTCTGCAATATTGGCGAGGATGCAGAGCTGCTTATGAGCCTTTATGATCCAGACCAATCCAAATTTATTAGGTATGTTGTTAGTGGAATATTATTTCTAAAACATCTCTTAAGAGTATGTTAGTTGTATGTTGCAGTATGTTAGCTGCAATCAGCAAGATCTATTAAGACTTTATTGCTTGACGATACAGGTAATCCTCAACTTACAACTACAATTGAGCCCAACGTTTCTCTTGCTAAGCAAGACAGTTGTTAAATGAGTTTTTTCCTCATTGTACAATCTTTCTTGTCACGGTTGTTAAATGAATCACTGCAGTTGTTGGGTGAGTAACAAGTTTGTTAAATGAATCTGGCTTCCCCATGGACTTTCTTGTCAGAAGATCACAAAAGGGGATCACATGACCCTGGGACATTGCAGCCGTCATAAATATGAGTCAGTTGCCAAGCATCTGAATTTTGATCGTAAGTACAAAAAATGATCACGTCCATTTTTCCAGTGCCGTTGTAACTTTCAACGGTCACTAAATGAACTACTGTAAATCAAGGACTGCCTGTATCTCATGCAGGCCTGTTATGAAGGTGAAAGGCTGACTTTTTAGTTTTAAGAAAACAAACTGTCCTTTTTCTTTAAAAAAAACCCTGTGGCTTAGTCACTGCAATTGAATAAAATTATTCAATTTTATTTTTTTGCAAACAATATACAAGTGCTTTAGAACTATCTCTTCTATCAGTTTTCCCTTTGCTGATCTTTGTGAGCAAAAAAAAAAAAGTCTCAAACACTGTAATTTCCGTTTAGGGTAATTCTTCATGCTTTTATTCTCTCTCTCTCTCTCTCTCTCTCTCTCTCTTTTCTTTTGGACACTGGCTCATAATATTTTGCAATTTAAAATCAGAAGGACTTCCTTGTTTTATTTCTATAAATGCCAAAGCACCTGAAAGTCTGTTTCCTTTTGACATTTAGCTTGGACATAAAATTGCCTTGGCATTGTTTTAATGCTGGGCAAAGTGATTTGCATGTCCTGAATAGCATACCTATTGTCCATTATTATGGTTCATCACTCAGTCAGCCAGATGTTCAGATTGGATTTGGCATTTTTGTCCACCTATTGTTACGGTTCATCACACAGTCAGCCAGATGTTCAGACTGGATTTGCCAGTTTAGTCCACATATTGAGTCTTTACCAAGAACCTGGGACAGGCAGATGCAGATGTTTGATGGACCAGTGGTGATTTTGTCAATGCCAATGGTGCTCCAGTTCTTTTTGGATTGCACCAAAAGTGCCCATTACTATTTGCAATATTAAAAGTACTACCTTTGCTTTCTTTTGCCACCATTGTTCTATTTCTATCTGCAGGTCTTTTATTATTGTATTATTATTATTATTATTATTATTATTATTATTATTATTATTATTATTATTATTATTTTAGTGAAAACTACCTGGTTCGTTGGGGAAGTAATGGAATGCCGAAGGAAATTGAAAAGCTTAACAACCTTCAAGCTGTCTTTACGGTAAATCTTCTCTTTGCCTTCTGGGTTCTACCTACTGGCAGATCACTTCATTTTTATAACTCTGTTCCTTTGATACTTTTGTTGTGATAGCGTCATTGGGCAAGGAGCCAAGCTGCGAATGGGAAGGGTCAACATAATCTATTTCATTGTCTAACAAGCACAATGGTTTGGAAAGATGTCTCGGATTTATCTCTGTAACAAAGCCAACTAACTTTATTAAAAGGTCATTTTGACATCCATCCTATACCTGGCTGCTTTGATTATCAGCCACACCTTGGATAAGAGCTTTTCCCAACCAAACATGATCTCTGACTTTAGTGTGTTCCTTACTGTGTATCTCAGGGTTTTCCAAAATGGCTAATACCGAATCCCCAAAAAAGTCAATTGGATTATACCACTGTTGTTATTCAGAGTACTTCCAGTTAAAGTAGCATTTATTAAATATGTTTTCATGTAATAAATCTTTGGGAGTTGATGAACAATCAGAATATTCATGAAGGGGCTGATGAGCGGACGAGTTTTGGTACCCCTGGCATATGTGCTGGGATATTTGGTCTGTTTTGTCCGCTAGTCTTTGAGTTTTCTGGAGAAAAGCTTACCGAAGACCTTGAAGCCCTGCCCTCAGTGGTAGCCAATAATGCTTAAAATAAGGTTTGGAAAATTTAGTCACTTTAAAAGCTGGTATGTACAGGAATGTAACCATTAGGCAAGGTTCTGCATTCTAGAATTAGTTTTATTGACCACACCAACAGTGGTGGCTATTGAGCATTCTTCACATCTTGTCCAAATAATGCAATCTTCTCTAGAGCAAAAAAAGAGATTACAGGTAGTCCTTGACTTACAACAGTCCATTTAATGAGCGTTCGAAGTTTCAGCAGCACTGAAAAGCAGTGACTTATGATCATTTTTCACTCTTGCGACTGTTGTAGCCTTCCCACGGTCACGCGATCAAAATGCAGACACTTGGCAACTGACTCACATTTATGATGGGTTGCAGGGTCATGTGATTCCCGTTTGCGACCTTCTGACATGCAACATCCATGGGGAAACCAAGATCACATAACTGCCAGATTACAAACTTAAGAACTGTAGTGATTAGCTTAACAACCATGGTCAGAAAAGTCATAAAATGGGGCAAAACTCACTTCACAAATGCTTCTCTCTGAGCAGCAGAAATTTTGGGCTCAGTTGTGGTCGTAAGTCGAGAGCTACCTCTACCAATTTAGCCCAATTTATTTGGGCCATCTTGGCAACAAAGACTACACACACACACACACACACACACACACACACACACACACACACACACAGTCACCTCACCCCAACTTCTTTCCATCCGTGGAGCCACGGGGGAATTGATATTGCTTCACAATTGCTGAAATGATGTCCGTTCATGTTTGCAATTTCACTTTGGCAGAAAGTCCAAGAGACAGAGATATTTCCGCTGCAGCAAGCAAGAGGAGTGAATTTACCTAATCCAGCCAATAGAGATGGCAAACATGAAGTAAAAGCTGGTTCTGCTGATTCATTTCCCCTTGGCACAAAAATAACTCCTTGCATAAATTTTGATTATTTGAAAACTCCTAATAAAAATTGGCATGAGAGCCCATTTGGCATGATGGTTAAGGCAGCAGTCTAAAAAGCGGGACACCGGGAGTGCTAGCTGGGTAACAAACCTACTTGGGTGACCTTGTCCCGGTCCCTCTCTCCCAGCCCTAGGAAGGAGGCAAACCACTTCTGAAATCATGCCCCAAAATTTGCAGAGACTTGTCCAGGCAGTCACAAAGCTGACTTGAAGGCCAAAAAAAAAAAAAAAAAAGGTACATATCTTCATGCGGTTTGGACTATACAATATACATACATAGAGAGACAGACAGAGAGACAGACAGACAGATAGATGATAGATAGATAGATAGATAGATAGATAGATAGATAGATAGATAGATAGATAATAGAAAGATAATAGAAAGATATGATGAAGACCACACCTGGAATACTGCAGCCAGTTTTGGTCACCATATCACAAAAAAGATGTTGAGAGTTTAGAAAAAAAATCAGAGAAGAGCAACTAAGAGGAACAAAGCCCTGGAGGTTAAAACATACGAAGAATGGCTGCGGGACTTGGGTTTGGCTAATCTAAAGAAAAGAAGAAATAGGGGAGACATGATAGCAGTGTTTCAGTATCTGAGGGGCTGCCACAGGGCAGAGGGGGTCAGGTTGTTCACCAGAGCACCAGATGGAAGGATGAGAAACAATGGTTGGAAACTGATCAAGGAGAGAAGCAACCTGGAATTAAGGAGACACTTCCTGACAGTGAGGACAATCAACCAGTGGAACAGCTTACCCCCAGAAAACGTGGGCGCCCCATAACTGGAGATCTTTAAGAAAAGACTGGACAATCACCTGTCTGAAATGGTGTAGGTTCTCCTGTTTAAGTGGGGGGCTGGACTAGAAGACCTCCAAGGTCCCTTCCAGCTCTATTCTATATATGATAGAGAGATTAGATAGAGAGAGAGAGAGAGAGAGAGAGAGAGAGAGAGAGATAATACTCTCTCGTGTGTGTGTGTGTGTGTGTGTGTGTGTGTGTGTAGGTTATTCGGGTTTTCTCCCACGTAAAATTGGAAGTGTCTTGGTGACATTTCAACGAAGTCTCATTAGTCATCTTCAGGCTGGTGCTTTTGGCTTCGTGCTTCTAGGAGCAATGTGTGATTGTAGCTATTTCCTCCTTTTAACTGCCAGTGGGGGTATGAACTGATTGGATGAGAGCTTGGCTGTGTTCTGAAGACCTACACACAAACACCCGCGAAAACCTCAGGAAACAAATATCTATATCTATATCTATCTATCTATCTATCTATCTATCTATCTATCTATCTATCTATCTATCTATCTATCTATATTTATTGTGGGGAAAAGAAGAGGAGGAACAAGTGTTGGGTATGTTCGCTGCCTTGAGTTATTTATAACAATAATAAAGGATATAAATAAATAAGTGATATTCTTTTCCACTTGTTCACAGTCCAATTCAATATGCCCCAAGTAGTTTTATGCATCAGTGATTGTTTCTGTTGCCCTACCAGGATCTCAGCAGTTCTGACTTGATCCGGCCTCGAGTCAGCCTGGTGTGTCAAATAGTCCGAGTTGGCCACATGGAGTTGAAAGAAGGCAAGAAGCATACTTGTGGCCTCCGGAGACCTTTTGGAGTAGCAGGTACAAAGGCTGGTTGTTGGCTTCTTCCTTTCAAGAAATGCGTGTACTGAAAAATAGCAATGGGAAGTCCTGGGTTCAGTTCTTTATCTGGCCATTGGCATGCTGAGGTTCAAGGTGATAAGAAGATGAAGGCCCTTTCTCTACTGCAGAGTTGAAGTGGTCTTCACCATCCTTGATCCATCAGGAAACGACAGTGACATGAAACTGGCTGTGCCTGTCTTGCTTTTGATTCACCTGTTGCCCATCGTTGCTCATCTGAATTTCCCTCAAGGAAGGGAAGACAAAGATAGTTTGGGGGCACCTTGAGGTGGCTTTTAGATGATGCCAGAAGTGGGGGGGAAATACTACTTTGGCCCTGGTGTGTATAAGGAAAATTTAAAGTTGTCTTCCTCGTGATCTGTGGGTGAGATCATGAGGACATGGCCAGGGTTTAAAAAATGTGGTCAGGTTAAGTAAGCAAGTTACTGCTGTCCTAATAGCTGTTATTTCCTATGTCCTCTAAAACAGGGCTCTCCAATCTTGGCAATTTTTAAGACTTATGGACTTCAACTCCCAGAATTCCCCAGCCAGCATGTGCTGGCTGGGAAATTCTGGGAACTAAAGTCCACAAGTCTCAAAATTGCCAAGGCTGAAGACCCCTGTCCTGAAAGTATTTTCTGGACCAAAAAAGAGATATAGTGTAAGCAGCAACCTATTTTGTAAAGCCATTCTAAATATAAATGTGGTAGTATGCCTGTAATAAATTAAAAGATATTAAGTCATTGTTCCATAATACTTTGTTCTAAATCTTTCATGCCAAGAGAAGACCTTGAATTGAAGGTCTTCAGATCATCTGAATCTATCTTTTTTGTAACTGACCAAGAGAACAGATCAATTTTTGTGGAGGTTGTCTTTTGGTTTGATTTTTCTGTTCTCCATGTAAAGTTGCTACTGTGAGATTGGTGGCCAGATTAATCATGTAAATAAAAAAGGAAGGAACCAACCAATCAACCAGTAGGGCATGCTCAATACTTTGTGTAAATTATTTCCAAAGCACTTCATAGGTAGTTATATCTGTTTGCATGATAGACAGATGTTCAACCAACCAATGTTTCCTGAGTTTGGTTTAAGTCTTGGTTTCAACTAGCTTTTGTGATCTTACACACCTTAGAGCTTGAGAATTCCTAGCCAACATGGCCTTTGGTAATGTTGATGGGATTTCTGGAAATTGATAAACCAGTACATCTGGAAGGCTTGAGTTTTCACAGGTTTGAAATTTGTACAAAAAGTTCCCAACCTATGAAGACATTTTTGCTGTAATCAGTAAAAGCCTATTTTTTTCCCTTAGTGATGGACATTACAGATATCATCCACGGGAAGATGGATGATGAAGAGAAGCAGCATTTTGTTCCCTTTCAGCAGTAAGTAGTTAAAGTTCTTAAAAAAAAAAAAAAGAATGCACAATTTTGGAGGAGCTCGTGGTCAGGTATATATGCTTTCCAGAAAGTGGACGCGTCCAAGACAAAGCAGTGGGATAAGCTAAGACAACGTCTGTAAATTAAATTGAAGAAGTGAACGTGATTTATCAGAAGTGATTTCAGTGAGCTTCTGCCAAGGGTCTATACAGAGTCACTTCCTTAATTGATTGGAATTACATTTGATCAGAATTCTCAGCATGGAAAGAGCTGTACTTTAGTATTCAGACCAGCATGCATACAACTCATGTTTAGACCTTCCCTGCATGGGATAGGACTAAAATAAAGAGAGATAAAACAATGCAGGGGTTGCATGTGCAGAGACACAGGAAGTGACACACAAGTAGTTACAGCTCTGTCCCTACCCCCAATATGGTTTTCACCCTCATCCATTCATATGAATGAACAAATTATGTTTGTTATAAGACCAGAAAGTTTTGCCAATCAGCTTGAAGTCAACAGAGATCTACTTCATTCGGTCCCTGAAGCATTTGAATTATGTATGTACAGGTGTGTGTGTATGGATGGATGGATGGATGGATGGATGGATGGTGTGCCATCAATTCATTGTTTTACTCTAAGTGACCACATTGATCAGGTCAGACAGGAAGATCTGTTCTGAACCTGGTCTTTCAGATCTTCCTCCTGCAAGAAGAATCTTCTTATTTTTTTATTCATAATCTAATAATGTTGACAACCTGGAAATGTACCTCTTCTTTTTCTCCTTTCCTCTTTCCTCTTCAGGATTGCCATGGAAACATACATCAGGCAACGGCAGTTAATCATGGCACCTTTAATAACCTCTCACGTGATTGGAGAGAATGAGCCTCTCACATCAGTCTTCAACAAAGTTATTGCAGCCAAGGAAGTGAATCATAAAGGGCAAGGTACACACTGGAAAGATAGCTCCTGGAAGCATTGGGAAGAGGGGAGGGAGGGAGGGAGGGAGGGAGGGAGGGAGGGAGGGGCAGAAGGAAAGGAGAGACATTCCTTTGAGGTGAAAACTCATTCATGGTTTTGGATGGTTCACTGGTCAAGGACATTGACATGGGCTCCTTCCTGCAAGGCTGCTCAGAAAATCTTTCATCTATTTGATTCATTTTTCCTGATAAATGGGGAGAGCCAGACAAAGTTAGCTGGTACACTGATGATGTGTAGGTAACAAACTATAATACAGTTATGTTAGTGGGAAATTGCAAGAGGAGTTGGAAGTATGGCATGAAAGAAACAATGCTCTCAAAGGAATAAAAACGGGAAAAGAGATCCCTACATCAATCTGGCTTGGTATAAGCAAGGACAAAAAAAATGCTACTAAATCCCCAGGAGTCAAAATAAAACATGGAAGAACATGCCTGGTTAGGTATGTTACCATCCTGTAAAGTTCAACATTTACCAACTCATACTGTTTCTCATACTGGCTCACTTCTGTGCATAGATTATGCTATTTGTGATACATAAATACTCATTTTCATCTTTGTACTGTACTTTGAAAATCCTAAGAACAATCATTAAGTACAGACCCCATTGGAACCGTTTTCAAACTACAGGACTGAATTTGTTGATGAGGTTAAAAAAAAAGGTCAAATCATGCCCTGTGAAAATTGCCACACTCCTCCTAAAACATTTGCAAATAGGTTGCACACATGTGCTGGGAACACCTTAAACTCCACACTATTTTTTATAGAAACAACCCCAGTGCTTATTATTCTCCCCAAAATGGAAATGGAAGAATAAAGCTCTAATAAACCAAAAAAAGACTTTCCTGTTTTAACCTGCCACTCACTTGGGAGATCACAATTCTCATTCCTTATCAATTCTGCACGGATTGCCACTTTTTTCCAATAGCACTAATGCTGCTTTTTGTTATATTCTTTGCTCTCCAACCCCTTTTAGGCCTCTGGGTGTCTCTGAAACTGCTGCCTGGTGATTTAGCTCAGGTTCAGAAGGATTTTTCTCATCTCATTGACAGATCAACAGCTGTTGCCCGCAAAATGGGATTCCCGGAGATTATATTGCCTGGTGAGTAATTCTGCATCAAGGAAGGAGAAGAATGACATTACATCTTATTTTTTTGGAGGGGGGGAGAGAGGAATAATTGAGTCCAGATATCCCTCAAATGGTGGGCAATTCCCAGAGAAAAGAGTAAGACTGTATTCTAATTGTGAGATCCTTGGTGCTGAGTTTGTTGGTTTTCTTGCCAATGTTTCATTACCAACTTTGGGTAACATCTGAAGTTCTAGAAGGCTTCAAGCACTTGTGAAGTTACCTAGTTTGGTAATGAAACATCTGCAAGAAAACCACAAGCTGAGAGAGTACTAAGAACCTCACAGTTCAACCCTGACCTACAAATATGATTTTCTATCTGTATTCTAATCTCCAGGTCGGACAAAATAATGTTCTTATAATTCTGTTTTAATTGCAGGTGAAGTTCGGAATGATATCTACATCACTCTGTTGAATGGAGAGTTTGACAAAGGGAAAAAGAAGACTCCTAAGAATGTTGAGGTTACTATGTCAGTTCATGATGAAGATGGAAACATTTTAGAGGTAGGAAGGGGTTTCCAGAATAGTAAGTTGGAGATAAACCAAAGAAATCCCTAGATGTTCTGTACCTCTACCCAAATGACTTTCCAGAAAGCCCTTCCCATCCTTGTGACCATCTACAAAATCCTTAAAATGTGGATTTTTCAGCAGGCCTGGGATGGTCTGGTAACAGAGACTCTATGCACTGGCTGAATCATGTATAATATTCTGATGCATTCCCTCTTGTGATCTTTGTTATTTCTATTTATCTGTGCCTTGTAGAATGTTTTCATTGTTGGTTTTATTGTATGCTGCCCAGAATCACTTTGTGTGAGACAGGTGGTCATATAAATTGGACAAACAAATGAACAAAAAGAAATATTGTGCAGGAACTACTGCAAGCAGATGCTTTGATCAACAGGTGGATCATCTAATAAAATACTTTCACTCACAGAATGCATGCTTTAACTCTTGTTTCACCCACCCCTGGATAATCTCTGGTGTATGGACTTGAGTTCATTACCTTAGCAGCTTGTGATTTTTTTTTCTTCCCCCTGTTTGTAGCTGCATTCAAAATAATAAGCACCAATAAAACAGGTGAAAATTAACATGCTGTCATTTCTGTATAACATATATTAGTTTTGATGGAAGACAACCTTCAGAGGTTGAATTTTGTGGGGTCCTTGGTGTTCTCTGAGCTTGGTGGTTTTCTTGCAGACATTTCATTACTGAACTAGATAACATCATCATACTTAGTTTAGTAATGAAATGTCTGCAAGAAAACCACCAAACCCAGAGAGCACCAAGAACCCTATACATTAGTTTGAAAGGACTTTGAAAATTTGTGGAATATTTTGGCCTTCTTTGGAAGTTATGTGAAAAGTAGTTTTATAACTGAATGTTTTTCTCTCCCGTTATTGATTAAGTCTCATGTTCTGTCATTTGTTCCTTTTGCTTTTTGTTTTGGATATACTCCAAAGAAAGCTATCCATCCAGGTGCTGGTTATGAAGGTATTTCAGAATACAAATCAGTTGTCTACTACCAAGTCAAGCAACCTTGCTGGTATGAAACTGTAAAGGTGAGATTATCTAATGGGAAATTGACTTGGTTAGAATACTGTACATGCTTATGTTGTTACCGAGGTGAGATATATATCTCACATACAGTTAGCAACTTCAGTTATCTTAACATGGATTCTTGTGCAGCTAAACAAACAAGATTTAGAGGTAAGAAGGGCTTGGGGGAGTCCAAATATTTGGAAAAATACAACAAAGTCTTTTAAAACAAATATAAAAGAGAGAGAAGCAGCTTGCAAGCATGTTCAGTAGCCATTGGAACATTAATTGATTAAAAAAAGTGACTTGGGTTTTTTTTTCTATTGTGGTAAAATTAATTCTCCCTGTTTATATCCCATAAGTTTTGTAATGGAAGAAAAAGTGTGTCCTGAATTCTGGTTGTTAAAAAGACTATGACTAAAAAAAAATGGTTGTGGTCAAGTCATTTCTTTGTTGTTAATTGCGAAGTCGTGTCCGACCCATCGTGATCCCATGGACAACGTTCCTCCAGGCCTTCCTGTCCTCTATCATCTTGTGGAGTCCATTTAAGCTCACGCCTCCTGCTTCAGTGACTCCATCCAACCACCTCATTCTCTGTCATCCCCTTCTTCTACTGCCCTCCATCTTTCCCAGCATTAGGCTCTTCTCCAGTGAGTCCTTCCTTCTCATTAGGTGGCCAAAGTACTTGAGTTTCAACTTCAGGATCTGGCCTTCTAGAGAGCAGTCAGGGTTGATCTTCTCTAGGACTGACCGGTTTGATCGTAGGAGTCTTCTCCAGCACCAGAGTTCAAAGGCCTCAATTCTTTTGCACCCAGCCTTTCTTATGGTCCAACTTTCACAGCCATACATTGCAACGGGAAAACCATGGCCTGGACTATATGCACTTTTGTTGGCAGGGTGACGTCTCTGCTTTTTAGTATGCTGTCTAGATTTGCCATAGCTTTCCAATTATTATTTATTTTCTTACAACATACAGGTCTCCATAGAAATAAAAGAAGTTGGTCGCTATCACTTAAGATTTACTTTCCGTCACCGTTCATCACAGGAATGTAAGCATGGAACTATGACAATTCCTTTTTGATTTAGTAGCACAAAAGGGTTTGGAGGGAAGGGAAAAGGGAAGAATAGATTATGGGTTTTGGATTATTTTTAACCTTCCCACCCTAAATTGTACTTTTCTGAACCATTTGTTTGCAAATGTTTATGGAAATTCTCAGTCATCCAGGTCATGGTTGCCTCAAAGGTGCTTTTCCGAAAGGCAACTAGATTTTCTTGGGGTTTTTTTTCCTTGAAAATGTTTTGCTTCTTATCCAAGAAACTTCTTTAATTCGGAGAACTGAAGAAGCTTCTTGGATGAGAAGCAAAACATTTTCAAGGGGAAAAAAAGGATGTCCAGTTGCCTTTTGGAAAAGCACCTTTGGGACATTCATTTACAAAGAAACTTTTTATTTAACTAATTTGGCTCCCTATGTGTGCACAACTCTGTTCAATCCTGAGACGATGTCAGCACTTCTTTTAAAAAAAGCAAATCAAATCTTCTTGTATCTCAACAATTTTGATTGAAAGAAGAAAATTGCAGTTTCCAAACACTTATGGTGTGAAATTGCGTTTGGCTGTTCTTTTGGAAATCGCTTAAATCAGCTAAGGGCTCCAAAGAGGCTGAGCCTATTTTTATCGAAACTGTCTTGGAATAGAAGCCTTTACAGCGTCAACCCTTCTATTTTTGACATTCAAATTGCAAACACCTTTCCTCAGTGCAACCAAAATAGTATTTATCCACAGAAGTATTTAGAGGCTCGCATAAGTAAACATTATATATATATATAAGCAATAATCCAGTGAGACGAGGATATCCACTAGCCACAATTGCTACTCTGAGCTCCTGCACAAAAGAAAAAAAAATCTAAATTAAATAAATAAAAGGTAAAGGAATCCCTGAGGATTTTACTCAGCTAGTCATTGCCGACTTTAACGGGGTGATGCTCATCTCCATTTCAGGGCCATTGAGATAGCGCTGGATGAAGACCTTTCTGCGGTCATTTTGCCAGCATAACATCAACAGAGCATGGTTACCTTCCCACCATAGTGATACCTAGCAGGATAATTCTACTGATGTTTGTTTCTCTGCAGCAAGAGATAAATCCGAACGGGCTTTTGGGATGGCCTTTCTGAAGCTGATGAATGTAGATGGTACCACTCTGCAGGATGGCAGGCATAATTTATTAGTCTACAAGGTATGGTTCTATTTGTTTATTTACTGGCTTACTTATTTTAGAAGATCTTGATTCTTTGATCCATTCAAACCTCTTTCTGAGAGACAGGCTGCCTACAAAATAGCCAGCACCTGAGCTGCTGATACCCTATCCATTTAAGACCTCTTCCCAGACAGCCCAGCAAAGTGCAGCTATAAAAACTGATCAGGGAGACAGCTGGGTATGGCAGTGTTGTTGTGATGGTGTTAGCATTTGGGAGAGTGGGAAGGAGGTGGGTATGTGTTCATAAAATAGCTTGAAGCAGCCTAACAGAAGATAGAATGACAAACTAATCTCCAACAGTAGGATTCATAAGAAGTAGTAGTTGGAGGAGTAACTGATGGTGTAGTAAGAATGAGAAAGAGTGTAATAGTGAACAGTATGTACTCGTCTTGAGTACCTGTGTGTGTGTGTTGTGTAAGGACCCATGTGGTTGAGTTGGTTCTCTTGAGTTTTGGAGCCCACGGATTGGATATATGTAAAAGAAACCATGACACTCTTTCTTACATTCGTCTGCCTTAGAACAAATAGTTGATGCTGGATTATTAATGATTAATACTCAATATACTGTTAATAATTAATACTGTTTTTGGTTTCCTGTTGTCAGGGTGAAAACAAAAAAATGGAAGATGCTAAGTTTTACTTGACGCTTCCCAGCACCAAGATGGAAGTAGAAGACAGAGATGTAGTTGCATCCAAGCAACACATGACCAATTTTACTCTCAATAAAGATAGCACCAAGGACAGCTTTCAGATTGCAACACTCATCTGCTCGACAAAACTGACACAGAATGGTAGGTTGAGCTGTGGGCAAATTGGAAAAGTAGTAGGCAGGTTGTGATTGGACAACTTGAACTATCCCATGAAACCACTGATCATAAAATTGGGTGTAGCCAGTGCTCTCTGTATTTTCTGTAATTCTGGCCATACGACTTTTGTGGCAGCTAATTTAATCTTTAGTGTTGTGCTGTGCAACGATCTACTTTTTGTTATTCCAGAAGGACTAGCAATGGACTTTGTGTTCATCCTTGAAGATTATTGAATAATCCTTGTTTAAATTATAGACACAGAGGGAAAAAGTTCCATCCCATTTTTTGCAGAAATTGTACCACCATCAGGTTGGGGGCTATGTGCAGCATTCCTAGCTTGGCCAAGGTTTCCCTAATTTTGATTTTCCAGCATGTTATAAAGCATAAGATGTTGCAAAGAGACTCTTGGAGCACTTTTTAACTTCTTTCTTATTCAGACAGAGGGAGAAATCCTATGCAGTTTGTAGGCTATTCAGCTATGTCTATCTTTTGAGTATATACAGAAAGTCTGTGTCACTCTTTGTCTTCTGAGACTTGACTTAATCTTCCCTGGTTACCCTCATGCCTATCTTCTCAATCCCCCAAACCTGGAAACTTGCTTGTTCTAGAACAATTGAAAGTGGTGATTTTCAGAAAAATTAATTCTTGTTCCCAGTACTAAATTGCATCTCTCTTTTCCAAAAACGCTGTTCAATACGAGAAAACAAATCTCTTGTGGTTACTTTTTACTAAATAAGATCATTGCTGGAACTCAGATACCTGTTCCTTATTTTGGTCTGACTTTTACTGCTTTGCTTTTGACAGTTGACTTGCTAGGATTGTTGAATTGGCGTTCAAACTCTCAGAATATAGGACACAATCTGAAGAAGCTGATGGACGTGGCAGGAGGAGAAATTGTTAAGGTACAAGGGGGCCACATGGGAGCAAACCTTTGGGATGGGTAAGTCTTTAAGGACCAGGGTCCCATTTAACATATTTTGGGAGAACAAATCAAGTACTCTCTTGGTTTGTAGGAGAAATGTAGAACATTTTTTTTGGCCAAGCCCATTTTCATCCTACAAATTTATCTATGTTACTAGTATCGAAACATCACATATTTTTTAGTATTGATGTGATATTTTTCTAGTAACAATCAAGACTGGAAAAAAGGCAAGGAACAATACTCCCTGTGTTCAACTCCCTTCTTATTCCTTTTTCTAGTTTTTACAAGATACACTTGATGCGCTATTCAGTATAATGATGGAGATGTCTGACAATGAATCCTACGATTTTCTTGTATTTGATGCATTGGTAAGTTTCCCATCTATCTGGATGCCTCTTACCAACTCTTTATTAACCAGTAGTAGTGTAGTGTAGATTCAGACATTTGGCCTAATCCCTTTCCCTATCATCCCCTAAATTAAGTGTTTGCTATAACAAGTACTTTATTTTTATTGATGTTTTTCATTGATAGACAATCAAGGCCACTGCACATCAGGTTTTTCCCTAATTTTAGGCCATTAAAACAACTTTGCCATTAAAAGAAACAATCTGAGATTGAATTAATAGGCAGAGAGATTAGGCCAAAAGAATCTGGAGCTCATTTGTTCAAATCCAATATCCCAGCCACTTCACTACACTGCCCATCTTGGTATTTCTCACTCTCAACAACTTTAAGATGTGTGGCCTTCAACTCCCAGAATTTCCTAGATAACCTGGTTTAGGTTGAGAAAGATCTATTAATTTGACCCAATCTCTGAATTTTTATGCATCCTCAGATGAACAATTAAGAGAATTTAGTATTAGGTGTATTTGAACCGCCTATCAGTAATTTGAGGATGGATTTATGAAGGACATCACTAACAAATTAGGAACTTATACTTTCTTGAGCTACAATGTGGGGCCAATCCATCCCACCCTCATCTGTGAAAACAAACTGATGATTTTGATTCAATGGGACATGTTCTCTCTTTCACTCCAATCTCATAGGACTGTGAGAAATAAAAATAAGTAAAATTCCCATATAAGCTGCCTGGAGAAAAGGTGGGATATAAAATCTAGAAGATGATAATGGTGGTGATGATGATGGTGCACAATCATGAAATTATAGTAAAAAATGAATAGATTAAACTCTCAAAGAGTATTATTGGGAAAGAGGGATTGTTCACCACTTGTATAACGCTCACACTTGGTATTGTGCAACCACACCAACATTGTTTAGGGATGAGAACTGTGCCTCAAGACACATATTGCAACAAGTTAAGACAGCTTTCTCTTTGCACACTGGATTTCTCAGTGTTACTATTGCTCGGGGCACCAATAGAGAATTACAGGAACCCGATAATCTGAATCCAGCTGCTTCAAGCAGTTTGGTACTGAGAGGAGTGAAACCGAAATCAAATATAGCATGCCTGCTCTGCTGGGTCCAATCATTTATGAATTTTAATTTTTTTTTCTTGTTTTAATTAGGTATTTATCATTTCCCTGATTGGAGATATCAAGTTTCAGCATTTTAATCCAGTACTGGAAACCTACATTTATAAACACTTTAGCGCCACCTTGGCCTATGTGTAAGTATCGTGTTTCATGAATGGCTATATTTTGTACCCCAGCAAGAGTCATTTGGTGCTCACCATTCTTCCAGGCTCTTGATAAATAAGTTATAATGTTCTCACAGGTGAAGGTTCTGTTACAAATGCATTCACACTGAATGCAAAGTAATCTTACTTACGGTGAACAAACCATTTTTGTTCAAATTCTTCTGATCCTTGTACCCCCCACTTTGAATGCCCTTTGGGATAGAAAGGTAAGAGAATAAATCCAAAAAGTAAAGAAGTGATGTAAGTACAAGCATTATTTTGCAGCACCATTGCTTCATGCCTTTTTGAAGACTTGCACCCAGTGAAAGGCACTCCCAAAAAAGCTTAATTCTCCCTCTGGCAAATAAATATTTGTTGATGTTCTAGTTTGAGTTCCATGTGGTGACTTGCCTGCCTGATGAGAAGGTTGCAATTATTCACCTGTAATCTATCTAGTCTTGTAGGTAAAATGGATCCAGGGCAGTGGTGGGATGCAGCCATTTCGCACCAGTTCGGCAGAACCGGTAGCTAATTTTTTGTTGCCCAGGCCCAGAATGGACTTCTGCAAGTGGCATCCACACAGAGGACCGGTTGTTCACATATTTGAATCCCACCACTGGTTCTAGTCCTGTCCCAGGAATGAAAGTCAGCTGGGTGACTTTGGTCCAATCACCAGGAGACTAGGAGTTTTAGTCAGTGGTGGGATTTAGCCGTTTCGCACCAGTTCGGCAGAACCGGTAACTAATTTTTTGTAGCCCAGGCCCAGAATGGACTTCTGGAAGTGGCATTCTCACAGAGAACTGGTTGTCCACATATTTGAATCCCACCACTGATCCAGGGTAGTACCAAGGAGGGGAGAAAAAGTAGCTAAATTCTAAACCTGAATTTATATTCATTCTCTCTCTCTCCCTCTCTCTCTCTCTCTCTCTCTCCCTCTCTCTCTCTCTCATTAGAAAACTCACCAAGGTTTTGAATTTCTATGTCGGGAATGCAGATGATTCTACTAAGACAGATTTGCTTTTTGCTGCTCTGAAAGCTTTGAAGTACCTCTTCAGGTTCATAGTACAATCAAGAGCTCTTTACCTAGGGTAAGTGAGAAAACAATAACTAGACATGCTCCATTCAAGTTTTCCCTTTCAGCTAAGACAACCATTATTAATTTGAATAAAAAGGTAGAAAAGGTAAAGGTTTCCTCTGTCCAGTTGTGTCTGACTCCAGGGGGCGGGGCTCATCTCCATTTCTTAGCTGAGGGAGCCATCGTTGTCTGAAGATATTTCCATGGTCATGTGGGCGGCATGTCTGTACACCAAAGGGGCATGGAATGACCTTCCCACCGAAGTGGTACCTATTTATCTACTTGCATTTGCACGCTTTCAAACTGCTAGGTGGGCAAGAGCTGAGACAAGAACAGGAGCTCAACCATCACGTGGTGCTTGGGTCTTGAACTGCCAACCTTCCAGTCAACAAGCCCAGAGTCTTAACTGCTAGGCCACTACATGCACATGCCATTAATTTGGATGCTCTGACTACATTGTGCAAATGGAAAAATGTATGCTGGATCCCTGAAGGATGAGAATTTTGTGCCAAATTTGATTTTACCATTCATTTTATTATTATCATTATTGCTTTGGGTCTAAAAGTAGACTGGACAGTGCATGGTTAAAATAAAAAATTGGGAAACATAGAAAACACAAAATGGTTCAGTATGAACCTATCATTAGTTGGCTGATTGAACCAAGTGATGTTGGCTATCATTGAAAAGACAGGACTTTATTTAATATATCACCATTAAATGGCTACAATTGCAGAGATTGAGGAGGTACTTTAGGGACTTTTTTAAATCATGCTTTCAAATTTCCATCACTTTTGGCCTGGCAACTAAAATAAATGAGCAGCGCAGAAATAAATCACTGTGACCTGAAAGTAGATATTCTTACTCTTAAAATGTGCTGACCTAGGGGTTGGCACTTGCATAAATGATAAATGATACTCTATCTCTGTATCAGCATAATTTCCCAAAACCTGACTAGAAAAAGATCGAATCGGGTATGGAGAGAAACCAGGAAAAGAAGAATCAAGATCAAAATTAGACCAGATTAACCTGAAATCTACAAAGGGGGAGGCGGTAGCCCCACTGCTGCACCCCCAATTCCCTTAGTCCATCCCTATGGAGAAGGCAGTTGAACTGCAGTTTGGATGTTAATAATTGCCCTATTCTAAGTCCCATTCCCTCATTCGGCTTATGCAGCCTGCCCTATCCTTCCAGGTTCAGTTACACTGAGAAACATTTAACGTCTGCTAGTAAAGGGGTTGAAAGGAATTTCAAAAGCCATGCTCTTCATAACTTCCCTTACTTTTATTTATTTACTTATTTATTTTGCAGATTTTATGGCAAAAGCGAAGATGGGGATGAGTTTAACAATGCCATTCGCAAGCTATTCCTCTCCTTTAACGTCCTCATGGATAGACCACTTGAAGAAGCGGTCAAAATCAAGGTGGGTCGAAAACCATTTGTCTGAACTTATCGTGGCAGGGGCAGCTCTGTTCTTGGGGAGAAGGACAAGGAGATATGCTTCAGGCAGCAGGTTAGGATGCCTGGAAAAAGAGAATCCAAGTTTTCACCTGTTGTGAAATGACTTGGGAACAGTCATTCCACTGCAATTAAAACACATGGGTCTCTAGCCTCTTTTCAACATAGTCAGCTGTTCCATATGGAACCCCTTCTTCGAAGAGATCTTCAGAGGAACACTAATGGAGCATGGCTATATAGAACCTGCTTTTAGAAGCAGACGCAAAGTATACAAGGCCAGTAGCCTGAGTTCCTACCCTTGATCTAATTCATTCTTAGAGCCTTCTCTATCCATGGACCTTCCCAACACGTTGGGCTTACAAGTCTCAGAATTCTTTTTTTATATATATAAAATTTTATTAGTTTTGCAAGATTACAATTCACAAGTGCTTAGTAAACAACATGTTGTTTTACTTAACAATACATATTGCGTTCCTAATCTCTACCTCGTTTTTCCAGCCATTGGTAAAATACTTCCCATACTTGGAAATATTCTGTGTCTTCCTTTTCTTTAATCTTCCGTGTAAGTCTATCCATTTCTGCACAGTCCAATACTTTCTGATTATCTCTTTTTCGGATGGTGTTTCCTTATTTTTCCAATACTGAGCAAATACAATTCTTGCTGCTGTTAATACATGTAATATTAGATATACACTTTCTTTATTATATTTCCCTGATAGTATACCTAGTAAAAGTAGTTCCGGTTTAAAATCTATATTTTTTTAACATTTTTTCTAACCAAGTATGTATTTTTGCCCAAAGTTTTTTTTGCTTTAGGGGACGTCCACCAAAGGTTGGTTTTTGATTGCACTCCCAACAGTTACTGGACATGTTTTTAAACATTTTTACTAATCTCACTGGTGGTAAGTGCCATCTATAAAACAGTTTATATAAAATTTCTTTCTAAGCAGTTGCCATTGTCACTTTATAGTTTCTTTCCCAAAGGTTTTGCCATTTTTCTAACTCTATATTGTGCCCAACTTTTTTTGCCCATGCTATCATTTTATTTGTTTCTTTTCCTTGTTCATCTTCAATTTTTAAATTTAATAAAAATACAATTTCTTAACCAAGTCTCAGAATTCTCAGTTGGCAAGACCATACTGCTGGAAGTTGTGAGGGTTGAGTTTTCAACTTATTTGAGGACACGAGGTTCAGAAAGGCAGGCCCAAGGGTTGTAGAGCATAGGAACTTTTGAGTTCATAGAATTCTCATCTGGGTCCATGTGGTAGAAAAGTTCACACATGTAGAGAATCTTAAGATCTTTAGAATGAAGGGTCAATTTTAATTTGCCTTCTTTTTGCCTCTTCCAGGGTGCTGCCTTGAAGTATTTGCCAAACATTATTAATGATGTCAAACTAGTCTTTGATCCAGTGGAACTGAGGTATCATATTTCTCACCCTTTATCGATGACAAGTAGATATCAAATTAAATGAGTTGCTGCAAAAAAGCTCACAATAATGGTTGCGCCGTATTGCATTTTTCTTTTCTGATTGGAGGGGAATGGCACCAAGTTTTGGAAATGGGAAAATAAGATTAACGCATGATGTTTGGTTAAGGAATCCCTATGAACAAGGGCATCCATGGGGAGAGGGGACAAAGAGAAACAAATGACAAGTGCACCATGACATCATGGTGCAAATGATACAACTTACATGCTTTGGCCCACCAAATGAGAAGAGAGGACTCTTTGGACAAGACCTTGGGAAAGATTAAAGGCAAAAGGAGAAGGGGATGGCAGAAGATGAGATGGTTAAATAGTGTCATCAACACAATGAACGTGAATTTGGGCAAACGCTGGGAGACAGTGGAGGACAGGGGACCTAGTGTGCTATGGTCCATGAGGTCACTAAGAGTCAGACTTGACTTAGTGACTGAACAACAACCTATTTACATCAGATATCATGACATCATTACATAATTCCACCGTTTGTGTGACAATACCATGATGCATATGTTACTCCATTACATTACCCTGGAAAGTTATTTTACAGACGTGTTGGGGGGCTGCTTTCTAAAACTATAGACCAAACCAGTTAATTCCAAAATATTAATGGAATAAAGTATTCTTTCTACTCCCTTTCCCTGAATCTATTTCAGTATCCTTTTTAGCAAATTTATTCAAAGCATCCCCGATAATCAGCTTGTCCGTCAGAAGCTCAATTGTATGACCAAGATTGTGGACAGTGACCTCTTTCGTCAGTCTGGTGAGTAAGGTCTTGTTCTCTTTTTCCTCTTTTCTTTCTCTCTCGTTCTCATTTTCAGTGTTCCAATGGTGTACTGAATCCGCAAAATGCCAATTGCTCTACAAAACTCAATGGAGCAAGCTCATGTCATAATAGCATCTTCTACCATGGGTCCTAGATAAGCCAGTGTAGGCAACTGGCCAGTGTAGGCCCCTGCTGACAGTTGAAGATTGCACTCTTTCCTTGTCTATTTACCCAGCATTCTAAGTGGTGTAAGTGAAGGAGTAAATATAGTTTTCCATATCATAAGGATGTTCAGAATTATAACTCTGTACCTTTTGGAGATCTATGTTTTCCCTCTATTCTTGAATTATGGACAAAATGTTGATTCTGTTTTTGGAGTTGTTGTTGTTTTTTTTTAAAAAAAAATGGAAATCAATACCTGACTCATTTCAAGCACAGTCAGATGTGTTGACTTGTTTCTATATTTCTTCTTCATTCTGTATCCCAGAATGCCGTGACGTTCTTCTCCCCCTGCTGGTAGACCAGCTAAGTGGACAACTGGATGATAATTCTCACAAACCGGACCATGAAGCCTGCTCACAGTTGCTTAGCAATATTCTTGAGATACTTGATCGGAAAGAGGTGGTAAGTACCTGTTTTTTTTTCTTCCATCCTTCCTCAAGAGTAACAGTATCTACAACTTCGTAGAGCAGCTGCTTTGGAAATGAAAATGAACGGTTGTAGGATGGATGGATGGATGGATGGATGGATGGATGGATGGATGGATGGATGGATGGATGTGGTTTAATTTTAATAAAAATGGAACCAGTTTGTGCTTCTTCAGGATGTATTGCTGACTTCTAGTCTTTTCAGATGTATATTTTTCACATCAAAATATACATAATGTTAACATATTACTTTCCAAGAAAAATCTAGGGCTATGTCATGAAGGGTACTTGATATTTTTAGTCTGCTGCTTTAGCAGGCAGTTTTTATCAGAAGGATAGCACAGATATAAGTGTTTTTAAAAACTCTCTCTGCCACTCCACAATTTTGACTGTCATTGCTCTTCTCTCTTTTTTAATTTCAACATTTATAAATAATTCAATTCCAAAAGCATAAAGCTTTCTCATGTAACAGATAGTTTGGATATGATGTTTTGAGGCAGGATTTTGAACTCTGAAAATTGTATGGAACTGAAAATTGAAGGAGGACTCTCTTAAAAAAATTAGTAGCAAGGGAAAGGTTAGACAAGAGGGCAAACAGATGGAATATGTTTACATACAGTATAATCATAATTACATATCTTCTCTCACTGTGTAGCTCCCTAGTCAATGCGGGGAAAGAATTCTATAGAATATTCAGAAAAGACAAAAATAACCAAAATTAAGCATAGAGTAATTTGGTCTCAATGACACCACAAGAGTTTTATAGGCTATCCTGGGAAAAAATTTCTTCTGAAGAGAATTCATCATGGAATAGAGAAGGATTTGTTTACCAAATTGGGAATGGCAAAGAAAGAGACATACAGAGAAAGGAATTTCTCCCTTGCCTTTTCAGTCTAATTGCATAAAATGTGGAGGGATAATCTTGCAGCCCTAGAACTTTGCCGGAACCTCTTGTGACAAGGTTGTGAAAATCCTTGTGATAAGAACCTATCTCACTTGCTTCCCATTTCTTTGGTTCCTTCAGGGTCCAACGGCAGATCATATCCAGTTGATAATGGAGCGGCTTCTGAGGAGGATAAACCGGACCGTGATTGGAATGGGAAGACAATCTACTCACATTGTGAGCGCAATTTCCTAGATTCTTTTGTGCTTGATTTATTGTCTCACAACTTTGGGGGTACATGTCCCTTGTTTGAAGACTTCGTGTAGGAGTCCACCCATAGATTCTTCAGATGAGCTGGCGCATTAGAGAGGGGTCTTTCTTCCACCCCTTGACACTTGATGGTCAATGTATCAAATGGCACAGAGGCATTGCCTTTTCCCCAGCCTAAACATGAGGATTTTTTTTACATAGACCAGAGATGGAAGACCTTCTTTATCTCATCTTCTTCCTTCAGTGCCTGGAGGCAACAGAAGGGAAGATAGACACAGTCATCATATTTCTGGAGGGAGCGGGACCAAAATCCTGTTTTTTTCCCTTTTGTTGGAAAAACAAAAGTTAGAAAATAGTTGTAACTTTAAAAAAAAATATTGATATATATAGGGTCAGCTACTAGACCAGGGGCTCTTTTATGACTCGTGGACTTCAACTCTCAGAATTCCTAAGCCAGCCACGCTGAAGGGAAAGGGAGAGGTTTCCATGTTGAGCCATGCTGGCTCAGGAATTCTGGGAGTTGAAGTCCATGAGTCATAAAAGAGCCAAGGTTGCCTACCCCTGTACTAGACAGTTGTAGTTGAATATTTTATAGCTGAATATTTTATCTCTCACCCAAGCATGTCTTCCTGTGGGCATTGAAAATTTAACTTCTCAAGACTGATCATCTTATAAATCAGTAAAGATCTCTGGTGGTCCATCTTGTCCCAATCCTAAATTTCAAAAGGGCCAACTAGTTGCCTTTTAAGAAACCCACAAGAATAATCTTAAAAGTATACATTTTCTCCAAGGCTCATGAATGTATTTATTTAGCATATTCCATAACACGCATGGACTTACAGTATATTTAAGGCTCATGAAAAGCATAACTGACAAAGGATGTTTTTTTCCCCCAATCTTGTTTCCAGGGTAGTTTTGTATCCTGCATGACAGCCATCTTAAGACAGATGGATGATTCCCATTATAATTACTACATCAGCACTTTCAAAACCAGGCAGGATCTTATTGTAAGTCTGATTGAAATTTTTATTATTAGGGTTCGTCGCACAATCAGCCAGATGTTCAAACTAGATTTGCCATTTTTATTCACCTATTGAATCCTTCCCAAGGACCTGGGCTAGGCAGATGTTGCTTGACAGTGTTAAAGTAATGTCAGAGAATGAAAGCTGTTCCAAGTGAAGCTGCCTTTTGCTGTTGACTGATGATGATTTTGTCAATGCTGATGGCATTTAAGTGGTGCTCCAGATGATTTGGGATTGAATCCAAAGTGCCTATTACTATTGGTGCTTTCTTTATTGTGATTATTAGCATTTGTTTATTTTTGGCCTGTGGAGCCCAGAGCAGGCTGCTGGGGGAGGTGCAAAATTGCTCCACGGCCATGGATCCGGGCTTCGGAAGCTTGGAAAAGGCCTCCAGAGCCTGGATCGGCCATGAGGGGGAGGGTGCGAAATCTGCAGCCATAGATTCCGGTGGCAGAGGCCTTTTCCAGGCCTTTGGAGCCTGAATCGGGCTGCTGAGGATCCACAAAATCACTCTGCAGCCATACCTGTATTCCTGCTGGCAGCTTGGAACCAGTTCTTCTGTTAAAAAAAAGGTGCCGGATCGGCGTTCCGTGCGTTCTATGACAAAAAAAAGCCCTGGTCTTGTTTATATGTTGGGAATGAAATGAAGGCAGAGAAGCATAGGAGAAGAAATGTGGAGGCATGACTGAATGGAAGTAGTGCATCCCCAAGGCATGTATGAGCCGCGATTAGGGGCAAATTTTATAGAAGAGCAATTGCAGTACTACACACCGGTCAGAAGGAGCCCTGGTGGTACAGGGGTTAGAATGCAGTACTGCAGGCTATTGGAATAGATTTATGAATCTGATGTAATCCAGATTTCCTTTGTTCCTGCAGGGGAGATGCTTGGTGGCCCATTGGCAGAACACCAACTTTACATGCAGGTTCAGTTCCTAGTGCTTCTGGTTGAAAATGATGAGATAGATTTCTTCCCTCAGTGTCTATTCCTATTTCAATCAGAACTTTAAGCACTGGGTGTGCTCAGTTGGGGGGGGGAGTTCTTTCTTCCTCCTTATTCTGCTCTTGGGGATACTGTGAATCTGCATTTGGCTGACTTGAGGCTTGAATAACTAAGGCCAATTTTGTAACATGGAAGAATCTGTAACTGTTGCCCAGCACAGCGGTTGGTGGAGCCTGGCATTTGTTTAACTTGCTCTTACAAAAAAAAAAGAAGTGGAATTGTGATGTTCTTTGCTATGGAGTTTCGCCAAGATGTCTTTTTTGAAGCCTCTGTATGGCATATTGGGAAGCTGGCAATGGTGAACTGTTGGAATGGGCTTCCAGAAATGCCAATTTTATATATGTGCACGTATGTGGGCATGTGTGTGTGTTAATGTGTTTAAGTAAAACTACTTGCAACCAAATCCTCGGGCCTCTCAGACTGTATAAGATATGTCTTCTGAGGTTTTCATTCTGAAATTTCCATAGCCAGGGATTGCGTTACTCAAAAGCATCTTTGGTATGGATGCTCTTACTCCAAGACTGGGACGAGTTAACTTTGGAAGATATGCCAGGAGTTGGGTTTATGCAGTCATCTTGAAAGATGCCAGTGATCTTGACCCTATCCTTTGCTGTTTGTGTGGGCTCAGATGTCAGTTCCAACCTCACACGTAGTTCTCTTGTAAACAGCCTTTCCTAACTTCAGTAGCTACTCATATCACTCTCTGACTGGAAATCCCAAAGTTGCTTTTTCAAGAGGCAACTGGACTTTCTTTGTTTTTCTCTTCTCATCCAAAAAGCTTCTTTAGTTCTGACTGAATGATAGAGAATAGAAGGATTAATATTCCTTGCAGTCATCTGGTCATTAGCATTCTTTCTGAGAGTCATTGAGGCCACTTGGAGGTTTATCTGTACCCTCAGAGTCACCTGAATAGTGGAAATAGGTGTGGGACCTTCTTGGAACTGCTGAAAGGACTGTGTTGTAAACAGGAATATAAAGGAATACAAATCCTTCCATTCTCCAGCATTTATCAGAACTGAAGAAGCTTCTTGGATGAGAAGCAAAATGTTTTCAAGGAAAAAAACAAAGAAAGTCCAGTTGCCTTTTGAAAAAGCACCTTTGGGACAACCATGACTGAATGACTGAGAATCTTCATAGACACTCTGATTGGTAAACGATGGCAGCAATGGTCCAGCACACACGGAGGGTCCTTGGCTGTGAAAAACTTGAGAAACCCATACATCAGAGGATAAGCAACATGATGATAGTTTTTCTGTTCCTTCTTGCCTTTTTTTCTTCAAAAAAGAAAGAAATGTTGCATGCAAAATATGTACCTTTGAGCATGAGGTTGATTTCCAAGTATCCAAATAAGCATTTATTCAGTGATGATAGGAATTCTTAGACCATTAAGGACCAACATAATGCTTTATTTTTGGTTTGTGTTTAACTTGAACTAAGCCTTCTTAACAGCAATGAATCAGAATAGTAAGACAGCATATTCGGATCTAGGAAATGTGACAAGTAGCCAGCTGATCAGGTTGAGTTTTGTATGAGTCCCATCATCACAGTTATTTGGTAAATGCACCCACCATATATTCTGACGTGGGAGAGGGAATGAAAGATTTAAATAATAAAATCTGAAGACTAAAGGCACATTTTGCTTTGTCTTCCCAAAGGCACAGTCTAGTAGCCATGTGAATTAATGCAGAGCCTTCTTTGGCTTCTCTTGGGAAAATGTGATGAAATATTAATCTTAATAATCAATACATTATATCTATATATAAAATAAATGGATGTCTCCCTTCTGGCCTTTGTGGTCCAGACATCATATCTGCCTAGCAATTTGGGGTAATGTCATTAAGCTGGTTGTTCTTAGCTTGATGGTGCCTCCATCTTTTCAACTAGAATTATATCATTTAAGGGATGATTTAATTATGCCTGATCCTATTTTCTTTAGCAGATAGCCATAGCCCTGTCTCCTTCTGTAGTGTTTCAGTCATGCCCAGCTATGCATCTTGCTGTACTTTTCATATGAAAATGACCTTTTATGTGGCATTCTTAGTTATAATGTCCTAGATTGTCTTGGCTGTTCCTGCTTGATCTCATAAAGTCTTGTTTATTTGAATCTCCTTGAAAATTTGAAATGAAATCCTTATAAATATCTCCTGCTATCCCAAAAAGTATACTTTAATGATAAAGTTTCTGAAGGCAACTTCTGCTCCACTGGTTCATTGTCCTCACTGTTAGGAACTTTCTCCTTAATTCCAGGTTGCTTCTCTCTTTGTTCAGTTTCCAACCGTTGTGCCTTCTGGTGCTTTGGAAAAGGAAATCACTGAGAATTGGACATGATTGAAGGGAAGAAAAAAACAAACATTAGGCTCATCGAAAGGCAGACAAGGAAAATGGAAGCAAATAGTAAAACAATACCTAACTGTCTAGATATGTAGTATTCATATGTGTGTCTAGCCATGAATTAAAAATAGGTGGGACAGAAAAAAAAATCATAGCATGATGGAGAAAAAGAGGATATTGTTTAAGGGTTAGTCTAAGACTATTTAGGGCAAGCTTTGAGTTCATTTTCACTCGTGAAACCCAGAGTAACTTTAGGCCAGCCTCTGCCGTACATATACATAGCTCCCATAGTTATGTTTTCTTGGTGGGGGCATTTTTATGGGACTGAGCATACTATCTTGGTATAAACTATCTTGGTATATTTAAAAGTAAGCATATCTTTGGGGGGAAACCTGGTTGTTGGATAGTATTTCTTATAATTTCTTATTATTATTTTCTTGAGTGTAGTATTGAGGCATCAAGTGCAATCTGGTCTAGGATGAGATTCCCACTTTCCCTTTAAGTAGTAAAACTTTGGCTTTGACTCCAAAAAATAGGTAGGGCCCAACTAGAACTAAAGTCAGGTTTAATTGAATTGTTGACATGTATATTTAAAAAGTTTCTACTTGTACCACTTTTAAGAAGAAGTTTTTATTGGCAATGCTAGGAGGTAGAGGGTGGGGAACACAGGAAGCCATGGAAGATCATAGCCTGGTGATCTCTGGAAGGATTGGGAAGACAGTTCCAAGAATTCCTAGTTAGTATAGCCAATTCTGGGAAGTAAGAGTCCAAGAACATCTGGAGAACATTATATTTGGAAGGCTGATCTATAAGCTTCTCAAGGCTCATATAAATCTGGGTCACTCTCCTTCATTCTGGTTTGTTACCTTCCCTGTAGGATTTTCTGATGGAAACTTTCATCATGTTTAAAGACCTAATTGGAAAAAATGTCTATGCAAGTGACTGGATGGTGATGAATATGATGCAGAGCAGGTAAAAAGCCTTATTTTCTGTCACCCAGAATATTATTTTTCCTCCAGTTCTTTGGGGTTTTTTCCCACATTTTTTAGCACAATGTATCAATCAATGGCCATTGTTCCAGGATTCTTGAAGTGTGGTCTGGATTAAAAATAAATGCATTGAGAGTATTGCTCAGCTATTCCTGGTTGTTTTATTTCTCCATCTTTAGAAGCTTGCTAACTTGTAAATTCTCTTGACTGTGGTTGCTTAGAACCGTCTAAATCAAATCTTTCAGTTTTGAGGATATAGACATGTGTATGGAAATTGGCACCATTGCTTTAAGAGCAGTAAAAATACAAATTATGCCAAAGAACTTGTGAACACACAGCAGGCACTTCCTGTGGTTTCACAGGGACAGGCTTTGCCTCTTTCCCAAGCTGATTTATTTTTTAATGGCTTTTTTTTTCCCTGCACTTTTCCAGGATTTTCCTTCGAGCCATAAATCAATATGCCTCTGTGCTCAACCGTTTCTTTTTGGATCAGGCAAGCTTTGAGCTCCAGGTAAGGCAGGACATCTTCTCTCTTTAATCACATGGGGCCTGGTGGGTTATCTGGGAGGTGAGTCGTTACAGTTTGCCAAATTTGTAAAACAGACATCACGGTTAATTGAAATAAGAATGCACATTTTTTAGTAAAAAAAAAAAACATTCGAGAACTTGCTTGGAGAAGTCAAGAGATAGCTGAGGGATCCTCTTTAACATTTATAAGGCATCAGAAATCATGGTAGATGGGGCCATATAACATGTCAGGTTTTTTTCTCCCTTAAATGCTGAAACACTTAAGGCATTCCTTTGTTTCTTAGCTGTAGTGCATTGAAATCTTATTCTATACATAGACCTTTACTTACAATCATAATGGAGTTTCCCCATCGTAGTGATAAGTCATGAAAGTCATCAATCAGGTCACTCATGTGACTGATCTTTTTTTGCAGCAGTTGTTAAGCATCAAAATGAATCAATGGTTTGTTATGGACCAGTTTTACCAAAATGCCCATTTTTTGGCAAAACCACCATAAAATGTGGTCATTTGACCACGGGACACTGGAAACAGCTGTAAATGCAGGCTGATGGCCAAGCATTCAGTGTGCAGATACACAACCACATTGGGAGGGGTGGCATCAGAAACTTTGGAACCTCATTGTAAGTTCCCCCCAAGTGTGGTTTGTTGTAACTTTGAATAGTCTCTAAGTGACTGGTCATAAGCTGAAGACTACCTATAGAGCAGAGGTCCCTAGTCTTTTGGGCACTGGGACCGGTTCCGTGGAGAAAAGTTTTTCCACGGACCCAAGAGTGTGTGGGTTTGTGTGCTGCCTGCATCCCATGGATGGGGCTTTGTTTGTTTGTGCGGACCGGTTGCTGGCATGCCATGGCCCGGAACCAGTCCACGGACCAGGGGTTGGGGACCCCTGCTATAGAGCATCTGGGTAATTCTCACCTCATATTAACAGTTGCATTATGATGACAGTGATTGGAGAGAGAAAAATATTTCAGAAGATTCCATAAAACACTTGGATTTCAGATTGCTTATCTCCGAGTTAGGCCAATGCAGGTTGTGTCAAGATCATTTTTATATGCTTCAAGTCGTAGTGAATAATTAAAACCCTAGTGTAGGAGAAGGAGAAGCAGTGCCTAAAGTTCTTATGTTCCCATTAGCGGTTTAAGTCCAATCCCTCTTGAATTTTGTTAATTCTTATCTAGCACCAATTTAATACTGACTGTTAGTCAACTAGATCCTTGTGTATAGGCATGAGCAATATATCAGCTTAACTGGAACTTAACAAGTGCTCCTGTTTCTTCCTGCCTGACACCTGGTTGTCAAATTCAGTGTTTTTTTCTCCTAGGATACCTTGCCTCTCCAATAATTGTAAGAGCAGAGGAGTAGATATCGAATACCTGGGTTGATGGACATATCACACTAAACTATAATTTGTTGAATACATCATAGTTTGCTGAGTTCAACCATTGCTTAACATATTACATGAAGTCAGTCCTTAAAGATTCAGAAGCACATTTAAGTCTAGCAGTCCAAGAACTTTTCAAGTTCTTGTTGGAGCAGATGTTTTGAGAGTATAAATTTTAATGACTCTCCTATCTTACATGTCATTGTATGATTTTATCTTATTTTATGATTGATCTGATGTCTGTCTCTCTCTCCTCCATACTCCCATAGCTATGGAATAATTACTTCCATTTGGCAGTGGCCTTTCTTACTCATGAATCCCTTCAACTGGAGACTTTTTCCCAGGCTAAACGGAACAAGATAATGAAAAAGTAAGTCTTCACCTGAGTTTTTATTTTTACTTAAGTTCTCCCACCACATATAAGTAAGTATTTTAATTACTTCTATCCCATCACATTTTCCTAAATGAATGATACTGAAAATCTGAAGAGGGGTGTATCTAAAAACATACATTACTGTCATATCAGCCCATAAAGCTTGATTGATTACTTTGTTAAATATTTACCTGTTAGATGTATATTCTGATGTTTTTCTGGGAATCAAAAGAAGTATAGCCCCAATTTATCCCCCCAGCAATGAACCTGTTAAGGATGTTGGTCAGCAAGAGAGTAGCCACCTATAATAGTTGGTTTCCTAGTTGATTTGGAACCAGGAGATAGTTATGAATATATTGTGCCAATCTTCTCCTTTCCTATGATATGGTCTTCTCATCATATCACAGGAAATTGTTAGAAAGATCAGAAAGTCTTCACCTTAATGTACACTGAAATATATTGTCTCTATACGTATATTGGTTATTTCTTTGAATTTTCATCCTGTTCAATTTAATAAATGCTGCTAAAGAGACCTTCTGTAACATATAGTCTGTGGAATCAGAATCAGTATTGGTTTTAGGAAGCTACTAAAGAACATGACACCTAGAAATCTGGTAGGCCTCCATAGTTAAGGGGATACTTAAATCTTTTCAGTTCTGCTTCAACATCCTTAATAGCTTTATCGGCTTCCATCCTTCGTAGGCACAACTCTTGCTTTGTGGCAATTGCCTTCAATTTTGATCAGTTATTGATGGTTCACTGACTATTCTTATTGACATGTTTTCAGGCAAATGGGATTATTATTTATCCTTGGACACCAGAGATGGTGGTGGTGGCATATGTAGTGGTTTATCAGTTTTTTTCATCTTGGTAAGCTACCCAGAGTCGCTTATGTGATTAGTTGGCTAAATAAATCCTATAAAGAAAATAAACAAGCAAATAAATGAAGCATCAGTTACACTAACGTGAACACATGTTTGAAAGGACATTTCAGACTTCATCCCAGAGATGATCCTTGGGGTAGCATTAGTCCAATGATTTAAGCAAAATTATTGAACACTCTTTCTTTCCTTTTCTTTCTTTCTTTCTTTCTTTCTTTCTTTCTTTCTTTCTTTTTTTCTTTCTTTCTTTCTTTTTGGTTTGTAGATATGGAGATATGAGGAAGGAAATTGGCTTCCAGATAAGGGACATGTGGTACAACCTTGGTAAGCAGTGAAGCAAATTGGGAGAGCAGATTGGCTTGCAAAGTTGGGCTCTTCAGTCATTGCTTCTTGGATACAGAAAGAATGATTGGGAACATCAGTTCTTTTGTTCATGTTCAAAAGAGGGGAACACTGATCACTACCCACAAGGAGGAGTCACTTTGATTAATAAAACGGCAGGACAAAAAGGGGAAATGGAATGTATTACCCTTATGTGAAGGGGAAAAACATATACGTATTTATCCAAAGATGCTTTTTCAAAGGCAACTGGACTTTCTTTGATTTTCCTTGAAGACATTTCACTTCTTATCCAAGAAGCTACTTCAGTTCAGAGCTGAAGAAAAAAAAATAACCACTCTAATAAAGTTTTTAAAAATATATGTTTTGCATGCTGTACAAATGCATCTATTAGGGGGTCAGTACCTGTGTGAACTGAATAAGTGTCCTAGTACAAAAACTGAATAATCTGGAGCAGTCTTTCCCAATTTGAGCAGGTCTTTAGCCTTCATCTCCCTGTAATCGCCAAAATAACCATTGCTGAGAATTCTGTCTCCACTGTTATATTGGTATGATGGCAAATTCCTACAGAATGTTGTAGGAAATCTAGAGAAAGTAGAAGAAGGATGAAGTTACAGGTCTCTGTTGGGCTGTTTGCCTATGAAAGATTTTTTTAAAAAAATGAGCTGAACAAATGAGTTGAAAGGGATTTGTGGCTGAACAGCAGCTGCTGTGTTAGACAAAGCAGACCATCTGCTTGATCTTCACTCCGGTTTTCCCCCTCCCCTTTTCTGTTTTCTCAGGGCCCCATAAGATCAAGTTCATCCCTTCCATGGTGGGCCCAATTCTAGAAGTGACCTTGACGCCAGAGCCTGAGTTGCGAAAAGCAACCATCCCTATCTTTTTCGACATGATGCAATGCGAATTCAACTTCAGTGGGGGCAGAAATTTCCGCATGGTACAGAATTGGCTTAATAGAGCATGAGGAAAGTTTGAGAACTAGTTGCAAGGAATTATGAATAAACTGATGAGACCTGCAAAGGAGGGATACCTGAAGGGAAAACATTGGTTTGTTCTTTAGGACAGAGCATAATTCTTTGGCATATATGAACAGACTTCAGCAGTGGGTTTGGTTAAATCAGTATCAAACCATGATTGCTTAAACTGGACCGTTCTTCAGCTTCCAATACGACTGGTTTATCTAAAATGACTGGCTGAGATAAAAATAGGACTGTTTGATCCATCTATCCTAGGGCTCCTCAAAATAATATCAAGCCTCAAGGGTCAATGGGGCTATCCAATGGGTCAATAAATATCTGGGGTCAGTAGATGTCTGGGGGTTAATAGATGATTGATAAATGATTAAGGGTCAGTTGGGGTCAGTTGATCTTCTTGGGTCATTTGTAGAACTTCATACCAATCTCTAGTCCTGTGTGGAAGGTGGCTAGCAGTGGGGCAGTGTTACCAAGGATTGGATGGTCAGCACCAGCAATGGCGGTCTTGAATTGTCTCTATTATTATTATTTGTAGTACTGTATTATTACTTAAAATATTTTCATATTCAATGGGGTACATCAATGAACAATCTGAAACTTCTTGAAGGAATCGATAGGCTGAAGAGCTTGGGGTCCTTCTTTTTTTAAAAAAAAAATATTTAATGGAAACCTGTTGAGTATTTTTTCTTTCTTTTGGTCTTCACATTGCAGTTTGAAAATGAGCTGATCACTAAACTAGACCAAGAAGTGGAAGGCGGTCGAGGAGATGAACAGTACAAGATCTTGCTGGAGAAACTGTAAGTGCGTGAGTGTTCTTGATTATCTTCCAGGTAATGTTTTGGGATGTGGTGTTGCTTTCTCACATTCCATTGCTCAGGGAATGTGTCAGCTTGCCAAGCGTACCAGGCAAGTTTATCGGATGAGCAATAGACAAATATTCCTTTTTGTCTCAAAGCATGGACATTATTTATTAATACACTCAAAGATGGATTTACATTGTAAGTAAATCTGTGCGTTGGTTGAATTTTCATATAGGTATAAGCATTAGGGCTGAAACAAAAGGTGCCTTTATTTTTTTACAGTTACAGAATCATAGAGTTGGATGGGGCCATTTAGAGGTTAAGCCTTCAAGCCATCCAACGAGGAAGTTAAACATCTATTTGAACACAACTCAGAAAAAGAGGAGCTTATCTGTTACATCAGTAACTGGTTCTATTGCCAAACAGATTGTAGGAAGAATGCTCCATTTTCTAACATTCAGCTGGAATTAAGTACAGCATTTCATATTTACTAGCTGTGTTTGCTAGCAAACTTTAAGCTTCTAATAGCAAACCACAATCAGTCTGTTCACAAAACATGTTATACCGATGCAGCTAATCCTTGACGTAGACCACAGTTAGTACGAGAATTTCCACTGGTAAGCAAGGCAGTTGTTAAATGAGTCATGCCAAATTTTTGTCACAGTTGTTAAGCAAAATCACTACAGTTGTTTAGTGAATCATGTGGTCACTAAATGAATCTGACTTCCCTCGTTGACTTTCCTTGTTGGAAGCTGGCAGAGAAGGCCACAAATGGTGATCCCATGATCCTAGGGTGCTGTAACCATCATAGATAAATGCCAGTTGTTAAGCACCCAAATTTTGATCATGTGAACATGGGTATGCTGCCATGCTTGTAAGAGCGAGGATTGCTCGAACGTCACTTTCTTCAGCGCCATTGTAGCTTTGAATGGTCACTAAATAAATGTCTCTAACTTGAGGATTACTTGTACAAATAGTCCCATTGTAGTTTCATGTGAATGACCTGTTTTCCACAGCATGCTAAGACAGTGATTAGCAATATTTTAGCTGAGGGAATGATTAAACCAATCAGTAATATCCAAAAGATTAACGCAGATGGTTGGTCACAATATTTCTCTTCCCTATAAGCTTTTTTACTTACATATCTTTGTATCTAATCCAACACATTATTTAAAATCAGGTGCTCTTTTTTTTTTTTTGTCTTTTCATCTGTCTCTCTGTTTTCTTTGACCCCCTCTCCTCTTTTTGGATACCATCAATGGAAATGTCTGCAGCCTCCTGGAGCACTGCCGGAAGCATAAATATCTATCAAGCTCAGGCGAAATCTTTGCCCTGTTGGTTAGCAGTTTGCTTGAAAACCTTTTGGACTACCGAGCGATTATGCATGATGGGAGCAAGGAGAACCGCATGATTTGCACTGTCAACTTACTGGTATGGGGAGAACGTAGAGCTGGGTGCAAGTCTTGGTTCCTATGAAACCATTTTAGACCCATAGACCCACTTTGGACCTGCTGCATCAAACGTTCAGAAACAGGTTCCACCTATTCTGTTAGCTGTTTGTTTGTTTGTTTATTTATTTGTAAAATTTATATGCCGCCCAATCCCTAAGGACTCAGGGTACAAAATTAAAACAACAAGTATAACAATTAAAAATGAATACATTCACACAGCATGTCCCAATCGAATCCCGGCCTCCCGGGGATGTTACAGGGACAATACATGTACTGATAAGTGGAAATAATGAAATCAGGATTATAAAAGAGCTGGCATGCTTAGAATACAAATTTTATGGGGTCCTTGCTGCACTCTGAGCTTAGTCCTTTTCTTACAGACATTTTGTTACCAACATCATTAGCACTAGTACAGGGGCAGGCAATCTTGGCTCTCCAGCTTGGCTTTTGGCTCTGAATTCCTGAGCGAGCCATGCTGAGGGGAAAGGGAGAGGTTTCCAAGCTGAGCCATGCTGGCTCAGGAATTCTGGGAGTTGAAGTCCATGAGTCATAAAAGAGCCAAAGATGCCTACCCCTGAACTAGTACGATGATGTTACCTAGTTTGGCAATGAAATGTCTACAGGAAAGCAACCAGGCTCAGGGTGTACCAAGGACCCCACAGTTCAACTCTGACCTACAAATATTCTCTTCTAAAAAGAATTTTGAGGGACATAATGCAGAAGCTGGCCAAAGAATTAATGGCATGGGGGGATGCCATTAATTCTTTGGCCAGCTTCTGCAGGATGTTTAATTAAGCTTGTCAAAAAGGCCCATGTTCTAAATGCATGCCAATAGCCAAGTGCTCAAATTGTGATCACATGTCTGCATGGACACTGTGATGGTTATAAGTGCGAGAACCAGTCTCTCTTTTTCAGCGGTATTTTAACTTGGGAGAGTAACAAATGTCATAAGTCATAGACTATCTTTATAGCAAATAAGTAAATGTGAACCCTGGCTTGGAAAAGAAATGGCAAAGGATCTGCTAAAGGAGGGGGAGGCACATGGGCTGGCTGGCTCACTTATTCCCTAAATTGTCTCACTTCTATTATGTAATGAGAACATCTGCCACCCATCATAAGAGACGACACATTGAGCATGACATTTTCTGACTTGCAAAGTGCTTCTCATCTTTGCTCACCTTCTCCACTACTTTGTAAGGCAGATCACTTTTGTTCCCATTTTACGGAATGGGGGCGAGACTGCAAAAGTATGGTTTCCACGCACCCACCCAGTGAGTCTGTTGGGAGATCCTTTGTCACCCATTGTCACACAGACCCACCTTGGCTTGGATGTGGTTTCCACTGTAATTATTTCTGCAGTGTCTCTCACAGGAAGAGTGCTTTGTAAGCTCTCTATATAGTCATGTTGACCACCAATCCTATTAAGGCATGCAGTATTATTCCCATATTACAGATGGAAGTTAAGGATGAGTGAGTCACTTGTACCAATGATCCTGGGGCTCAGCAATATGAAGCAATTTGTTTTATTCAGTATGGAGTCATGTGATTATCATTTGCTGCCATTTTTCACCCTTGAGAACCTTACAATTGCATGTTCCTAGAGTTTCCTTGCATGCCAGTCTCCAATATTAATTAGTCTAATGGGCCAATAGTTTGTAACTAACCTGAATCAGTTTTATCCTTGCAAGGATTTGGATCAAAGGTTACATTAGTGCTAACTGAACACTGTTTTGTTGTGTGTCGTATGAACTATGTGTAGAATCAATCCAAGCATCACATCAAACCATAGGTATGGAGATTGAACTATACTTTAGTGGTGTCTAAGTTTGCACAGTATTTTGCACAGTTTGATTTACATCAACTACAGTTTGAAAATCTATAGCTTGCCTATTTGAATACAGGCTCAAAAGCTTAGTTTAGATTCTCAGCTGACAAGCTTGGAGTGATGTCCGAACTGGATCAAAGTTGTACATGTTTTACATTCTATTGCTGAAACCATTTGGTTATTCCCAAACTTGTTTTTCTTTTTGCAGAATTTTTATAAGGAAAAGAAAAGAGAAGACATATACATCAGGTAAACATCAGCAGATTTTCAGACTTCTGAATAGGCTGTCACAAAACACTATAGTACTCCTACATCTCATATACTGTTGTTTTCTAGGTACTTATATAAGCTTCGAGATTTGCATACTGATTCTGAAAGCTACACTGAGGCAGCCTACACACTCCTGCTTCATGCGGAGTTACTTCAGGTAGGTGTGGGAAATCTAGAAGAGTAAGTCCCATGTACAACATTTGGCAGTAATCAAATTTGAATTTTGTTAAGGCAGCATTCTTCAACCTGTCAAGTTTAAGATGTGTGGACTTTAACTGCCAGGACTCTCTAGCCAGTTCTGAGAGTTGAAATTCATACATCTTAAACTTGACAAGGCTGAGAAACCCTGGGTTAAGGTATGGCTAGGCTATATCTATACAGCAGATGAAATCAGATTGTGCATAAAACAGCCCAGACAAAATTGATTTTTTTAAAAAAAAAATCTTGTTTCATTTCTCCAGTGCTCCTGGAGAATCCAAAACAAGAATGGGATCAAAAGCAATTCAGATTGCTACACTGAAGCTCGTCAAGGATGGAAACCTGTCCAAAACAAGTGGAATCTTGCCTCTTTGGCCAAACACCCACCTATCAAAAAATACCTCAACTTGTCTAGGTTGATATTATGTTTTCAAATTATCATTCACATGCTGCTGAAATGGATGTTCAAAACATCAGCAGCGACTAAGGCAGTGAGGCGAACCTTTTAGAGACCAAGTGCCCAAACTGCAACCCAAAACTTATGTATCGTCGGATGCCGGGTGGGCGTGGCCCATTGGGTGGACGTGGCCTCAGTGGTAATGGCAGACTGGGTGGGACTAAAAAGTTCAATCAATCAATTCCAACTTTGCGAGATCTTTTTCTCCCCACGAGAGAAAAAGTTGAAATTGATTGATTGAACCTTTTTTTTTTTTTTTTTGCACACAGTGGCGGAGGCCTAAAGCAAAAAGGTTTTATAAAACCCAGCTGAAGGCCTAGGACTGAGGCGACGGCGCATGTGCCCACAGAGAAGGCTCTGAATGCCGCCTCTGGCACCTGTGCCATAGGTTCACCACCACTGGACTAAGGCATTAACTGTGGAAGATAAGGAGATTACTCTGTTCTTCATCTGTCAGAAGAACGCTTACTGATTCCTCAGGTCCTTAACTCTCTTTCAGAAGAAGAGCTAGAGCAAAATTGCATATGATGTCCTTAATCCCATCTGATCTTTCTTTTATCCCAGTGGTCTGACCAGCCATGTGCTCAGCATCTGCTTCAGAGGGACAGCTATTACGTCTACACACAGCAGGAACTCAAGGAGAAGCTTTACCAAGAAATCATTGTCTTCTTCGACAGAGGCAAAGTGAGTCTGTCACAGGCACCCTCACCCTTAGTAAGAATGGGCTGCTGTGTTATTTACTACTGGTCTTGCTGTAATTCCAAACAAATAGGATGGCCTCTCTTAATCACATATTTTCACAATTTATTGATAACAGTGTGTATCATGAAGTCATAGTCAACTTCTAGTGACCACATAGGTTTTGTCTATGATGATCTCTCCCTAACCTGGTCCTTCAGCTCTTCCAGCAGTTGCTCTGGTAAATTGAGTCTTTCCATCTTTGCTCTGGTTGTCCTCTTCTCTTTCCTTCAATCTTTCCCAGCATCGGAGCCTTCTCCAGAGAGCTAGGAATTGCAGACATGCCATCGCCTTTTTGTTTTTTCAATCCACGAAGGCCTTTCTGATCCTACCAGTGGGGCAGTTTCCTGTTATTTTGAAATGGAAAAAATGTTCTTCACTCTTGAAAAGATAAAGCAGTATATTTTTTACAATTTAAAATACTGGAGTACCTATGATGCATGCGAAGGACTAGGAAAACATGAAAGTCCTGAACTTATTCTGATGTATATGCCATCCACACAAAGGCTTCAGCTCAATGTACATGAGCGCAATGTCTATGAGCGCAAAGATGGAACATGCAAGACTCACTGGAAAAATGAAGGGAGGGCAGTTCCAGCACTTAGAACCCACCAGAATGAATTTGGAAGATCACAAATGGTATTTAAAGTAGAAGATCACAAACAATATTGAGTAGCCATACGGAATATGCTTTAATCCATCCTTTTCATGAAGGAATGATCTGTTTTATCTCTTTTCCTTTTAACTTCTGGAAGATGTGGGAGAAGGCCATCCAGCTAAGCAAAGAATTGGCTGACATGTATGAGAACAAAGTCTTTGATTATGAGAGCCTTGGAAATCTCTTGGTAAGAGAAAGAGGTCTTTAATTGTCTGCTGGGTGAGAAATACTGAAAGGAATTGCCAATAGTATGGGTCCCAAAGGTGTTTCTTATGTTCCTAGTTGAGAGACAAAAAATACATTAAAAACTTGGAATGGCAGTAGTGCAAATGGGTATTTAGGGTAAAGAAATGTAAAATAATAATAATAATAATAATTTAAAACACTGCCCAATCTACTCTTCTTCTTTTTAACAGAAAAAGCGGGCCACGTTCTATGAGAACATCATGAAAGCAATGAGGCCTCAACCAGAATATTTTGCTGTTGGGTACTTTGGCCATGGATTTCCTTCCTTCCTTAGGGTAAGGATGCTAAGAGGTTCTCAGTGATGGTCCTGAATAACTCTGGGATGTAGCCTACAATCCTGTAATTATGACTAGCTCCCATCTTTAATCCAGATTGACAGAAGAATGTTCGATTTGGGGTAATCCAAAGCTTCACCTCTGAATAAGCAGCACTACCTGTGTATACATTTGAACAACTGGAAATGTTGAGAATCTGTTTTCGACTCAAGCCACCCCAGACCAGTTTTTCATCCACACAACTCCATTGTCTGAAGGGCCCGCTCTGTTTTCCTATTCTCCCCAATACTGAGAAGGTTGTGGTTCTCCCAATTTAATTTGTAATACTTGCCTCTTTTAGAACAAGATGTTCATCTACCGTGGAAAGGAATATGAAAGGAGGGAGGACTTCATTGTCAAACTGCTCACCCAGTTTCCAAATGCTGAGAAAATGAGCAGCACCGTCCCACCAACGGAAGTTGTCAAAGCTTCTCTTAAGCAATGTATCTTTTGGGAAGGAAGAGAATATAGGAACTAACTAGATAACAAAGCTGATACGGAGAGTAAGCTGGCAAAGTTGATGATGGGAGGGTTGATGACCATTTACCAGTCCTGGCTCACTTCTGGTGTCAGAAATGGACTATACAGTGTATTTAGCCGGTCTGTTTGCCATTGAGATCCAAATGGTTTGCCTGAAGTCCAGCATAAACTAGGCATTAAAGGCAGAGGTTGGATGCCTGGATCCAAAGCTAGGCTTGGAAACCAACTGTAAACCAATTTTGGATTTCATTTAGGTTCCCTGCTAAGTTCTGAGAATTTGAAAAATAAGTCCAATTTCCATTATTCTGTTGCTCAAAACAGATTAATGACATAGATTTCATTGTTGGGCTTATTATGTAACCTGGTTATTAGTTTTTTTTTTTTTTCAAATGCCTCACTTCCCCACTCTTTTTCCATTTTCTCAAGGTTGACTATTCCTTGAGCTGTCATCTGGATTCTTTATCCTGCACGTTGGCTGATATTTCCAGACTATTTCAGGTCTCCTTCATATTCCTTGGAAAGTTAATACTTTATTGTAGGTACATCTGTAAACAGAGCATTAGCTCAGATTATTTCTCAAACCCAGTATTACAACCTTAATTTGACAATGATCATTTTCATCATATGTCTCGCTTTTCACCTATGAAAAAGAGACAAACATATCTTTCTCTTTTTAAAAAAATTAGAAATACCAAGGAAAGCTTGCACATAGTACATTTCTGCGTGCACAATTAATATGATCAACCATATGCTAAGTACAACCTCTCAGTCAGTATAAAGGATCTACACCAGCCCTTTCCATCTTGATCTCTTCAGATGTTCTGTATTACAACTATCCCAAATGAGATCCGGAAGTATTCGTATTGGATAAAGATATTCAACACAATTGCCAATATGTCAGGTGCCCAACCCGCTTAGCTTTTGGCTGTATTCACACAAGAAGCTTAACCCCGGTTGCCAAGGTTCTGCATTCTTGCATCACACTGAAGTAAAAACTAGCCATTAGTCTGGATTCACACAATACCATAAAACACATTCTAAAACTAACCATAGTTGAAATTTATCAAGCTTAGCATGTCTGAATGCCATCACTAGGATTATAACTTACTTGGTTTAATGCATGGAGAAAAACCATTGTGATTGTAACCTTTCCCATTTAAATATTCATGTTCTTCTTAACGAGATCATAGGATCTTCCTATCCACCTGGTCACCACCTCATTCCTTTTTTCCTTAATTTGTACATGCAGATATACAGTGTTTCTTAGTTAAGCCTGTCATGAACCTTCCTCCAAGCTACAAAGACAAGCCGGTTCCAGAGCAGATTCTAAAGTAAGGATACACTCCCAATTTATCTCTCTGCATCTAGAAACAAATTACTTAGCTAAGGGCTGCTTTGCCTGGTTTTCATAAAAAACCAAAATGCAGAAAGACTGACTTCTACATTCTTGGCCATGATGGCACAGTGGTGAGAATGCAGTGTTAGAATTAGGAATTCTAACCTAATTCTGCTGACTGCCAGGAGTTCGATCCTGACCGGCTCAAAGTTGACTCAGCCTTCCACCCTTCCAAGGTCAGTAAAATGTGGACCCAGATTGTTGGGGTCGATATGATGACTCTGTAAACTGCTTAGAGAGGACTGTAAAGTAGTATGTAGTCTAAATGCTATTGCTATGTGCTAGTGCTATTGACAGCGGAAGGCATGAATAAATCTGCTTCCATTGAAGATAGGTCTGGTTGTTTCATAGGGATATATCTGGAACATGATTTTGAAATGTTTAGATGGAGCATTATACAGTATCAGATCATGTAAATACCCTGGTATAGGGTTTCTTGCCTGAGCAGGCAGTTGGACTAGAAGACCTCCAAGGTCCCTTTCTATTCTATTCTATTCTATTCTATTCTATTCTATTCTATTCTATTCTATTCTATTCTATTCTATTCTATTCTATTCTATTCCATTCTAATTGAGTTCAGCCATATTTAGCCAAAATTGAACAAACCACAATAATGTAGGAAGTTGCATGAAGTATCTGTTTAGTATGTATTCATGTGTTCTACTGTTTTCAACATCCACTCGCCTGGATGTTGATTTTGGGTGTTGGCTGAGATTTTACTTTAAGTTGTTCTCATCTGCTGCTTTAGCTTTTATAGATCCAATGAAGTGCAACAGTTCCAACACTCGCGGCCTTTCAGAAAAGGGGAAAAACATCCTGAGAATGAATTTGCAGTGAGTCATTTCTTCTCTGCCGTCCTTGTCATTTTTTCCTTTACGACGTGCCCCGCCATGCCGTTCAGATGTTGGCTTCTCTAGCTTGATTCTTTGGTTCCTCAATTTCGGAGGTTAAAATCCTTACATTCTGGTGCTAAACATGTAGCAAGCAATAGGACATAATAATCAACAGTTATACGAACCCTAAAATCTCTACTTATACAAAGCCCTTCTTTCCAGGGATGGAACACAAGTCTGGGTTATTTTTGTTAGTTGGCTTGCATCTTTTAGGACCTTAACAAAATTAAATGGTATGATAGTAAAGTGAGTGGGGAATAGATAATAATATAGCATAACCCCCAAAACATAAATGATCACTCTAACTTCAATTTCAGAAGAATTGGGGGGGAGGGGAAACCTATTTTAAGTCATATAGGAAATGTGATCCCCTTATTCTTGGACTACAACAAGTTGTTCAGCTTGAGTTTTACTTACTATTGCTTGTGCTGACTAGCAGTTGGTCTTGAGTATTTCAAATGAAAAACATCAGAGAAACTTTAAAATCCAACTTTTAGAACATCCTCTCTCCTAGTCCTAGTCAATGGACAGAGGGAAGTGCTGGTATAAAATAGGTGATCCTTTCAGTATTCAAGATCAAGGCATTAGGTGGTCTAGGTGACTGAAAAATAGACTGGAACAATCTTTTTTCCAATGGATTGACTTCAATATAGCCTAGGTCTTTACATGAAGGCCACCCAACTCCTTGCTCTTCCTGATTTCAATTTATTTTGGGGTCTTTGAATCAAGTAATGAATATGAAGCTAGCTGCTGATATAAGCAGTAAGATATAAGAAGTCCAATTACTTTTTTAGGCAATATGTGGAACCCCTCAGCCCCGAGATATTTTCAGAAAAGGGAAAAAGATAAGATAGTAAGACAGCACCCTTATAGACTAAGCAGTTGTTCCAGTTTTCTTCTGGATAAATATTGGGCGGATGACCACACCCAACTTGGCAGTCAATGTGGATGAAAACATCATCCCCTATTCAAAATGATTGACAGTCCCTGGCCTCCAATAAGGCTGTCATGTCAGATTAGGAGCCAAGCTAGCAAAATGACATTCTTGCATACTGTACTCAAACAAACCATGTTATGACTTCATCCAATTACCTAGTTCCCACTACATCATGAGCCACATATTCAATTTTAGCCCTAGACTAACATGTTGTATGAATCCAGATACAAGTACTTGCATTAGATTGATCTGAGAAAAAAATTAGTTTCTGATTCTTGGCGCCATCATTCTGCTGAGGAAGGGCTAGGAGAGAACATTCCTTGCATAAGTATAATATAAAATGTACATATGTTTTATGTCTTTTTCCTTTTGGGGGGATTTTGTCTTCTTAGACTATGTGGATAGAACGTACCACCTATACAACAGCCTATTCTTTTCCCGGAATCCTTAAATGGTTTGAAGTCAAGCAAGTCACTATGGTGAGATCTGGAGAAAATTTCATTGCCATCTCTAATTCAGCCTTCCCATCATGGTAGTCTTCAGATGTCTTGAGAATACAATTCCTAGTATTTTCAGCTAATCGCCAGACTTTGTGAGCTAAGAATCCAACATTTCTGGAGATTGACAGACTAGGGAAGGCTTGATTTATTGTGACATTTTTTTCTTCTACACCTTCTCCTTAGAAAAGTTCAAGGAATCTTCACTGATTTCTTACCCACTTTCCCAAAATTAACATCTCTATGTACCCATGAGGAAGTGCTTATGAATAAACAAACATTCAAGGGCAGTTGGATATACAACCCCACTTTGCTTTTAGCATCAGCGTTTTTTTTGCATTGTTCCCTTTCTGAATGAACTGTTGGGGTGATTGGTAATTAAAGGAAACAAATGTCTCCCTTTTTATTTTTCTCTGCAAGTAATTCCATTATTTACTTGCAAAGTTTGCTAAGCTGGGCTTTCCTCTCACCACTCCCCCTACGTTTAATCTTTAATGACTGTTTGGCAAATATATGGACATATCCATTTAGTAAAGTGAGATTTTCTAACTCAGAAATGGGAAACTGCTGCCCTCCAATCCCACAGAGCAAGCCACAGTTATTTCTTTATTACAGTTTATTTTCGTCCTTCCTCTAAATGTACATTTATTTTGGTCCTTCCTCTAAATGTCTGTGTAGTATCACAATCCTTCAAGGATTTGATTTGGCTTAAGGTCACCCCAGTGGGCTTTGGCTAAGCAGTAGCTTAACTTGGGCTTGTGCAGACTTAGTTTCGTTACATTGAACACTGGAACTGCTATCCTGTTACCCTGAGTTTAAGTCTTTTATAATTGACAACTGATTCTTATGTATATACTTGAAAGTGAAACTAGGATAATTTGTTAAGTTATTTCCTGAAACTGGCTGTTGACAAGAAAAGAAAAGGGGACAATTCATGCCAGAGACAGGCCTTGAAAAATGATTAGTTATCCTTTTTCAAAATATGATGAGATTTTGGTTAGTATCCCCTATGAAATTGAGGTAGTAGAGTCCCTACTTGACCTTTCAAAGTTGAGTGAATGACCAGGATCTAACTATGAACGTTGCCCAGCGAAGGGTTTGGAATGGGGAAAGTTAGTTTTCTGTTGAAATTTTCATTGCCTAGCATCCATTATTTCATTGTAGTCTTGACCACAACTCATTTTTGTGGTTCATTCCAGGAGGAAATCAGCCCACTGGAGAATGCCATTGAAACCATGGAGCGGACAAATGAGAAGATCAGTAACTGCGTCCAACAACATGCTTGGGACCGCACCCTGCCTGTCCATCCCCTCTCCATGCTCTTGAACGGCATTGTGGATCCAGCAGTAATGGGTGGTTATACCAACTATGAGAAGGTTGGTTGTCTCCTTGCTCTCTGTAGTAGGTCTCACACCTATCTTGGCAACGGGACAGTTGTGTGAGCTTCCTCGAAAAGGAAGGCAGAGATCGTAGAATCAAATAGCACTTATCTGGCTACATGAATAGTACTATAGAGAACAGAGAATTTGGGAAAGAACCCTTACAGCAGCTGCACTAAATATAAGGGCGGAAGTCAAAGTATTTGGTTTACATTCATTAAAGCATTCCTTTTCTGTAATAATAGGTGCGTTTTGGTGAGCCGTGGATCTCATTCGTTTTATAATAATACCTTAATAAACTTTAATCATACAGTCGTTGAAGTTCTGGAAGTTTAATTTAGAATGAAAGGGAACAAGGAAGGGATAGACTGTATACAAAGATGAACTGTAAAGAAAAAGGGCAGATAGGGGAGGTCTTGTTTAACTTCCCCCTCCTCCTTTTCCCCCCCTTTATTGAAATTTCACCCAATGTTGTCCATTCGGACGTTATATAGCAGTGTTTCTCAACCTTGACAACTTTAAGAGGTGTGGACTTCAACGCCCAGCATAGCTGGCTGGGGAATTCTGGGAGTTGAATTCCACACATCTTAAAGTTGTCAAGGTTGAGAAACACTGTTATATAGAGAGTGTCCCAAAGGTGCTTTTTCAAAAGGCAATTGGACTTGCTTTGTTTTTCCTTGGAGACATTTCACTTCTCATCCAAGAAACTTCTTCCGTTCTCAACTCCTTGGATGAGAAGCAAAAGTTGTCCAAGGAAAAACAAGAAAGTCCAGTTGCCTCTTGAAAAAGCATCTTTGGGACAACCATGACCTGGATGACAGAGAACCTCCATAGACGAAATCCATAATCTATTGTGGATTACCTACCAATCATAAACATCACAATCTTTTAATGGACTTTTCAAAATAAAACTATTTTAGAGAAGAATAAGCAGTCCTGCATTTTGCCCCCCATCTTAAGTCTCCAAATACTTTTCAGGAGCACACATTATGAAGCCCACCTAATCTCCAACTCACAACCGTTCATTTAGCAGCCATTTGAAATTATAGTGGCACTGAAAAAAGCGACCTGAAACTGGTCTTCATGCTTATGACCATCACTCCATCCCCATGGTCACGTGATCAAAATTACGACGGTTGCTGTGTCTCAGGACCACGTGATCACCATTTGCAACTTTCCCAGCCAGCTTCCAATAAGCAAATCAATGGGGGAAGCTGGATTTTCTTAATGACCATGTGATTCACTTAATAACAGTAGTGATTTGCTTAACAATCCTGATAGCAAAGGTCATAAAATCAGGCACAATTCATTTAACAACTGCCATTGTTCTGTTGTTTAGCAATGGAAATTCTGATCCCAGCTGTGTTTGTAGGTCAAGGACTACCTGTACACATATTACATCACCAGCCTATCCAGGATCAAAGTCTTTTCCTTCTCAGGATCTCAGTTATGATTGGTGCAGCAATGCGCTCAACCAAATGTGCTTCCAAAGAACAGGACTTTTATTGATCTTTGGGCTAGAGGTGTGAAGATATTTGCAAACCCCTGTACACATCTGGCAGTTAGGATGAGTGGAACATCTTAACGTTCGTGTCTCCCCACTACCACCCATGAGCAGGGTTTACTTCTAGCTAGAACATATTACTGTCACTTCGACGCACAGCGGGTGCCTTTGGAGAGGAAAGCTTTGTGATACAGGCAGCCAGCAAATACTCCCAATTGTGGTGTGGAGGAAGGATCCATTTTCAGCCCAAGAAATATTTTGAGCTCCCACTTGTCTCTATTTTTGGTGCAAAAATGGAAAAGCTGTCACAGCTTCCAAATGGGGTTGCCACATCTGAAAGCTATCAGCCTTTTTTTATTATTATTATTATTTTTTGCTCACTTTTTCCTCTCCCTGATTCTGCTTGGGAAGGGAGTTGGGCTTTTGTGGGCACTTCATAATAATGATCTAAATCTTTCTTTCACATTAAAAACCAGAAATCAATGTCCTGCACAAATCATTTGGCTTCCCTTGTTTGGGTATGTGGTTTTCTGATGAGTCTCAGCGCTTCTGCTTCCAGCTGATGGAATGTTGTGGGTTTTATCCTATTGCCACAACACTTTCTCCCCTGCTAGTTAGGGTTTTACTTATTTATTTTGAGAGAAGAAAACGGCTTCATGGTTTAGCTTTCTACTCCAAAAGGAGATAAAACTTGCTTATATATTGTCCTCTGCTGTTGTATACTTCTGAGTAGGACTGGAAAATAGGTGATCTTCCAGATGTTTTTCGTTTATTCCCAGTATGCCCATTGATGGGGAAAGAATAACTAAATTGGGAGGGACCTTGGAGGCCTTGTAGTCCAACCCCCTGCTAAAGCAGGAAACCCTATAGCATTTCTAGGATTAATATCAAACATCGGGGAAATCAGGAAATTCAGGCAGTTCAAATGAACATAAAGATTTATTGCAAGCTTTAGCTCTCTACAAGAATCTGAACTACTAATGGTCAAGGGAAATTAGCAGGAGCTAAGAAAGGAATTCAAGGTGGGCTGAATTTAGATCTCTTGGGGACATGCAAGGACTCTTGACTGATGACACGTTTGACCCCTCCCTCAGGCTCATCCTGATCATCTAAAATTATAAGTTCTAGGAAAGCCAGGATTATAATTCTGCAACATTTGTAAAGCTGCACATTCCCCATACCTTCCTTTGAGAATCAGTTTTGCTCCTGTTTCTGCCTCTCTGGCCCAAGTATTATTTGTTTCTTTAATAACATTATGGAAATTGGCTTAGGTGGGCCTAGTTCTTTTGGCTGCTCATCAGTTGAGATGAACGGGTATTTCTACTGTGTTAGAACTGCCCAAGGACACCATTAAGTTGATCGTTTATTTGCCACTTTTGCATTTTTCTCACAGCTATTCATCCTGCTCCTTTTTTCAGTCTCTCTGTGATCATAAGTTAGATTAGGAAGGCAACTTCCAAGCTGAATTGTGGGGCTAAACCTGAGTCAAAGGATACTGTGCTGCCTTTTTTTTTTTCTTCCATTCAATCGTGTCCAATTCTTGGAAACTATCTGGACAAGTCTCTGCAGATTTCAGTAGAGATGCTACACTCATGTCAGAAGCACCGAGGTGAACTGAGGCTCAGTTGGTGGCTCTTTTCAGGTCCCTGGCAGGAGCTGGAGGGAAGGATGGGAACTCAACCCCGCCCCACAGTAGCTCTCGGGTCTCAAACGCTGGCCCGCCAACCTCCTGCCCAGCATTCAAACCCCTCAAGCCACCATGCTCCTTTTCAGGAGAGATGATTCTGGAAAACTATGAATAGTTGCTGTGCGATTCCAGTCTGGGTCCCCTGTATTTCCAAGAAGCAGAGTTTTTTTAAACAGAAAAAATAATAATAATAGTAATAACATGATATTTATTATGATGGTGTTCAACAATTCCAGAAACCGAAAAGTCACGCATTGAAGGAAAATAGTGAGTAAGCATCTTGAATACAAAAAAAAAACAAAAAATGTGTTATTTCCATGGAGAGTGTGGAATGTTTGTGCATAATATTTTCTTTGGTTTTTATCAACTTTACTATGGCTGTGGCTGACTCTTTGTTTCCATTCCATGCTTCTACAAGGCAGTCAGACAGGCTGCAACTAGTACTCATTATCCTCACTTTATGTCTTGTTTCTGGAGAGAACTATTGAGTTCAGAGTATTGTGGAATGGATTAGGAATGTCAGAACCCCCAAATAGTGGTATATTATCCCATATTTCCTGAAAAAACCTAGAGCATAAGGCAATTAAAAAAAAAATCTTACTGATGTTTAACTACAACATGCTGCAAGGATTAAAACTTTTCAAGGCCTAAGAACCATTATTCACTCATTCTTAGTGAGCCACAGAGATTTTGCATAGCATTAAAATAAAAATATTCAAGATTCTAACCTATGCCTTTAGCTTTCTTATTTAAAAACTAGTTTGTTCATAGTCAGAAGTTTTTGTAGAATTGTTATGAAGTTGGAGAGGACCACAAGAATAATCTAGTCCAATTCACAAAAACCAGTGAAATTATCCTTGAAAGATAGCTGTCTAGCCATTTCTTAAAAACTTCCAGAGATGGAGAACTTTCACCCTTCATAGATAGAGACCATTCATCATAGCTTATTCTAGTTCATGATAAAAAGGGAAAAGGGGAGGGGAAGTGTCTTCCAATCAGCCATAATTTATTGTCTTTTCCCTTATCAAAGAAGTCAATTTAGCCATCTCTGAAGCTCCATCATCTTCACCAATCATTCCTCATTGAGGATATGTTAAACCTTGCTGAAGTTATCAAATATGAAAACATACTTCCAAGAAGTTTTTCTTGCTGTCCAAATAACTTAATTTGTAGTTTTTTTTATTATATGATCAAATATTTAGCCTATATTCTTTTTTTTTTTCATTTCATTATCTGCAGGCCTTTTTCATTGAAAAATATATTCAGGAACACCCTGAAGATCAAGAAAAGATTGAATTACTCAAGCAACTGATTGCCCTACAGGTACCTACAGGAATGGAGATAATGTGGAATGATGTCCATAGCCTGTTTTGCAGAAGTAATATTGTCATTGCGGTATAACTTTTCCTGAAGTAGCATCTTGCAGATGTTGGGATTTCACCTGGCCAGGATTTTACCTACTGTTGCTGTAGCTGGGTAACAGCAAGATGACAGACCACCAGCACTGCCCATAAGCAAAGCATTAGTAGTAACATTAAAATGAAAGCCAGTTGGGTGCAGTGGTTAAGGCATCAGGCTAGAACCCCGGAGATTGTGAGTTCTAGTCCCTTTGTAACCAGTGAAACCTTGGGCCAGTCATTCTCTCTCAGCCCTAGGAAAGAGGCAATGACAAACCATTTCCAAAATCTTGCCAAGAAAATGGCAGGGACTAATCCAGGCAGTCACAGGAGCCAATAATGATTCAGAGGCACACGTGCACATAACACTAAAATGCTTCCCAAAGTATAACGACTAAGCATAGCTTTGCAACTTAAGATATAGAAAGGCATAATTTATTGGCACATTTGATATAGTTTATTGGTTAAGCTAGAAGTAATCACAAAAGTGCTAAGGAAATGATTGAAGGCAATCATATTCAGAGACAAAATAATGCTCAGTGAAAAAGCATGAGCTCTGCACACAGAATATTTAAGTTCTGACTAATAGATTTAAGTGCACGCCCATCAACATTAACAAGACAAAACCCTTGTATGTAAACAGAGAGCAAACCCCATTCTCAGAACTGATGAGATTACCTAGTTGGGTAATGAAATGTCTGTAACAAAACAACCAAGCTCAGAGAGCACCACGGACTCCAACTGATTTAAGCTTACTCAAATAAGCATGATGTACAATCTAGATACGGCTAAAGCCTGGCTTGGCCTCATTGATAAGCTGAGCCTTCTTGTTTTCCAAATTACATTTGAAACAACAGTGGTACCTCAGTACCCGTCAGCAATTTCTCCCAGAAGATGCACCAAATACTATAACTATTGAGGAGTGAAAAAACCAGGAGAAAACCCGGGACATGTTTTCTGCTTCAGAGTGTGTTGAATACTGAATTCGACGAGTTTTGAAGCAGTCAAGTGTCTACCTCTGTGCTTCCTTAACCTTCTGATCTGGTTTGTCTTTTGCAGATGCCTTTGCTGGCTGAAGGGATTAGAATCCATGGGAAGAAACTGACCGACCAACTGAAGCCTCTTCATGATAGGCTAACCTCTTGCTTTAAGGAGCTGAGAGAGAAAGTGGAGAAGCTCTACGGTGTGATCACCCTGGTATACACTGCATCTTGTTTATGAAAAGTCACTAGGAATGAGATCACTATAGCAAGGACAAGGGGATAAGCAAATCTGTGAATTTTCATTTCTCCCAGTTTCTCGTTTGGGTGAATATGCCAAGTTCTAGTTATACAAATTGATTTTTTAAGTTTTAAATTAAAGCATTTAATGAAATTAAATGCATATTTCTCCAAAGGTAAGCATTTCTGTATGTACGTCTAACTAAGGCATGCAGTTTTTGCAAAACCGTGTCCCTAATTCAAGGCATGTTTTTATATTTTCATTAGTTTTGTCAAACTGCATCGCAAACTTTGAGGAACTGGGAATTTCAAATGAGAATTACGTTTTGTTTTAAATATTGGGAGTGGCGCAAAGCTGGCAAAGATAAACCAATTACATAGTTGGTTTTCATATTTAATCCACTCACTAAAATTTTAAAGGGGAACAGCTTTGGTGCCACCACCCCTTTTTCCAAGTGAATCCCAGATGGCAATTTACTAATGATGGGATAACTCACAAGGTCTCCTCCAGTGATTTTAGCTATCGTATGAGCCTATACTGGAAAAAGCAGTTTGCCAAATAATTTGTTCCTAGGGTTTATATTGAACCTTGCTCAGAGCTAATGGCCATTTTTAATGTAGCTAGAAGACCTTCAACCAGACAGATGATTGCAAATGAGCAAAGGTACTCCTGAAACTGTGGAGGTCACCAGATCAGATACTATTGCTCAATCAGGCTCCTTATTCCAGAGCTACGTGACCACCAGGGGGTGGGGACTTAAAAAGAAATTTCAGAACTTACATCTCTTCCAAAATGGTTTGGGAAAAGAACCTCTAAAGTTTCAGAAGATGTAGATGTTCTTCTCCCGATGAACAAATACCTTGGATTTCTTTCACAATCTTCTTTGTATTCTAACAATAGCCTTCCTCGCTGACGGAAAGAAAGCAGAGCAGGTCTGGTTCAGTGGTTTTGCCATACATTATGTCCTCCACATTGAGAAGGCTGTCTGTTACCTCTGTCACTTCTTCAGTCGGATCAACTTCATCTACATCGTCTGATAGTGTTTCCTCCAGACCAGGATCTGATGGGTAAGTTGATGGGAAGAGTAGAAAGGGACCTTTGATAGAAAGGAGTCTGTGAGGGAAATGCAGGCAGGAGAATTTCTATTACCTTGAAGTATTTGACATTTTTATTTGTTGTATTTTTCTAGTTTTTTTTTTAACACCACCATTAAAGTTGGGTGGCTAATATAGGTAGTCCTCAACTTACAACCACAACTCAGCCCAAAATTTCTGTTGCTAAGTGAGTTTTTTCCTCATTTTACACCCTTTCTTGCCACTGTTGTTAAGTGAATCACTGCTCTTGCTAAATTAGTTGTTAAGTGAATCTGGTATCCCCATTGACTTTGCTTGTCAGAAGGTCGCAAAAGGGGATCACGTGACCCCGGGACACTGCAGCCGTCATAAATACGAACCTGTTGCCAAGCATCCGAATGTTGATCATGTGACGATGGGCAGGGGCAGGCAACCTTGTCTCTTTTATGACTCATGGACTTCAACTCCCAGAATTCCTGAGCCAGCGTGGTTCAGCTTGGAAACCTCTCCCTTTCCCCTCAGCATGGCTGGCTCAGGAATTCTGGGAGTTGAAGTCCACCAGTCATAAAAGAGCCGAGGTTGCCTACCCCTGCTATAGGGGATGCTGCCATGGTCGTACGTATGAAAAAGGGTCACAAGTCACTTTTTTCCAGTGCCGTTGTAACTTTGAACGGCCACTAAAGGAATGATTGTAAGTCGAGAACTGCCTACAAATTCAGTGAAACAAATAAATAATAGGAGGCAATCACGGAGAAAATGATCTCTTGTCAGATTACTTCACGTCTCCAGAAAACAAGAAATATTATTTTTTTCAGGCTGACCAGAAGAGACAGGGTATAATTCTTTATGACGGTATTTCTGTGTGGGCTACAGATCTATTCTTGAGCCACTGATGGAAAGGAGAATTTCAGCAGCTTCTAGGATGGAAGAACAGACTGCCAAAGATGATGCGGAGAACCGGGCTAATAAATTCCGTCGGAAAGACTGGAGTCTCAGTAAATCTCAGGTTATTGCAGAGAAGGAGCCAGAGGCTGAGTTGGCTTCCAAAACGGTAATAAATGTATCAGAGTGATGATGCATTTCCTCTGGGAACAGCTGTCATTTTCTCTTAGCCGTGCAAGCTTAATCACATCGTTGTTAAAAGAGAAGTTGGGATGGATTCAAACAGCAAAATATTTTGATGATCATCTCAAGGGCAAGTTGTCTGTCTATGTCTGACCTCTGTTCATTCTTCTGAGCTCTCAATTGCAAATAGAACACTAATCCATGTTCCAAGTCTCCCTAAATTCTCTACTAATCATCCTACTGCTAAGCCCATTTACATTTTAGAGTTTGATTTGGGGCGCCATTTGAGTGGGACCGCATCTACCATCAGTCCCAATCGCATTTGAGGGAATTATCATCCACACAAGTCGAGGCCATCAGATCGGTGAGGGCTTCCCTAAAAGATGATGGGTTTTAATACTCTTTCATATCCATGTGTTTCACTGAAGATCTGTGTTGTTTCCTTGTTTGTTTTGAGTTTTCTTTTCTACGCAAAAGGCTTCTAAAAGTGCTTTAGTTACATTTTCAGGGAAGTAGCTGATTTACAGCCTAATGTCCAGGGTGCCTTCACAAATCACTTCGGTAAGGATTTATTCCTTTTCTGCTATACAGAATGCAACAGGAAAAGCACCCAGGCCAAAGAGCCTGCAACTGGGGGAAAGCAAACTAACTCTGCTTCAGAACTCATCCCTTCAACAAGCCTCGGCACTCAGCCCACCACCCAAAACACCGAGAACTCAAAGTATGTTGAGCAATCTCCACTTCTTCCTATTCTTTTAAAGCAGGGGAGGGCAGTTAATTTTCCCAAGGGGCCCTATGAGAAACTGGGATTGTTGTGGAGGGCCAAAGCAATGTAACCTGATTTGTTGTCCTCAGACACTGTCACCTCAACCCCTCAGGTTGCTCCAGGTGGGTGACCACTGTGTAGGGGTCTTCTCACCCAGCCGATTGAAGGAGAACACAACTACACAGAGGCAGACCCAGCTCAGCTTCTTCTGTCCTCTGTGGCACACACTTATTTACAGTTGATTTCTAATTTCTGATTGACCTCACATGAGCCAGAGAGAGACAGCCAAAGGGCTGGATGTGGCCCAGGGGCCATAAAATGCCCAGGTCTGTTTTAAAATATTGGCAGAGAAGGTTAGTTCAGCCTTCACCAAATTGCCATCCTCAAGATGGGTGGAGATACCTGCCAGCTTGGAATTTCATACTACATTTTTCTTGGAATTCCCACCATTCTCCAAATTCAACATAATTTGACAAAATTTGGTGGCCCGTAAAATGACAGTTCTGGGTGTTTGGTAAAAACAGCTTCGGTCAAGTAGGAGAGGATGTACACTTCCTGTGTGGCTAGATTACAATCATACTGGACATTTTAATAGATCCACAGCAGTAAGTCTTGTAGGTATCTAAGTGCTTCTTAGAATCTATCAGGATTTATCTGGATCCAATTCATGCCTAGACACAGTTTCCTGAATATGTTATAAATGAAGGCTGAATGTCTCATTTTTAATTGAGATTTTATAAGATGGCTTTGCTTATTTTTGGCTGAAATTTAAAGTATGAATATTTAGGGGTTTAGACATGCGCACCCATATAGAGAGAAACACAGGGGTACATATGTATATGCACACATTTTCAAAGGGAAACGGACTTTGCATATTCCAAATGTAACTTCAGAAGAAACATCCATACTAAAAAGGAAACTGAAACATGACTGGTTTGTATTTTGCTAAGGCATTTCACCTCCAGGTTCACGAGAAGTTTGGGTGGGTTTCTTCATCCTATCAGAAAAAGGTTCTGGAGACTGCAATGGATAAAGTCCAACGTGAAAGCAAAGCCCACCGAGCCTGTCTGGTGTCATTCTGGATTTTGTTTTCCCTGGTCCCCAAGCGTGTGTTTTTCACATGTGCTTAGGTTCATTTGCTGTGCATAGATGAAGCTTCTGCGATAACAGGGGTCTGGGGAATGGCAAATGGGATTCCAGATTGACACATCTGTTCACAATCAACCGGTAAAAGAAACAGGCATGCCTCAAAGTAGTGGTGATGCAAGCCTGCTTCTGTTAGAAACTATTTCCCCCCCCTAACCGTGGCCACCATCTGTCTTTCTTCTCTTCTCTACCACACCAGGTTTCCCTTCTCTGCAAGCAGATGGATTAACAACCGTTAACTTACAGAGTTCTCCTCCCCCACCGCCCCCCAAATGCAAGCCCTATGAGAATAGCAGCTCCAGAAACTCCACAGAGGTACAGAGATGACATTCGGATCCTATTACCTAAGACAGGAGCACCATTGCAAATGATTTTTGTTTTTTTGGTTTAAGTATTTGGTTAGTTTAATGGCTTTCTCCCTGAAGCTGCCAGAGAGAAAATGGTTTTCTTTCCTCCCTCCCGAAATGAAAGGGGGTAAAAAAAGACACAATGCGGGAATAATGTAAAATTCTCCTTCTTGCACTCAGCAAAATCTGTGGCGGCTGGAGCCGTCTTTCTGATTCTGGCTGGGAAGATTTGCTTTTTTTTGTTTCTTTAAACCTTTTGTTTGTTTGTTTGTCAATTTTATTGCATAAGGTAAAAATGTAGAACAAACAAAAGTGGGGGAAAAAGAAAAAGAAAGAAAAGCAGAGACGGGGGAAAAAAGTGATGTCTTTTGGCTTTTTTCAGTGCAGTAAAATAAAATATATATATAAGACAGCCTCAACTTTTTGCTTTACATTTCACAGCCTTTCGAGTCATCTCCATAATAACAAAACAATTCTAATCGTGAAAACTTAAAATCAGAGTTTCAGATTTTATTTTATTTTTTTGCAGACTGGAACAAAAAAACCCAGACCGAGTGTTTTAATTAAAGAGAAGAATTTTATCTAGTTTTGTGTCTTGTTTCTTTAAATCTGGAGCTTTTGCCCAGGGGTCTTCCTCAATGCAAAGTCTGCCACAGATGTTAACAACACAAAAACCTCATTGTCACATCCCTGGAACTTGCCAGTTGCCTTGGCACTCTATCAAATGATATCACTAGTCCTGCTCTAAAAGAGATGATTGTGGGTCCCGCACTTCCCATTCTCTGTATCACTGGAGTTGGGTTTTATTTATGAGTCCAACTGTCTCTTTCTATGTTCGCATTATTGTAGGTGGCTCCACCTCTACTCACCAGGAGAGAAATCAAACCGCCACCGCCGCCTCCTAAAACTAGGAAATCCAGTGTCTTTTCTTTAGAGCCAGAACTACAATGAGGACTCTACATCATGTTGTCTCCTTGCATCTGGGACTGAATGTCTGATGCTTTGTGGACATATCTCTGGTTCTCCAGAGCTTCTCAGAATTGGCTTCTTCCGGCTGGACAGCTTCGCCCTCCATTCCTGCACAAATTTTGGGGATGTGCACAAAAACCAGCTGCTAGAGATTTTGTCAAAGCTGCTGTTTTGGCTTTCCTGGCTTCTGAGTCTCCTATAGATGTCCCAAGACATCTTCTGATCATCTGTGGCATATCAGGGCTTCTGCAAGACTAAAGAAACCAGATTGTGTCATCCAGCAATCCTTGCTCCACCACTGATAAAACACCAGCAGTGCAGAAATTCTCCCAGTGGAATCGCTCTCCTAACAACCAAGATCTTCCTTGGTCTTGAAACAGTTAAGCGGCACCCTGTGAAAACACACACTTGTCCCTAGAGTGGATTTGCACGACACTTTGTTGCACTTGGACAATGGAGATACGGTTTCCATCAGTCTCACTGGCCAGCAGTAAGAGATCTTGGAACAGGATAAGCCTGATATAAGAGGAAGGATTCTTTGGCCTGCTTAGCATAGGCACTCTTTGCCTGTTCATTCCAAACTTGCAACAAAAACCACTCAACTTCCCAGACCTCTGTTGGAATATATGGATTTGTATATGACAACACAGAGCACTGGACAGACCTGCAGATTCTATCATGCTGAGATATTACTTTCTATCTACATGCTTTGCTTTTCCAGTGATATGAAAGTGGATAAAAAAGAAAAGAATACTGGCATCTGTCTATTCCCGTAAGTTGACCAACGGTGTCCTTGAAAGTCTTATGTCTCCTCTTCTTTCCAGTGTGTGCAAACTCTGTCAAATACACCACCAATTCCTTCTTTTGCTGCACACTGTTCCAAAGGCCTACACTACTGTATCTTTGGAGACTTGTTTAACTGAATTCTGGATGTATTTTTTTTCTTGCATTAATGTGCTGAAAATACCTAAAGGTGTAATTATCCTTGGAAATTTGAAGAATGGACTGCATGTGAAAGTGCTCCATGGTTTTCCAAGCTAGAACTGATAGACCAGGACTGGATAGCAACTTAAATGTCTTACTGAAATCTTTGCTAAAATCCAAGTGGATGTATAGCTGACCGTTGACTTCTAGATTCTTACTATATCTCCATTTTGTATGTCTTATTGTTGAAAGCTGCCTCTGTGTTTACTTGTTTATAACAGAAGCTCAGGGCTCAGCCCTCATGGGACTCAAAATTATCTCAGAGATAGTTCACATAATTGGAGTATGCTATCTCTGTCCATCTTAAGTTATGGATGGAGGTTATGAGCTAGGTTCATATATCACATGATGCCATGCTTTAACAATTATTTCCAAACCTCTATGTTTGACCACGTATGAGGTTTAGCCAAACACCAATTTACTGTATTACAGCTTAGCATGGTGCATGAACCCAGCTACAGTGTAGATATTTATTCACAGTGTAAATGCACTGCACAAGACTATTTTCTAATGGTGGGTAGTTGGGCATCCTTGCCCACAGACTATGATTTGATTGTATTGATCATTGCTGAATGGTAAGCACTTGTCCAAGTGCTTCAGAAGATGTTCATTGACATTAATCCTTATGGCTGCATCATGCCTTCAAAGTTTATAGACTGATTGTTTGTTTGTTTTTAAAAAGAATTTAGAACATCTGTGATTGGGGGGAAAAAACCCAACAGCCTAAGATGCATTCCCCTGATGAAGCAGAGGGCATAGACATTGAATTAGCAGACTACAGCTGTTGAAATTAGCCCGTGGATTTGACTCTGAATGTCAGTAGATTAATATTATAGGGCGGATCCAAACTATTTAATTGGCATACAAGAGAAAAAATGCATTTATAGAGAAATGCTTGGCTCTGTTTGTCATTCCTCAAACTTATGCACCAGCAGAAATTTAATGCGCTCAGTGGTAAAGCTTACTTTGTTTACTGAACCCAGCAGTGTGTGTGTGTGTCCCCTAACAGCTTCTCAGTAATTCAGGTGTATTAGCCTTAGGCAAAACATCTAGCCAGAAAGCTGAGATTCACATTTTAATGTTGTACATTGTTCTTTTCTTCTTTAAAACCCTTTGTCTCATCTTATTAGTTCTACTTTTCTTTTGACCATCATTGCTCCTGATCTTTTTCTACTATATCTTACCATTCCAGGTTGACAAAAAATTTCTAGTGCGTGCAGTTAAAAGATTTTCTCATTTTTATGACTAGCTCAAAGTTATTAAGCCTCTCTTGGCCAATGTTCCAGCTAGGAGCCTCACAGGCAGTGATTCAAGAATTGAGCTCTCCATGAGGTTGTTTATTGCAAGAACTAAGAAATTCCTTATTCAGGAAACTGTCAAGAGTAAAATGCAAACTCTATTTATAGTACAAACCAGGTTCTGTGATGGCTCTGTCTCTCTTCTCCTAACAATGCAGCCGATTTGGGGGGGGGGGGACACAGTCATTGAATTAAAGCTGTTGAAATTTGCTGTTTGAGTATGAACGCCAAAAGATTAGCATTGTTGGGTGGCTCCAAACTGTTTAATTGGCCTATATGAAGAAAAAAAAATTGTGGTCCCTTTTTTGTTGTGCAATATATATATATATATATATATATATATATATATATATATATATATATATATATATATATATATATAGAGAGAGAGAGAGAGAGAGAGAGAGAGAGAGAGAGTGTAATAATATTAAATATATATATATATATCCAGATTTTATATATATATACACACATATGTTTTCTGAGGTTTTCGCGGGTGTTTGTATGTAGGTCTTTGGTTGTTCGGGTTTTCTCCCGCGTAAAATTGGAGGTGTCTTGGCTTCGTCGAAACGTCGCCAAGACACCTCCAATTTTACGCGGGAGAAAACCCAAACAACCAAAGACCTACACACACACACACACACACACACACACACACACACACACACACACACATATATATATATATATATATATATATATATATCTCCAGATTATTTTTCCCTTTGGCTACAAAATGTAGTGTTCCTTTCCTTTTTCTGTAAAATGTTTATATTTCCAAAGCCATAAGATGGCAGTATTTTTTGCAGAGCCTACTTCCTGTTTGAGTTGGCATCTCTGCTCTTTGCCAGTCCCTTTTCTCCAGTTCCTCTCTGAATTTGGAATAAATTCTGCCTGCCTTTTGCTGCCAGTTGGCTTTGGAAAACTCAGTCTGTGCACTGAGAAGGCTGGATGGTAGGAAATCTGTGTGGGAATATTTGAATCTCTATGGAAAAAATAGTAGATGTTCTCAGCTTTGCACAGACTTCCACTTCCAGCTGTGCTTATTACCAGCGAAGATCCAAATGTCTTAAAAGCTGTGGTTTTCCTCTCTGCCCATCCCAGGAAGACATGGTGAATTCTTCTGGAACAACTTTCATTCTCCTCCCTTTTAGGGTTCCTGGAAGGTGATACCAGCTCCTGATTACTCCTGCCTGGAGATGAATGCTTTGTGACTTAAAACAATCTGGTTTTGGATGGTTGTCTTCTAGGATTTCTGTGGGTGAAGTCAAGTACTCCCATGAGTACAAAATGGGCAGGAGAAAATGGCTAATCTGGATATGGCTGTCACCTCCAATTCTTTTATCCATGTTCCCTCTATACGATAAGGCACCAGACCAGTGATTCTCAACCTGTGGTCTGCAGATCCCTGGGGGGCCACGATGTCATCACAACTCCATGATGGCTTGCAGAAATGTTATGATTTAAATCTTGAGTTAAGTCTTGGGGATCTGTGGCCAGGGCCACAAAAGGTATTTAAAGGGGGTCCACGGTGAAGATTGAGAATCGCTGCACTAGATTAACCAAAATCTGGAAAGACACGTTCTCAAGCCAATGATAAAGCAGACCTGCTCAGGTTTTAAGCAGGTTATGATCTGGATAGATAACCACCTCCTAGGAACTCATGTCTGAACTTTCTAGAGGTCTAAGAGAATATGAGTAAAGTTTTAAAATACAGTTCTCCAAGGAATATCTGAAATGGATATATGCCAGCTGTGCTCAGTTTTATCTTCTTGATAGTTTAGCAACTATGGAGGAAAATAATCTCTGTGCAAGAAGCTAATTTATGCAATGTATGACTTATAAGCCAACACTCCTTATGTATCCCAAGTCTGAGAACATAAGTAAAGCCTTTCTCAAATCTGGCACCCTGTAGGTGCATGTTACCTCCTCGACAGCTCTATTTGTGATCTACATTTGGCAACATAGGCAAGAATTCCACACACAAGAGTTAGTGTGGAAGATTAATGGTTTTTAGGTAAGGGTTAAATTTTCTATGATCCAACGGGCACGTCCAAAGATCTGGTCATGTTTGAAGCATGGGATCTTACATCTGGCTGATTTTATAGCACCATCACATTGCTGTGCCTATGGACTGACCATTACATTATATTGTTATTTTCAGTACAGGATTTATTGCAGCAGACTTGCCTTATTTATTTTTATAATTGTAAATGAAAATATTAAAAAAATATGATTCTATGTTTATTTGCCTGTCTTTTTATAGGTACCCCCACACCCAAAGGATTTATTGGACAACTGCATGCACCACAACGATCAGTGAAAATAGAGTAATTGTTTTAGGTGGAATATCTTTTTTTCTTGCAGCCCATGCCAAATCTGGAAGCCGCAAGTGATATATCTTATCAGTTTGGGACTTGACTTTTTTTTTTTTTAAGTTCCAACCTGGCCTTTTTTAAAAAAAACCTGCTTCCTGTTATGATGTAGTTATTATGTACTAGTTGCATGAATCAAAACTACAATTCTGAAAGTTAAATTTTTAAAATAGTATGCTTCCCTCAAAATTTTGTCTATTCTTGCATTTCAAAGCATCCTAGCAGTAAAGAGAGTGATTTTTTTTTAAAAAAAATCTACTGTAGAATTTGACTTTAAGCAGTATTCTTAAATGCCTGAATGAATGTGGGATTCTAGGAAATAGGATAAAGAGGTCTTGAACGGAGAACAATCTATGTACAAAGTTATCATTGTTAATACTCAAAAAAAAAAATCCACAAAGGCAACATCCTTATTAGACAACCTAATAAGCTTTTATGATTTATTAAAACTCTTCATCAACAGAGAAAAAAGAGTGGGGATTGCTGCTGAATTGACCTGCCAGTTGCGTTCTTGACTGAGAGAAGAACTGCAAGGAATGAAAATGAATATTAACCATATGGGCTGCTTTCAAGTGGGAGATGCTGAAAGACAGTGGCCAAAAGCTTTTGATTATGCAGCTAGCAGCCCAAATCCATATTTTCCCCATGTTATATCAAACATAAAGGTTCATTGGTAGTAGAAAAATGAATACAAGTAAAACCTATGTTCTGTTGCATGACATATATCAGCAGAGATCAGAAAGACCAATCATAGCAATGATCATGTTGAGTGATGCCATTGGCATGCCAGACTTTTGAGAGAATGGCCTACGGGTAAATAGCCCAACTTTTCTTGGACTGTTCTTGAACAACCACCCATTGTTAGGATATTGCGCCTGTCTTCCAGATCAAATAAGCAATGTGATCTGCAAGCAATCATAAGCATGTTTGACTTAACAAAAATCAGCATAGGTGTGTTTACATTTCCCAACAAAGAATTGCACTCTGTTGGCAGGTAGCTTAAGGAAATTTTATTTGAAGCTTAATAACACAATGGCAAACTAGATTTTTTTTTCCCTCTTAGTTTGGTTTACAGCATACATAAGTCAGATGTTGCAGTTAAATGCTTTGCAAAAGCTCCATTCTGCTTTATTTTTCATTTCGATTCAGGTAGCTTTCGATCTTCTTTTGTCCCTTCTCTCCTTCAGTTAGACTTGCCTGAAATACACATTGATGACAATTATACATACATTCAACATTTCAAAATTATTTTAATTGAGAAGTACACCATTTTGAGCTTTTAATACATTTGTTAGGTACCAGTGGTTTTCTTAGCATTGTAAAGATATTACAACTCAGTGTTGACAGACTCAAAATAGAAACAGATGCAAAAAGGAAAGAGAAAAAGTAACAGGGAAGAAAAAAGTAAATCAGGCAATAGCATTTCCTTCTCTGGCTGACATAATGTTCAGATTGGTCTGTCTTTTATCAGAGTCCTTAGGAGGCAGGATCAAAAAAAAAAAAGTAAGATTTCTTCTGAGCTTTGAAATCACCGTTTTTCACATTAGCCTCTAGTTGTCCCATCGTGCTCAGTGGTTACTTTAAAGAACTTTTTTTAAAAAGGTAAAGGTTTCCGCTGCCTTGTTGTGTCTGACTTTAGGGTGTGGTGCTCATGTCTGTTTCCTAGGCAAGGGAGCTAGCATTGTCCGAAGAAGCTTCCATGGTCATACGGCTGGCATGACTTTATGCCGATAGTGCACAGAATTCTGTTACCTTCCCTGGGGGTACCTATTTATCTGTTTGCATGCATATGAAATACTAGGTTGCAAGAATTGGAGCAAGAACAGGAGCTTACTCCATCCTGTGGTACTTGGGTCTCAAAACAAGCCCAGTGTTTTAACTACTAAGCCACCACACCCTAATTTAGTCTTTGTCTTAGTTAACTTAGCTAACTTAGAACTTGTAGGAATCAGTGCTCAGTCATTGCAGGGTGCAGATATGGCTGACTGCTTTCGCAGGGTTTATTGCCTTATATACAGGTATTCAAATAGCATAAAGTAAGATGGCATCAGCATAGCAACAACGGTTCTATTGGTGAAACCCCTTGCCAATCCTTAAGAGGCCCCAGCCAGGGAACAGTTTCTACCACATCCTGTTGATGTAACCAGGCTGATATCATGTGCCAACCTGGGGTAGTTTCCCACATTGCCATGGTGATGTGAATGGATGAGATCATGTAGAGAGAGAAGAGGCACGCAGGCGTTGGAAGGGCAGTTTGCTGCTCACGACCTCTATCTGGCCCCCATCCCTACAAGAACTTAGACTTAGTTTTATTTGTTTCTCCTTCTCCGAGACTAGAGGAATATTAAGCTTCAAATAAAATGTCCTTAAGCTACCTGCCAAAAGAATGCAATTCTCTCTTGGGAAATGTAAACACACCTATGCTGATTTTTGTTAAGTCAAACATGCTTATGATTGCTTGCAGATCACATTGTTTATTTGATCTAGAAGTCAGGTGCAATATCCTAACAATGGGTGATTGTTCAAGAACAGTCCAAGAAAAGTTGGGTTATTTACCCATAAATCTGAGAGAATTTTCTCTCAAAAGTCTGGCATGCCAATGGCATCACCCAACATGATCATTGCCATAATTGGTCTTCACCTTTTTTAAATAAAAGATAATTGCTAGTTTTCTCATCTATTTTAAAAAAAGATTTAATTGGCATTCTCCTCAGCAATATTTTGAGCTTCAGATTACTATAGAGAGTAAGAAAGATGACCTTGATGGAGAGACTCTAGCTCCATTACCAAAACAACAAAGAGAAAAAAAAACTGTCTTAGGTCCACAACACATAGAAAATATTCAGAAGAGATTCAGATATGCATCTCACTACTTCACAGGAATATAGGAAGGGGAGAAGATACAGCACAATCAGATTTGCAAAACTCGGTTTCTACAGCCCATCTCAATAAAGGGAGTTCTAGCCTTCCTGTGGTGGTGATTTCCTAGTCTCATCAACCTGACACGGCTGACAATTACATCCTTAAATCACTGGAACAGAAAATAATGCAAAGTTGAAAATAACATTTAAAAGAGAGCTTACCTGTACGAACACTTTTCAGTCCTCTAAGTGTGAAATGCTGGCGTGGCACATTGCATTCAAAGGGCTGCATCTCCCCAACTTTGCCCACCTCATTTTCAATCTGCGATGGAGAAAAAGGACTCGGATGAATCGGTCCGAAATGATGGAAAGTCAGTTTTGCGATGGAAACTTCAGAGGCTGTGCGGTGGAATCGTTTAGTGTCTCTTTCCACATTTGGAAGATAATCAGTGGGACATACTCAGGTGCTCCAAGTACCTTCCAGCAGTAGCATGTGAGCAACATCTCCTGTTCTGATAGAGTTTCCAAAGGAAAGCTCATAGAAGAAAACTGGTGCTTAGTTGCCCTATTGCAGAAACTGAACTTCTCCTACAGAAATATCCCTAGATGGAAGAAACTGGTTCACATTATTAGATGCCCCCTCCAGCGATAGTTCTGTCCCTTATAAATTAATACTAGAAGTCCCTTGACCTTTAGGGAATAGAAACATCCAATTTTATCATGGGATGGATCCAACACATCACATAGTGTGGTTCAAATATTTTTCTTAGTTTATCAAAACAGAAAAATGAAAATAATGGGAAAATAGGGGAAGAGGAAAAAGTGTGGGGAAAGGGGGAAAATAAAAAAAAAAGCTTCTGACTCTTTGTGACATAGTAGAATAAGGTAATAACATACAACCTTGACTTTTTATGTTTACATAATAATATATACATCATTTCTATAATGACGAACCTATCTAATCAGCAAAACCCAAAATCAAAGTTTCATTTTTTTTCCATCTCAAGCACAAAGTTTAAAAGTGGTTTCCAAGAAGAAATAAAATTAATTGTATTATTTTCTTTAATCAAAGTAGTCAGTTAAACCATTTCTCCTAACTAACTCTATCAACCTTGGCAGCTATTTGTCCATTGTGAGAATCAAAGTATCCTTCCTTTTGCATTAAGTATTCTTGCTGCTGTCTGCATATACTGTGTAACATCAACGTGCCAATTTTTTTCCCCAACTTCTTTATCCATTAAGTCTAAAAGAAAAATATCTGGATTTATCTTTATAGTCACTTGAAGAACCTTCTGTATTAAGATGTGAATGCTACTCCAATATTTCTTTGCATTGGCACATGTCCACCATAAATGTCAAAACATCACATCATAATGTGATTGAAATTACCAAAAACTAACTTACCTCTTGGAAGGAATCCCTTAGGTTTTCCACGTCTCTCTTCCCACCAGGTTGGAAGCCATATGACCAATGTTGGGCAAAGCAGATTGATAAAGAGAAGAGCAGCAGGAAGAAACTTGAAATTAGCATCCTAGTCTTCTGCATTTTGTCACAATCTGGAGACCAAGAAGGAGCTCTGCTAATGCAGAAGAAATGAAATAAAGAAAAAACTTAACATGTTTCTCTGGATAGTTATTATTGAAGATGCCAACATGCATTGTGCATATGCTATAGATTACCTGAACTGGTGGTCAAAGATGAAAGTGGATCCTCTGAGATCTTCTTTGGTGTGGGATAATGTGCTTCCTTGCCTTATAAATATCTCACTTCTCCATCTTTGACGCATTTGCCCCAGGCAATCACATTCCTAACTGTCTCACGCTGACTATAATTGTGGTCTTATCTAAGTCATAATGAGAAGAAAGGATTTGGACACCCTTCCAAAAGGGTGGTAAAAGCTGGTAAACACAACTGATCTTTTCTCTTTAAAAGCCTTTCTTGAATCTGGAAGTTGAGTCATGCCAATTGGATTTCTTTTCTTTGTTAGTTTGAAATATTTCCCTGCTTATCCAAGTAGCTCCTCCAGACTGATTCAACTTCCAAGCAACTCTACTTTGATGACCGAGAATCTTCATCAACAAACTTTCTTGAGAGATATTATACAAACTGAGACATGCTAAATAAATCCAGATGATTTTAGTAGTATAATGGGGAAGTCTTTTTAATGAGCAACTGGTTTGTTTCAAAAGTCTTGGCCTTTGGATCTATCTGTTCAGAAGATTGAGAAGGAATGATAGAGCTGCAGTGGTGCTTCCATCGTTGGGTATCAAAAATAGAACCTTTGAGTCTAGAGGTTCAGGAGAAAAACTTTCTCAGAAGCATCCTCAAAGATCCTACCATATTCTTCTGTTCCTATCTTATAAATGTATTGCATTTTTATATCTGTTGCTGGATGTACTGTATACCATCCCCTTTTTTATCCCTGCAGTAACCCTGTGTGGTACCTTCAGCAACATAGAGTGTGTAACTGACAGAAAGACATCTGTGAGTTTCCATGGTCAAAAATAGATTCGAATTTGATCCTTCTCAGTTTTACTCCAAAACCTTAACCACTTCACCACGTTAGATGATGTATATCTAGATTGTTGTTCGTCCATCGATTTCAATGAAGACCTTGACATCTTGTGGGTTATGGGCCATCAACGATGTGTCCGTAGGTGGCTAATAAGACCGATATTAGCATGGAATGTTCTGCCACATACTGAACAAAGAAATGTAGACACTGTTACTTCAGCATTTGCAGCTCTGGCTTTGCGGAGTGCTCGCTTTTCTTGTGCCAAGATTGTCCTTCTGTGTTCATATGTCCGGCAGCCCTGGTACACCAAGGTGCGCCATGTCGGTCGATCATGCGCCAGAAGTTCCCAAGAGATGGTGTTAATATCCAGGGACTTAAGAGAGGCTTTCAACATGTCTTTGTATCGCTTCTTTTGTCGCCCCGTGCGATCGCTTTCCTTGAGACAGCTCACCATAGAAGAGCTGTTTAGGGATGCGATGATCTGGCATCCTTACAACATGGCCTGCCCAGCGCATCTAGATAAGCTGTTAAGAAAACCAGATAAATAGAAATCTTTGAGGACCACCAGTCCCACCTAAGCACTGAAGACCTTTTTAATATGATGACAATGCCAAAAAGATGGCAAAAACTGATTGTAATATCTTGAGGCCAAATAGGAACCATACAAGAACCCATTTGCAAGAAGTGTACTAGGGACAGCCAGCATCTTTCTGAAAGAATTAAGAGTGACATTGAAAGGAGAAAATATACCTTTATGAAGTGATGCATAGAATGGAACAAGATGCAAGAACGGAGCGTTAACAATAGAAGGATCAAGCTCAATTCTGGAAGAACTGATTTTTCACATAGTGAGAAGTTCCTCACTAAAGAAAATAAACATGGATAACCATATGGCAGTGGTTTCCAAATTCTGAAATGTAAAACTGTTTCTTCCCTATGTAAAATGGCTTACAAAGGTTTATAGAGTCCAGAATACCAGCTATGGAAGAGGCAGTCTATCAGTGTATCATTAATCAGTCTGGTTGATACAATAATGAGGAAACTGGATGTTTCAATGAATGTTGTATGACTGATAGAAGGGAATATTATTATTAAACTGTGGAATCCTTGGTGCTCTATGAGCTCGGTGGTTTTCTTGCAGATGCTTCATTATCAATCTAGGTAACGTCACCAGTGCTAGTAAAGAATGGAGTTTACAACTGAGGATGTTACTCAGTTTGGATAACTAAATGTCTGCAAGAAAACACCCAAGCTCAGAGGGAGCCAATGACCCCACATGGTATACTCCTCCAGACTGATTCAACTTCCAAGCAACTCTACTTCGATGACCGAGGCGTAATCCAATGAGCAGACCTTACTTTGAGAACCACTGTGATTGGCAAAACCATACCATAAATGAGAATGCATCTATCCTCAAAAGAGCCAAGTGCCACATTGAGGTTAAACTGCTTGGCAACCTTCTAGAAGAAGCTAAAGCTGTGAGGTCTTCCAGAAGGTGCTTGGGCCATCACGGGTGAAATAACAAATAAATGAAAAAAATAAAGGTGCTATAATCAACTACTGCAGAGTGTTCAAGAGAATTAGCTTCAAAAATATTGTCAACCATATCTTAGATATGAACAAGACTATTAAACTCCACGCCTCTTGAGATTTTATAAAGGTTTACTGCAATTTACTTCAGCGATTCCCTCCTGCTTCCTTGGGGTGTTAATGGATAAGGGTAATTTGCAGAAAATATTTCATGAGGATTTGTTAAAGGTTAATGCGTTTTTTTCCCCTTCAATTTCACAGAGTTGGCAAGGACTCCTGTAGAACTCTTACAGGGACGGGAAATTCATGCTGTGAAAACCGTTTATTGACAATTAAAAGAAAAACAGGGCAAATGAGCGACTGCCACATGCAAGTCGGATATTTGTTGCCTAATACTCTGTGCGTACTTTGGATGAATTGGTTGGGTGGCAAGGTGAGTTTTCCAAATGACATCTCAATCATACAGATTTACTTGTTAACTTTTATTTGTTTATTATTTCTTTATTTATGTCCCACCTTTATTATTTGTAAAAATAACTCAAGGTGGTGAACATATCCAACGCACTTGGATAAACCAGAACACAGTACATTTAAAAAATAACGCTTGAAAGAGATACTGGAAATGTTTCTTGAGAAACGGAAGTAAAAAAGGATTAAATTTTTGAAAATTTTATATTGGAAGATTGGACCTATTTGCAAGGTCAGAGTAAATTGTGTGTTTCCAAGGTTTTTAATTTCAGAAATCCCTCTCAACACTCTTAATTGCAAAATATCAAATGACTTTTAAATCCAAGGGCTAATTGATTAAACTTCCCACCACTAAATGGTGTTATTTTCCAAATTCAAACAAAGGTTTGCAAGTTTCTGAAGCTCTTTATTTATTCCATGATTTGATCAAGATAGTTATAAAGGTTTCTTATGCATAGGTGAACATATTGTGATTATTTAAGACAGTCAGCTTCAGCAAAATGGGTGTAACTTACACACAGAGAATTAAGAAAAGGGCGGTTTGATTACTTTAAACTCTAAATCTTCATTATATCCTGGTATAGGTTAGTTTGGTACCCTTGAAACAATGTCATTCTTTCTCTCCCCAGGCACCTTTTCAAAAACTTTGGTGAAATTAGAAGCACCAGGATTTTGTTGTTGTTATAATATCCTATATCCAATTAGCCAGGCCAACCCAGTTCACAAACCATTCAATATGACTAAAGCAAAGTTTCCACCATATGGAAGACTGGTCTATTATGAATTCATAATAGACCATTTGCTGCTAGCTTTTCATTCAAGAGTCATAAAAGTACAGTTCGCTCTAAAGCCCTACCAATTTGCTATTATTTTTTGTAATTATCCTCCCCCCCTCCCTTTTTTTTAAATTGGATGAGAGGCATCGTTCAGCATGGACTGTCCACTCAGCTTCCATTTGTGGCTTAGCATGAAAAAGGGCTAAGAGTTTGTTCACACTCCCACTGTCAAATAACAGCTTTTTCCCTAGCTTAAATAAGGCAAAAACCCCATGTAACCAGGTAACAAAAAAATTATGTCTCTTTCAATTTCTAGGTAGTCCCATGTTCCCCAACCCAGTTCTCTTCTCCACCCACAAGCTGAATGAAAAACTATGTTAAGTACTCTGGATTCTACCTGCAGGCATATATCAATTATATATACCTAGAATTAAGGAGGAACTTCCTGATAGTGAGGACAATTAACCAGTGGAACAGCTTGCCTCCAGAAATCATGGGCGCTCCATCACTGGAGATTTTTAAGAAGAGGTTAGACAGTCACTTGTCTAAGATGGCATAGGTTCTCCTTCTTGAGCAGGGGGCTGGACTAGAAGACCTCCAAGGTCCCTTCCAGATTCTATTCTATTCTATTCTACTCTGTTCTTATTCTATTCTATTCTATTCTATTCTATTCTTCTATTGAGTAGATACTCTGTCCATTAGCCTCACGCAGCCAGGAACTGATAGGCCAATGCCTCTAAATGCAACTACGGTGGAGAAGGATAGATTTTAGCCTCCTAACGTTTCTAGGATATAATTCTGAGGCCATTATTTTCCTTTCATTTCTACATTTTGATGTTGACTGTAGCTCTGAGTCTAAGGTAAGTGCTCACCCAATTTCGTTTACATCTGGGTGTACAATCTGGCTATAGGTTCACAGGCACAGAGATCATTGAAATGTTCTGTATTGACATCACAGGGAATTGTACACCATAACCTGGTTTGTGTGACTGAGTGTGCTATGTACATTATCCAATGTGGGCTGAATTACAAGCCCACGGCTTAGCATGATCTGTGGTCCCAATCATACTTTCCCAGCCCATTTAAATCATGTTTGCCCTGGCTACTTTTAACAGGAAGATCCACTGCTTCTGTTTCTGTAACTCAGCTAGAAATGTGCACAGGTTAAGGGTTTGCATATAGCCACATGCTGCCGTGGAGCTTATGAGTTATAGTCCATGGTGTCCAAAGAGATCAGATTCCCTAATTATATTCGAGCAGGAAAAACGTATCTGGAATCTTATTTCTGTTGCAGCTGAAACTTGTTTATCTAAAAGGCCAGATTCATATAGATGGTATTAAATTACCTTTCCCAACAGACCCAGTGAGTTGGCTAATGACAATGAATGATGAGAACTGCAATCCAAACATGTAACACCAGTTCCAGATTTATAGGCTGAAAATGGACATCAGCTTCCATTTGCATTTTTAAACAAGCCTCATTCCTTGATTTTTTCCCTCCTATAAAACTAGGAAGGTGGTTCATGTTTTTATCTGCATAGGCACATAAAAAGGATTGGGAGTGAGGTAGGGAAGCACCTTTAAGATCAGCTCTTAATGTTGCGATATCTGGACTGGGTTAAATAAAGTTAACCCTGTTTTGTTTTTTGGGATGGATGACAACTGAGGTTGTCCTTGTTTCGTATTGGCATAACTGGAATGGCAGAGCTGAACATTTCAACTGCTTTTTGGAGACTTTGTAGAGTTATTTTTCCATTTAAAAAAAAAAAACCCACAAAAATGCTGGTGGTGGTGTGCAACAATATACTGTAGTATATGAATTATCTCTAACTTTCTTTTCTTCATAACATTTCCTAGGCATCTTTTCGCTGTGTATGTTCATAGCCCTTTATTTCCTAGTACTGATAAAAGAGAATATTGTAGAACTGTGGGATCCTTGGTGCTCTCTGTATTCTTATGGATGTTTCTTTACCAAACTAGGTTTACATCACTATGTAAAGTAGCCTGAGCTATTTCTGATCGCTCCCTATTTTATCCAGGATCCCCAGGCTATCTCACTCAACTTTTGACCAAGAGAATTTGATGAAATCGCCGACAAGGCATTATTCACTGCGATGGAAACCTGTAACAATACCAGCCTATTAAAACGTTCAGGATGTACTTCCCCAATGCCGATATAAAAGGAATTGGCTAATTTCTAATGGTCCTAGGCCACATGACCTAGATGAGTGTAGGTCCAGTGACAGTATACCATAGCAATTTGGGGCTCACAGAAGACTTTGTATCACATTTGCACATTCAATTCCTGACTTTTAGACATGAGCAGTACATCTTTAAAATGGCTGAGTGGCCTCCTTTTGCAATTAATACTTATGACATTGTTCTAAGTCAAGGACACACACATAACAGTATTCAGAGCTACCGTATATGCCGGCGTATTAGGCAACCCGGCGTATAAGACGACCCCCGTCTTTGTCGCCGAGCCGCATTCGTAGAACGTCGTCTTATACGCTGGAAACTACCAGTATTTCTGGTGTATAAGATGACTCGGCGTATAAGACGACCCCCGTCTTTGGCGCCGAGTTTAGCGCTTCCGGAAGTCGTCTTATACGCCGGCATATACGGTATTTTAAATCAGGGCATTAACAGGCTTAAAATAAGACCCCAAATCTATCCACGATGACGCTTGAAGAAATACAGTTGTTTCTGTTTTGCCAAGGAGATTCAAATCTAGATATCTTTCAACCCTCCAAGTCCTCCCTTTCCCACATTTAATAAGCCACTGTAAATAAAGGTTCGCCAATCCAAGCTGAAAGTCCGAAGGTTTGCTACTACGTTGTGAACCGATCGTGTTTTAAAAACCCACACTGGAAGCTGAATAAATATAAATTGCATATATTGTGCTTTCATAAATATTTTTTCTAGAGGAGCGTTCTAAAGCAAGATAAGAGTCAAGAGAGCAACATCTTTGGGAGTTATCAGCAAGCTCCTTGTCTTATACCTAAGACAAGGGAAGGCCCTTCACTCCATCCAGCAGCAGCTTCTCGGATACCACTGAGAAAAACATGCTGTGGAAGGAACGTCATTTCCTCCATGGAGCACCAAGAGTCTTCAGTCGGGCAACCTATCTGACGCTCTGAGACATGTGCAGCGGTGTCAACATCTCTTCAAAGATGGCTCCTTTCACATTCGACCCTCTCAGGTTGGCCTCTTGTAGATCACAGCCTGACAGATCACAGTTCTGAAACCAACGAGGAGGTGATCAGCAGAGGTTTAGAGATTGGATGACAAACCTACAAAGCCACATGGCTGTTAAAGTTGAAGGAAACGCCCAACGATTCCCCCTGGTTTAAACCCTTTGGGGTCCATCAAAAATTGGAAGATGAAGCTCTTACCTCCAAATCGGTTCCCGCCAAGGTTGCTCCTCTCAAGTTGCAGTTTTTCAATTTTGCGTTCTTTAGAGTGGCAACTCGGAGATTGATGCCCGTCATCTGACTTCCTTCCATATCCACACCTTTCAGGTTAGCACCTGTAGTCACAAAATTCAAGCCCATCAAAAAAAAAAAAAAAAAAGAGGTGGAATTTCCTTTCATCCTCACTATGCTATTATAGCATCCTATTACAACAGGGGTCTTCAGACTTGGCAACTTTAAGACTTGTGGACTTCAACTTGTGGCTGGCTGAGGAATTCTGGGAGTTGAAGTCCACAAGTCTTAAAGCTGCCAAGTTTGAAGACCCCTGCATTACAAGATATAGCAAAAGATGCTAATTTTTATGTCGGTTGAGCCACTGGAAATATTATACACGAACTAAATTATGTCATGTTCTTCCTTTTCCAGTAAACAACAATAATAATTAAAAAAAACCTTAGAACAGCACAGTTCCTTAACAAAGGTATCTAACTATAAAAGTTTGCCATGTTTTATCTTTCTGTTTTATTTATTTTATTGTAATTTCTTTACTTAATTTTGTGAGCCATCCAGAGTCATTGAGAGCCAGATGGCTTTAATAAATTATTAAAATCGGTTGGATAGTCAGCCAGATGTTTAGATAGGATTTTGCATTTTTATTCACTTATCAAATCCTTCCCAAGAGCTGGGATAGGCAGATATTGTTAGTATTATTGTTGTTCGTTGCACAGACGGATGTTCAGACCTAATTTGGCATTTTTGCCTGCCTATCAAGTCCTTCCCAAGGACCTGGGAGAGGCATATGTGGATATTTGATGGTGTTACAGATATCATCAGAGGATGTAAGTTGTTTTGAGTAAGCTGCCTTTTGCAATTGACTGATGGTGAATTTGTCAATGTCAGTGGTGTTCAAATGGTGCTACAGTTGGTTTGGGATTGTACCCAAGGCTCCTATGAGTACTGGCACTATCTTTGCTTTCTTTTGGCACAGTCATTCTATTTCTATTTGCAGGTCTTTGTATTTTGTTATCTGCTCTCAGGTATTGCCTTATCACTAAGCGAAGTACTGCCTTATTATTAAGCGAAGTACAAGTGTATAAGCAATGGAAGTCATGGCCCTTCAGAAATTGTTGAAGAGGTTATGAAGTGCAACAGTATATGTTATGTGAAGGAATTTCCAGCAAACATTGCAGACTACAGGAACCATTTGCATTTCAGTTTGAGATGCAGACGACACAGACTCATCCCCAACAGCCTGTGCCTGTCTTTAGCAGTAAAGCGACACAGGGCACAAAACATCCTGCAGCCAAGGCTCCACACACATTTGAATTAGTCAGGTGACCCTGTGGACACAGGTAAACCTCCAATTGGCCTCAACAACTCTCTAAAAGAATACAAATGACCAGCTGTCTGCAAGGACATTCCAGCCAGAGCTGAAGAAGCTTTTTGAATGAGAAGCAACATGTCTCGTGAGAAAACATCCTTGGGACACATTCAGCCATTTCCTGAATGATACTGACTGCATTACATAAAAAGAAAAAGCCCAGTCAGTGTTTACCTTCCAAGTTAGCTTTAAGGCCAGAAGGATCTTCAAAATTGCAGCTTTTCAGCGATGCTCCCTCTGCATTTGAGCACAGCATCTTTACACCTTGGAGATTGGCATACTGCCAAAAAAAGAGGAAAGCAAAATTCTCAGGTGAAAAAGAAGCCACATTTCAATCTGATATAGAATTCTGCAGGCTACATTTGACAAATGGTGGGCTTGATCACATTTGCTTAAAATACTCCAATGAAGAAAAATCCACAGCTTTTGTTAGCCGAATCTGCAGGTGACAAATCACAGTGCTTTGCCTAACGGAGTTTATCTCAACTCCGAAAACTTTAGCTCTTGCTTCATTTCATGGTTAATAATCCCTTTCATCTTTTCAGGTCCATCCTGCCAAATCCATCTCTTCTGTTTCTTGGTATTTCTTTGCAAATAAATCCAAATTAGTAGAGAGACATGGGACATTTCCAGAGCTAGAAGCTGCCATCAGGTGGACAACTAGACATTTTAGCTTAGCATGGTTCACACTGATGGGTTTTGCTGTGATTGACAAGGGTCTTTAGTAGTCATATCTTAAGAGGCTGTGGTTTATTTCTAGGCCATGCATGCTCCACACTGCAGCTACTTTGCAGTTCCCCTTTTATTAAAAGGTGTACTAGCTAGTTTGGGCACACCACTATGGAACAGAACAATCCATTTTGCCTAAGCTTGTGCAAGAGGTGTGCATTTTATTCTTAGTCCTTATCCAAATAACACCCACATCTAGAACAGATCCGGAGAGATCAGCCCGTTCAAGGTTTGCGCAGCAGAGATTTGCATGGGCCAGGTTGCATCGGCTCAAGTTGGCCATCTTGAAGTTGATGTACCGGAGATCTAAACGAGAGAGGTCAGCACCACTAAAATTTAACCCCTGGAGGAGAAGAGAACAGCGGTCAGGTTATACAGTCCATAAAGAATCTGAGCTCAAAACAACCGTTTCAACTCTGTCATGGTTACATCAAGCTCAAAACAACCCATCTGGAAGTGAAGCTTTGGGGGGGGGGGTTCACCCCTGTTATCTACATTTTGCATCAGCTGTGCAAAATCCAGCTCAAAAATCCAAACGCAACTGCTTGGAAGGCAAAGTATCTAACCTAACTCAGAGGAGGAATACACTCAACATTTATGTTTTTTATTTATTTATTTGTTCAATGTCTAGAGCCGCCCATCTCAGTGAGTGACTCTGGGCTGTTTACAATTCAGAACATATGTTGCAGTTAAAAATATAAAAAAAAACATTTTAAAACAATAAAAACAATAAACAATAGTAAAAAAAAAATTAAAACATCCAATTCAAGATACACAAGAAAATGTGATCCAGGTTCCTCTAAAGCAATGTTTCTCAACCTTGACAATTTTAAGGCATGTGGACTTCAGCTCCCAGAATTCCACAGCCAGCTGGCTATGAAATTCTGGGAATTGAAGTCCACATGCCTTAAAATTGTCAAGGTTGAGAAACACTGCTCTAAAGCATGGTTGTCCAACCTTATTTTCCCTGGGTTGGGCCACATATAAAATATATACTGCAGTATAGTTAATGTATATAAATAGCAAACTTCCTTAATTTTTCAATATTTTGTATTATCTTGTGGGGCCTCATTATTAGCTATCCAGGGCTGCAGGCTGCCTGTGGTGATTTTTAACGTATCGGTGTAAACTTTTCTCTTTACAAATTGTGCAAAACAGGTCCCAAAAAAACATCCTTATTTCTTTTTTTTTATTTCATTTTCTCATGGTACCTGACAGCGTAGCTCCGACTTGGTTGAGGTGGCAAGGAGGAATCTAACAAACTCCTTTCGAGAAATCGGGGAGTGGTCTTCTGCAGGCTGGGAATTCTGTCCCAAAAACGGGAAGAAGAGTTTAGGCCCAAACAATACGAGATGGAATAGCTTTTGAAGAAAAGATTGGACAGCCGCCTATCTGAAATGATATAGAGTCTCCTGCTTGAGCAAGTTGGACTAGGGGTCCCCAACTGGGGTCGCCAACCCGCGGTCCATGGACCAGTACCAGGCCGTGGCATGCCAGCAACCGGTCTGCACAAACAAGCAAAGCCCCATCCGTGAGATGCAGGCAGCACACAAAACCACACCCGCTTCAGTCCACGGAAAAAGCTCTCTCCACAGAACCTGTTGCCCAAAAGGTTGGGGACCTCTGGACTAAAGACTCCAAGGTTCTTTCCAGCTTTATTCTGATTGTTTGATTGATTGCTTACATTAGGTGATATACAGCAGCGTGGGATTTCTGAGGCATTTTCAAGAAGGATATTTACAAGAAGTTGGGGATGTTGACATTGTAGGCTTGTTACATCTAATTCTGTCCCTTTCCTCTACACCAGACATGTCAAACACAAGGCCCAGGGGCCAGATGCGGCCCGCGAAGTAGTTTCATGTGGCCCGCGAAGCCATCCTGGAAACAGTGAGGGAATGGCCTCCGTTGCCTTGGCCCTGGCCCAGGCCAGCCGGGAGCCAATGTACAATTTTGTGGTGGCCATCTATGCTGAAACGCATTCAGTCTTAGCTCCACAAGGCCTTCTGGAAACAGCAGAGTGCATGCTGGGGAGGTGTCACCCTTTGTGAGGAATGAAGAAATGGACCATGCCTTGGCACTTGCCCCGGTCCCACCCCCTTCTGCCACAGACCCACAGATCTGTCCCACTCCTACCTAGGCCCCCACAGGCACCCTTGACGTGAACGATGTAGAGCTGGCCACGCCCACCCAACTGGCCACACCCACTCCATCCATACCCACCAAATAGGCCACAGCTACCCTGGCCATACCCACCCGGCCCCCTGAGCGCAACCACAATGCTGATGCGGCCCTCAATGAAATTGAATTTGACACCCCTGCTCTACACCACATTCAGAAATCACTGGGTTTTTTTTTTGCTAATTTACATATTCTGGCTTCACTCTATGGTTGAGCCCATTAATGTTTATGTTTGAAGAACAAAGCAACATAAATTGTTGGCACGCTACGTTACAGTGGTGCAGCCATTTGAGCGTGCTCTCCATGATATCTATGAAAATTAAGTTGCTATCCTTAAGCCATATATAGTACGTGTGCATCTCTCTGAAAATAACTGACTTGACTGGCGTCCACTCAGAATGTTGCCAATTCAACGTTACTGGCTTTTGTTCACTTTTTCATACTTTTTTTTTTATTAAGGATTCTCACAAGATAAAAAATAATGCCACTTAGTGTCAGAAAGAAGGGAAAAAAAATACAAAGTGCAAGATTTATCTCTCTCAAAAACTTCTTCAAAATGTTTTGTTTTTAAGAAATAGAAACATTTCCAGGGCGCAATATAACATAATAAGCAAGTTGTAACATGGAAACCAAAACAAGGGCAAATGACCGGAAAGTAATCAGATACGAAAATAAGTATTACCTTAATTGCTAGTTCAAGGTGTTCAATCAGGGAGTCAATGCCAAAGAATCTTGCTTCCTCTGAGACACCTAGGGTAAGATGATCGACACAATACAAGCTAGCAATGGTTGGGAATAATGACAAGATTCACCACTCAACCTTCCTGCTCTCTAGGAACTGCTCTCTAGGCTGTAGGAACCATGCACAGGATCAGGCAGTTTCACTGGGCCAAGATTCTTTGCCAGAACTGCTCTTAATCATAATTAATGTTAGATGTCAATCATGATTTACTACTTAAGATCAACAATGGTCTGAAGATGAATTGTAAGCCAGCTTCATACAACATGCTGTTTTATTGCATGCCAGGTTAGCATCAACATGTTAACAACAAAATCTTATCTGGTAATCTTAATCTTAAATCCCTTTTCCAGATCTATTTGATTAAAAATTCCACAACCTCTACTTAGCCATGCGTTGACTGACTGATTAATCCCACCTTTCCTCTAAAGCAGTGGTCCTCAACCTTTTTTTGACCATGGACCCCCTTTAAATACCTTTTGTGGTCATGGACCATGGCCACGGACCCCCAAGACTTAACTCAAGATTTAAATTATAACAATTCTTCAAGCCTTCACAGACCCCCTGTGATGACATCACAACCCCCACAGGTTGAGAGCCAGTGCTCTAAAGAGCTCAAAAGGCTGTTACCTTAATTCTTGTTCCTCCAATTTTCTCCCACAACTCTATCAGATAGTATGGGCTAAGAAAGAATGACTGGCCCAAATCATCCAGTGACTTGAACAAGTGTAGTCTTAGTTGGTTATGGTGTTGGACTCGGTCTGGAGAAACTCAAGATCTTACCAAAATGCCAAAAGCTTGCATGGGATTTCCACATCCTTGGTTCTATTCAGGAAGCTTGGCTTTAGACTTCTTTTAGAACAAGCACAGTTCCAACAAAGGCAACATAATGTTTTATAGGTCCTAGTACATACCTAGCAAGTTAATGCCATCGTTCACAATTAGCTGTCCATGCCGCAAATAGTTTAAGATTGGTTCAAAGTACTCCGGACTTCGGTCAATCAGGAAAGCTCCACTGTGATCTCTCTTGTTTCCCCAAGCATCTGTTGCAGAAGGACACATTTTTGTAAAAAAAAAAAAAAAAATTGCTTTAATAAAGCGTCAATTTCTCACCCTCCCCATCTCCATCCCTCCCCTGCAGCTTAGATGGATCAACTGGAGGCAAGTTTGGAAATCAGACTTAAGTGCCTCTCGTTGCCCACCACAAATTTAGAACAAGAATATAGTAAATAAGGAGGAAAGGACATCCTCTAAACCATAAATATATGTTCCACTCGCTTCACAGGTGTTTCTGTTGGGCAGGGCAAGAACTACATTTACATTCTAAAAGCGGACAGGATAATGGGATGGTGCTCATGGTTTTAAGAGGTGAACTCAATACTCCTTCAATTCCATGCAATGGCACATTTTTGACCCCTGTATGATCCAGGAAAGAGCCCCAAACCTGTTTACATGTGGTATGTAAAGGCATTAATAACTATGTTCTTTTTTTGTGGCAGGCTTTGATTTTGTAGGCTGAACATCATTGCTCACTCCTGACTTAAATGAACTGAAATAAGCTATGGTGACATTCCTGCTAAATTGTTCCTTTCTTCTTTAAGCACCTTTGGACATGCTCCTCTAACCAAGGAGTTTAGCTAGACAATGCTGCAAGTTCAAACTCCCATCTTTGTTTACAGACAAGAAGCTAAACGGTGCCACTGTGGTATGTGTAGTTTCTCAGAATCATCTTACATCAAGCCTTACTTTGCAATAAAGAACAGTTTACAGGCCGTGGATTTGCAAATTGAGTACTGGATAGAATACTGGAGAGACCTTTCACATATGTAACTTAAGTCATACTGACCTTTATCTTTAAACATGTGGGCCAGCATGCTATCCGGTTCTTTACTAACTAAAGTGCTCCTAAGAAAGAAATGTAGAGAAATTAATGAGTAAATTGGCCACACTGGCATTTGAAGTAGCATTCAAGTGGGGATTTTAAAAAAGTGGGGATTTTAAAAAAGTGGCTTTTATGTGATAAGCAATTTGGGTCCCAATGTGGCTCCACACCAGAATGACGAATGTTGGTTGAACCTTTAATTTAATAAAGGTTTAATTTAACAAAGGTTTAATGTTAATCTTTAATTTGTGAAACTGCTTAATTTTCAGGGGGGGGGGAGAAGGAACTAAGAAAAGCCAAGGTAACATCATATTAAACCAGCATTTAAATCATAGATGGTTGAATTATGTACATCTCGGTTGTACATCTGGGTTATACATAATAATAACCAACAATTGCCTTCAGATAGCATGCTACACAAACAGCCCTGCAGTTTAGCCTGGAGCCTGAATCCAACCACTGCATTCAAAAGTTGTTGACAGCTTTATTAATGAACAATGCATTTAATACTTAGGAACATAATATTTCCAGCGATAAACTTTTTCACAAGAAGAAAACAGACTCTTACCGGGTAGTTGTGAAATACCGTCCTCCTACATTGAGTGTGATCCAATCCGAATGAGATCCTGTTAATGTTTCTAAAGAGTTGATATCATTCTGGGGATCTAGGAACGTGGAAAGCATATCATCGTACAGTAACCACTTCAGACTTCCTGTTCTTCAGGAGGAAAACAACTTGGTGTACTTACCAATGAATGGTTCGCCTTCACATACAAAAAGAACGTCATCATCTCTATTGGTTAAAGAAAAAGAGAAAGAAAACCAGGGATTCAGAATAAGCCTGACAGATGTTTTTGGAAAACAGTAGTTGTTCATTCCAGAGTCCACGGTTTTAGAGAGACTAAAATCGATCTTACTGCATTATAATAGTTTAAGTGACGAAGATCTAAATAACAATTCAACTGTGTTAAGTGGCTTCATGTGAAGGAGTTTGAGCTAGTCCTTTTATGCAATAGTTGTTTATGGATAGTCTGTATATCAGACTTGCTCTGAAATGCAGTGTTTGAGCAAGAACAGTTTTTTTAAAAAATGTGAAATCACTAAGATTGTTTTCTCTTTTCAAAACAGGAAGTGAGCGCCACAGTCTAAAACCAGAGTCTGATTTTTATTTTCTTACACTCAACTGCTTCAATGTCAGTTTTATATATATATTACCTTGAGTGTTTTTTTGATGCACCCTGTCGGCCCAATTATGGGAGAAAGAAATCTCAAGGTAATTCTCTCCTGTCTCTTTCCTCCCTGACACAGCTGACAAAGTGAGAAAGAGCCTGTAGCCTAGAGGTTAACACAGCTGCCTAAAGTGCAAGCAGCCCAGATTCGAATCTCAGAAGGGTATGTTTGGCTGATGAGAGCTAATTAGTTCGAAATAGCTATTCCATTCTCCCTTAATTCGTTGTTAGCAATCCAAATTTATTTAAATAGATAGATAGATAGATAGATAGATAGATAGATAGATAGATAGATAGATAGATAGATAGATTAACAAACTCTCCATGCTCTAAATTCAATTCCTTTTGCAGATGGTTTTTATCCAAATTCCTTAAATGCAATGACATTTGTGTTTGGGAAAATTGGAAAATTAAGAGTCAAGCTGAAGAGTTAGATTCATATTTATGCAACGATACTCTGGTAAAGAGGCTTTGTTTACCGCATACTTCCCAACAAATTCAATAAGCATAGGATACTTGGAACAAACAATGTTAGTAGAAATTATTTGTTAGAAGGCAAACTATAGGATGGGGGTAGCAATTCTCTAGCCAGGAAAGATGGAATGCAAACCCATTTGTAACCATTACACAATGAAATCCACATAAAATCCTGTCCCAGTTGAGCAGCTATATAAATCTTATAATTTGACTCTGAAGCTCAGGCTTTTCCTTCCTCTGCTTTTTCATTTATTGTAATCAGAGTGTGCAACAAGGATAAATGCTTGATACCCTCCAGATGCTTTGGACTACAGCTCTCACCATGTCCAACCGGCATGAAAATTATATTTCTGGACATCTGGAAGACATCAGGTTGCCTACTCCTAGTGCACAATAATTTTGAATTCTTCACTGACTTTTTAGCTAAGTCACTTCCAAATCAGAATCAAATCGTGGTTTGAATGGGGTTGGGATTATGATTTACAGAATGGGCTTTTCAGATGTCAGAGTAGACCCATGCTTTGTGCTAAGCCACAGTTGCGGATTATTTAGATTTGGCCTTGGGCATGGCATTCAGTCAAGCCAGGACGCCTTGGCAACCACATTATATTGCTGAATATTGTGTGTGAAATGAGACACCATGATTTGCTCAACAAACTGTTATTCAAACCAGGGGTGGGCAACATTTTGGTTGCCAAAGGCAATACTTAACGTTTTTTAGGACGGAGGTCTATCACATAAGCAAGTAGGGATGGGGTGGAGGAAGAGTGGAAATGGAAGAATATAGAATAAGTTGGAAGGGACCTTAAGAGATTTTCTAGCCCAATCCTCCCCTCAGGCAGGAGGCTCTATACCACCAGTGTCTTATTGAAAACCTCCAGTGATGGAGCACCCACAACTTCTGAAGGCAAGTTGTTCCATGAATAACCATTCTGATTGTCAGGAAATTTCTCCTTAGTTCTAAGTTGCTTCTCTCTTTGTTTTCCATTTGTTGCAGGAGAACATGGAGCTATAATATATTCTCCATAGACTAATCCCAGTTGATGGCTTTGTAGGAAAGGGGTTCATGGCCATTTCAATATCAACACATTGTACTCTATCTAATGGGGTATTCCTGAATCAGCTTCTATTCCATCTTCCAAGCTTATTAGGCTTATTCGAAAGGGCTCTAATGAACACATTTCCAAAATGGGCTAATCTTACCTAATTAAGGCAATGTCATCAATGAGTCCACCTCTTCCATTGTAGACGCTGGTTGCTTTTATTCCAAGCTTATTACTTGCGACAGAAAGCAAATCGGACAGTGTTCCATAAACAGCCACAACCTATAAGAGAAAGTTAGTCTTTTAATCCAATACACAGAATTAGCTGCTCTGGAATTTTCATCCATTTATATTGTCTACTAGTATACAAATCCACGCGCTGTGCAGCGCTCTTGATCTGCTTCAAATTCAGCCCAAGATAAATTGCACCATTTTTTTTCTGCAGAAGTCTTTCAATCTTAGAAAATCTGGGCTTCTTTCTCATTTCCAGTCTCCACAATGTAGATTGCAACAAAGAAATAGTTTTATCTACACTTGAAACTTAATATATTTAAGGTATTTTAGAGAACAGTCATGCTACCGGTACCTTTTCAATTAAATGGAGCCAATTTCTAGACTCGTACTAGATCCAAACAGCGCAACTGCTGAATTAAGGGGGCGAGTATGTGCATCCTGCCATCACAATGTGGTTTATTTGTTTCAGTTTTCAGTAATAAACAACAATTGGTTGGGTTTGTGTAATAAACCATACAAGTAGTTCTTGTTTAGTGTTTACAATTGGAACTGGTAACTTGGTTATTTAAGCAAAGCAATCACAAAGTGAAATGCAATTCTGCTTAGATCTTATTTCAGCTTTCTCAGATCTGGAAAGGTTGTAAATATAAGAATTGGTCATAAAGTTACTTTTTCATCACTGTCATAACTTCAAACGGTCACTAAGTGAGGCAGTTACTAAACGAAGCAGTCATTAAACAAGGACTGCCTTATTTCAATGTGGTTCATTTGGTTCTGACACAGCATAATCTGAAAACTGAGTAATTTATCTTTTTATGTAAACGTGTGTAGAACTGTACCTTTACAAACAGAATCTTAAGAGATTCATAAGTGGCAGAAATGTGACATTATTATATATATATATCCAGAACTGATTGTATCTATTGACCATAAAAAAGTAGAATATTGTACATTTTAAATACATTGTGAAGCCAATAAAAGCAACCAGTGGAAGTATTTCCAAATTGGGAAGATTCTGAGTTAAATTATTTCAGAACATTTCCATAATTAATTGAAGGAAACTGGGTCACTAGGCAATCGAAAGACAAAACAATTCCAAAACTGTTATTAGGCCACATCGATATTAGATGATGGGATGGTGGAGATTTAATCACCTAATGTAGAATTATCCAGCTTTATCATTGGAGATAATTTTCTCTTTCTTTTTTTCCTCTTAAATGTTTATGGCTTCCAATATTTTTGCTTACAACTTCAGCGTACTGCTAGAATGCAACGAAGTCTACCACGGCAGATGGACTGCTCCTGTTTTATTTTCTGAGTCTCTCAACCACAGATGGGAAACCACATCCTGTGGGTTGTCATTTGTTTTGCATTCCCAACAAGGTAAAGCACAGATTCGTATGTCAAAGGCCATCATTTTAAAAAGCCAGTCACTTCATAAACCCAAAGCAACAGGGTTCCACAGGTGCTGGCTGATCTGATGCACAAATTTAAAAAAAAATAAAATAAAATTGCCAGTCCTCCGTTGTTTATAATCCAGAGTTTCCATACCTGTTCCCAATCATGGTCCTGCCACCTGTTGTTAAGAGTGAGCAGAAACAGCAGTAAGGGAAAAACTTTTGATCGGTCCAAACGTCATCCCACCGTTTCCTAGCCAGCCCTCCTGGGTCCGCACTCCATCAAAATGAGCAAATGTCAACCAAGAGGAATATCTGGGAAACTTCAAGGGGCAAAGTTCTGCAGAAGTTCCTCGCCTGTCTTAAAAATCGATCATAGCTTGAGCTGCACATTATGTCAATGACAAAAAGGACACTGTTTCTTTTTTACTTGGCGTATACATTTCCCAAAGATTTCCATTCTTGGCCAAACATATTTGAGTTGAAATATTTCTTGAGGAAAGGAGGGCTACGAGTAACTTAAACCCACCACCCCAAAACTTTTTAAAATAATAATAATAATAATAATAATAATAATAATAATAATAATAATAATAATAATAGTTGTTGTTGTTGTTGTTGTTATTATTATTATTATTATTATTATTATTATTATTATTGATCATCGCACAGTCAGCCAGATGTTCAGACTGGATTTGACATTTTTGTCTACCTATCGAGTCCTTACCCAGGACCTGGGATAGGCAGATGTGGATGTTTGATGGTATTACAGATATTGTCGCAGGATGGAAGCAGTTCCTAGTAAGGCCGCCTTTTGCAATTGACTAATAGCGAATTTGTCAATGCCAATGGTGTTGTTGTTGTTATTATTTTATGGAATATTTTATGTAATGAAAGTCACTACTAAACTTCTTTTAAAAAAAATGATAAAACACTTATATTTTAAGACAGTACAGTTTAATGTTTTCACGCAATATCCTAATCTCCTCGAGGCACTAAACACGAGCAATGCTAACTGCTGATTTATCGAACTATCACGCTCAACTTCCACAACCAGCAAAACCAACTTCGGTGTTGCAAAATACAGGAAGTTCTCAATTTATGACCAGAATTAGGACCAGAATTTCCAAAAACCATCGTTAAATGAGTCACCCCCAATTTTACAACTTTTTGCCATAGTTGTTAAGCAAATCACTGCAATTTTTTAAGTGAACTATCTGGTCCATTAAGCAAACCCCACTTCTTCCATTTGCTTTGCCTGTCAGTAGCCATCCCAGATGGTCACAAATGGTGATCATATAACCATGAGATGCTGCAATTGTTGTAAACACAGGTAGTCCTTGACTTACAACAGTTCATTTAGTGACTGTTCAAAGTTACAAGGGCACTGAAGAAAAAGTGATTTAGGATCATTTTACAACTGTTGCAGCATGCCCACAGTCATATGATCAAAATTTGGGTGCTTGGCAACTGGTTCATATTTATGACGCTATCCCAGGGACTAGTGACTTTCCTTTGCAATCTTCTGACATGCAAAATCAATGGGGAAGCCACTTAACAAACTGTGCTACTTAATCACTACAATAATTCGCTTAATACCTGTAGCAAGAAAGATGGTAAAATAGGGCAAAACTCACTTCACAAATGTCTCACTTAGTGAGATGAATGTTGGTGTCCTAATTTCAAACGGTCATTAAAAATGATTCAAAGTCAAGGACTTCCTGTATGATGGTGGTTATAATCTAGGATATTGCAAGGAAGCCAGTTTTGGGGGGGGGGGTCCTAAATCTTGATTTAGCTTTCAGAGGCTCTCTTTACACACTTTTGCTAGAGCAATAAGCAGGAAGATAGAAGCTGCTGTGACTGTTTTGGATGAATCACAGCTTAGAGTCACGTTCAAATCCTAAACTCTGGTTCATTTATTATACTGTGAATCACAAGAAAGTGAGTGGAGGAAATGAAATTTAGACAACCAGCAGCTGTTTGCAAATAATTAGTCCTTGATGCACAATATCAGAAAAAGAATTTGTGGGAAAGAACACTGTAACACCAAAACATTGGAAATAACAAAGACAAACTCTGTTTTGTGCTCAGATATTAACCCCTCCATACAATTTTGCTTTTCTTCTTCCTGCTTGTTGAGTTATTATTAGATTATGACAGCAAAGAAGTAAATCTTATGGATTATTTATACTCCAGTGCCTACTCAGAGTTTCCAGGACAGATTCTTGTATACTGTACTGACTTGTAATAGGGTTTGGTTGTACATGATGTGTGATCCCAATCATTATGGTTTGTTAATCAGGGAAATATGATTTAGCGTCTTGGGTAAATCCAACCATGGTGTTATCTAACAAATTGAATCCAAAAGAATACCAGTATCTGGCACAGTAAGGCAGAAAATCCTTGTTGGGATCAAGATGATCACAATTTGTTGCAATTATAATTTACTGGACAAGCCAAAACATTAATACACAATGCTAACCATAGAAAAGAAGAAGCAATATTTTGGGAGGAAGCCTAGCTCCATTTTATCAAAACAAATCTACACAGGTTATTTGTACAGCTAGGTGCTGACACAGATCTTTTAAAGACTAAATCCTGACAAAACAGCATGTCTCCAAATAAACTTATAAGTTATATTCATTATATAACTTATATAATGAATATAACTTATATTCATTAATTTATGCCTGTCCCTTGGCCCACGAAAAAGTGATGCAAAGCTTGCATTTTCATTAACTTGAAAGGGACTTTTTACTGGCACACAATCAGCCAAGTCACCGGCTAATTTCAGATACAGCTCTAAGACATAGCAGGCTAATCTGGAATTTGCTATTAAGAAATTGTCCTAAATAAAAGAACTGACACCTTAGACCAAATTATCCTTCATCCTACTGTAATTACTCTTATCCCTTTCTCCTAAATCATGATCCTGTATTATTATTTTTATGACCCTGTAATCCATTGTATCATGGTGGAGACAGGGCAACTGAATGGAGCTGAATGTTTACTAACCGGATACCTTTCCTGATGCCTACACAGAGTTCATAAGTTATTTTCTCTTTGTGCCCTGATAGAGAAACATCTGTCACTGTCCAGGATTGAACTCTCAATCTCCTGAGTATGAGGTGAGCGTCTGCAACTCTAGGCCAGTGCACAGTTCATGATCCTATATTAATTAAACCTATGATAATTCAATGCAGTCTTTATATTCTGTATATTTAATCCAGCAGTGCTTCAGGAATGAGGATAGGCAAACAAGCATACTGCATCTGTCTGGTTAACGGTGCAAGCCATTCCTAACTAGGAGAATTAGAAGACGTAATGGTTGTGTCTGCATAATACATTATGCTTAGTTGGACTTTCTGTGGCTCTATGATTTGCATGCACCAGTCCACTTAATTTATGCATTGTGAAAATGCAGAAAAAAATGATCAATTCATTAACAGGTTAAGAGTGCTGTGTGCATGCAAACTCTTTTTCTTTTGCAATAATTGGTATTAAATTACTGAGTGCCCACTAGGTGGAAGGGAAAAATTTAAATTAAATTGTTAACAATCAGCATCAGTTAATAGCACTTTTGGGAAAGATAGTTGGCATTTTTGTACACCACAGTTCTGATGATTTGCATTTTTATCAAAGCGATCATTTATTTTATGGATTTCATGTACTACAGTACTGTGCATCAAAAAAGCTTTAAATACGTATTTCTACTCTGAAGGTCATCACCAAGTGAAATGCAATGCAATCACCAGAAAATCTGCATAAGTATTAATGATTTTAATTGTGGACTAAACATCAAATTGCTATGAAGCCTACTAAGAAGACCACACATATCTGGTCTGAAAAAGTGAAGACAGGCATTAAATGGCTGTAAAGAGTTTTGCCTTCCCTCTAGTTGTCCTCCAGATTTTTGCAGGTCGGATACAACAGCCCCTATGTAGGCAATGACTCTATTTCCATATTCTTATGTGCTCCAGTTCTGTTGAACAATACATTTCATCACCCTGCATAGGAAATCCAGGGAGTTTCAAGTCTTACCAAATTAGGTAGCTGCCCTCAACTGACTAATCCTGAATTCCAAACAGGATGAGAGCTGGTAAATCCTTGGGGGATAGGAGACCACCAGGAAATCCTAGGGCTGTAGCCAAGATCAGAAAGTTTTTTTTAAAAAAAAGGGAAGCCAGTCACCTCCACCTCCAACCACATCATTTTCTCTGCGGAGAGACTTTCTCATCCCCTTTCTGGGAAGGTGGCCAGCTCAGAGAAGGGTGGGGTGGAATTCCAGGCAACCCCGGAGGAAGTAGCTCAATGATTCTGGGGAAGAAGAATCTCAAGGAAATTAAAATTCACATTTGGGGTTGGTTGTAGTCCTTTTGCATCAGCTCAGTTCTGGAAATGCACTACTCCAAGGAACATCCAAGGTTGGCCGCTTGGAAGACTTGTGGACTTCAACTCCCAGAATCCCCCAGCCAGCAATTGCTGGCTGGGGGATTCTGGGAGTTGAAGTCCACAAGTCTTCCAAGTGGCCAAGCTTGGACACCCTTGCACTATTTCCATCCCTCTCATCAAATCCAGTGGGAATTGCTCCCATGGAAGCTGGCCCGTTTTTCCCAGGGAAAAACCTTCCATCTGCAGTTCCAGCCCGGCTATTCCCTGCTGGAGACTGTAGGCTCTCCGGGAGCAGAGACCTCGTGGTGTCCCTGATGCAGATCCAGAATCAAGAGGGAGGCCAGTCCTACTGCAAAGCCACGCCAAAGCGGCTTCTTCCCCGCTTCCCTTCGGCCGGCTTACCTTCCCATTTCTGGGGCTGCCATTAACAAACAGGGTGACTCTCTTCATGTCCTCCCTCCGGAGTTGCCTGACCCAGCCTGGCTACAAACCCGGAAGAGTGGCTTCCTTAACCAACAGGCCCACCCACCAATCCTCCCCCTGCTTGTTTTCCCTTTGCCCAATCGGATTCGAAGGGAACGAAGTGGGCGGGACTTTCAGGCTGGGTGGGCGACTTGTCCGGGCGATTTGCTTTTCAGAAACAGAAAGGGCGGGGCTTTGAGGAGAAGGGCGGAGCAGACGAGCGGGCGGGACAGAGTCGCCTCTTTCTCTCCCCCCGCCGCTCCGAAAGGCGAGCCTCGCTCCTCATTGGCCACGTCGGTATCACGTGATCCCTCAACCGTTCTTTCATCGTTCTGAACGAACAACCCATCCGCAGGGCCGGGATTTCTTCCAAGGGGAGGGAGAGGGAGGAAAAAAATAGTTCGCTACTGTCTTCCTGATTTGTCTCCTTCAGCAGGGGAGGGCAGGGCAGGCATCCCCAGTGGGTTACATATTTGAGGCCGCTTGACCGGATCGGACTCCGCTGAGTGAAAAGAAGGAGCCGCCTGGTGTGGCGGAGGGATACACGGCTCTGGCAGGTGGTGAGAAAACATTTTGAATGAAGTGCGCGAGAGCAGGCCCGTCGGCGGCAGTTCGTCAGCGCCGAAGTCGCACTGCGAACCCGGGGCGCATCCTTTTGCATACTTACGGTAAGCCCAACAGCGGCCCTGAAACCTTCGAAGGTTTAAAATTTAATTTATGGTAACGTAGAAATTCAACCAGCGAAGCTCTAGAGCAGGGGTCTTCCAACTTGGCTCTTTGATGACTTGTGGACTTCAGCTCCCAGAATTCCTCAACCAGGCACGCTGGCTGAGGAATTCTGGGAGTTGAAGTCCACGAGTCATCAAAGGGCCAAGTTGGAAGACCCCCTGCTCTAGACTTGTGTGTTTCAAGCTTGGCTACTTTTAAGGTGGATGGACTTCAACTCCCAGAACTGACGTCCACCCATCAGTCTAGGCATTCCTTGCATATGCCAGACAATCCTTAAGGTGGAAAAAAGCAAAGCACCTTTGGGAATGCACGTTTCCCAGTGGTGTGCAGATGTGCAAGAGGGAGTGTGACAGATGCAGAAATTCAGACACACTCTCGGTGGCAAAAGTCTGGGGTAGAGTGGTCAATTCATTTTCCCAGGGGGACACATGAGAAACTGGGACTGTTGTGGAGGACCGATCCCACAGGACTGTGAAGGTGTGTAGGCATGCATGCATGCATGCATATACATAAAATTGGAAAAAGTCACTTGCAAAATAAAAGCAATGCAGCTGTACTGCATGCATGACAGTTGCACTTGTTTACATTTGATTTCTAATTTCCTAATGACTTCACGTGGGCCAGACCGGGACAACCAAAGGGCTGAATGTGGTTTGGGGGGCTGTAAAATTCCAGGTCTGGTTTGGGAGACAGGAGGAGACAATCATGCAAAAGAGATCTCAGCCCATAGAGGGAAGGAGGGCATTGGAAACTTTGACCCTCGCTGGGGAGGTTTTCTGGAGAGTAAAAGGGAAGGAGGGGGAATTGTGCTTGTTCTATGCCTTGTTGAGCTTTGATTTCCTAAGCTTAAGAAGCCTCTATTAAACATGGAGCAGACCATGTGCTGTATAGGTAACCAGGCAAAGGACTAGTTATCTGCCTCGTCTAACATTATCCTTTTCTTTCAAAAGAAAGATATCCAGACTTCTGTGGTACAATATTGCTTAAAAGTCCCAATCTGAAGACCTAACTATTTCTCAAGAAAGCAGCAATATCACTGATGAGTTGGCAGCAGCAAAGGCCTTCCCAATGGAGAATCAGAATACTAAAAAGGTACTTTCCGAGTGTTATAATATACAACGCAACTTACATTTGAGGTGCGGAAACTCAATCAATAGCATGAAGAAGATGGACTCTCTCTTCACAAGTGGTTCGTCAGATGCTCCAGCAGCAAATGTGTGTACAAGCTCTGTCATCTCCAAGAGTTTGGGAAGCACTCTGATAAACAATCACCCTAGCGTCGTGAATGATAGAGATAATTTAACAACTCCCAGGAGAAAATCAGAAGAGAATACAAATGTTGAAATCTCAAACAACCCAGTCACACCATCTAGAGGCTTCTCTGACAATACTGCAGTTGACTGTAGAATTACGCCAGATTGTTTTACAAGCCAGAATAAAGGTAAGGATTATGGCCATCAGGGATGGTTTGGAAAATACCATCAAGCAGCTGGCATTCTGAAGAATAGTATGTTCATAACTTACCTCTGCCATGCAACAGAATTAGGATTCCAATAGAAGAGAATATCTAATTCAGGGATGAACTGTGGGGTCCTTCATGCTCTCTGAGCTTGGTTATTTGCTTGTAGATGTTTTATTACCCAATTAGGTAATGTCCTCAGTGTGAATGAGTGTGGGCTTTGCTGCCTTTATATATTCAATAGCTTGCTCTGCCAAAGAGGATGCAGTTTCTTCATAGTTCCTTGATTAGAGGACTGTTTTCTGCTTGATTGTCTGGTGCTGATCCCTAATCAGATTCTTATCTGAATGTAAGCTGCTGGAGGGGATGTTGTCTAGGGCAGGGCTTTTCAACCAGTGGTACGGGTACCACCTGTGGTACATTGGCACCTGGCAGGTGGTACGTGAGCATCCTAGAAAAGTGGTAGCGGGGGAGGGGAATGGGCTGAACTGGTAGCAGCACCGCACAAGCCTGAGCGAGAGATAGCTGGAGTTGCAGGGCTGCCAGGGCTCAGCAGAAGCGCCAGGGTCCAGCTGGAGCTCAGCGCTGATCCTGGTGCTTCTGCTGAGCCCAGAAGAAGCGCCGATCAGCTGGAATGTTGCAGCATCTCCAGGGTCTTGTGATTTACATTCAGATACTTAGCAACTGATTCATATTTATGACGGTCACAGTGTCCCAGGGTCATGTGAAGTGACCAAAACCTGCTGCAACCACCCAGCAGACGGGGAGAATAAAAACCAAACATCCACCCCCACCCCCCGCTGCCAATCCTCAACAGAAATGCTCACAACAATGAAAACCTCGGACAGGAGGAAGAGCATCGCCGGGCGGGCAGGCAAGTGTCTTGCTTGGCTGGGGCTTGAGGGGCACTTTTTTCAGTGCCATTGTAACTTCGAACAGTCACTAAGTGAACTGTTGTAAGTCGAAGACTACCTATATTTTATCACATTTTCCTTTTTGGGGGGGGGGGGTCATCAAGTTTTTAACACCTTGCTAGGCGACTGGTGGTACTCGGATATTGCCATATCCTAAAAGTGGTACAATGGGTGAAAAGGTTGAAAAGCCCTGGTCTAGGAGTTGGTTTTTTTTTATATATATATATATTTATTTATTTATTGGTTTTGTTAACTCCCTTTTGAATGGTGTGTGAATATGGCATATCTCTATGTGTCTACTGTTTTGATTATTTGTCTGTATACCAAACTTCCACTAATTGTCTAGATTCTTGCAGTTTGGCTTGATTTAAGATTTGGCTTGGTCTAAGATGCTAATAGTTGCCCAGTTGGAATTGTGACTGAGTCTGTCCAGAGTTAATCCTAATCTCCTTAACCTCACTGGCAGGCAAACAAACGTCTAAATTCAGAGAGCACCAAGACCTCCACAACGTAAGGATTGGCTGAAGTAGGAAAAGTAGTAAGAATGTTGTTGTGGTGGCTATTTTAACTCTGACCATCCCCAAATGAAGCAGAATACTGAAGGTCTTCCCTCAATAAAAGTGGGTTTTCAAATTGCTTTTTCTGTTTTATCTTAATTGGGTGTTTCTTATCGCCCGTCTTTATTTTAGAAGAATTCAAAAATATATTGAAAAAATTAAGACGACGGTCTACAATTGGAGCACGAGGTTCTCCAGAAAATGATTCTCTCATTCGATATATTGCTCGGCAAAGGAGAATGAAGATGCAAGAAACTTTGTCAGAGGTGAGTGTGATGGAACTCAGAATAGGAACATTAAAATTTTTTTTTTTTTTTTTTGGCCAGAATGCAAAAAATGTTTCAGGTCAAAATGATTAATATCTGGGATGCAAAACTCCAGATGACTGCTAGATAGGAAAGGAAATAGATTTTTGTAGCCCAGATCAGGTAACTCTATCCACATTGGACTGATTCACTTGGATGATAGAATCAGGTCCAGTTGGGGTGGGAAATTAGTTTGGTTATTTTGACAAAATGTTTTGAAAGCCTGTGTTTTCAAAGAAGTATTGATTCGTGTCTGAATTCTAGCAAAGGCTAAAAGCCTGTGCTGAGAAGGTCATGCTTTGAAAATTCAATTGCTGACTTTAACTGGGGGCTTTTTGGAGTTTTGACTGAGGCAAATTCAAGTTTTGGCGGATTACTAAACTTTCGGTGGTTTGCCACTGGGTGGCGATGGTGTATTTGCTTCCACGCAGGAGGTCTTCTACTCCCTTTTCCAAGTACCTAGGTGTTGACAGGAGTTAATCCCTTGTTGCTCTGGATCTGAGAGGCATTTCAGAAGTCCTGGAGTATCTAACTGTATTTTATCCTTCCCTGGCTGGATTTTGGGTTTTGTAAGAAGCCATAACTTGGTTTGTTCAATTTTCCCTTAGGATAACATATGAATCTAACTCTAGTGGTCTGTATATCATGGCTTATAATTTGATGTTGTAGATGAAGCCAGCAAAATGTAGATTGTCAACCAACAATTGTTTGAAATCTGCCTCTCATAAATAAATAAGTACATACATACGTATGTGTATCTGTATATCTATATCGGGGTAGGCAACCTTGGCTCTTTTATGACTCGAGGACTTCAATTCCCAGAATTCCTGAGTCAGCATGGCTCAGCTTGGAAACCTTCCTCTTTCCCCTCAGCATGGCTGGCTCAGGAATTCTGGGAGTTGAAGTCCATGAGTCATAAAAGAGCCAAGGTTGCTTATCCCTGGTCTATATTATGGCTTATAATGTTACTGGTCAGAAGTCTCCCAACCTTTCTGACTTGGTGGACTGGCAGTGACAGGGTGGGGAATGGGAATGCATGCACCACTGCTATCACAAGTGCAGCTTTGCACGTGTGCGCGCACCCACCACTTCTGCGGACGAGTTCCATTTGGGCTGTAGCCCATCACTGAGTCATGGACTGGGGGTTGGGGAGCCCTGTTGCAAAGGAAGCCAGCAAAATGTAGCTCATTCAATCAACAATTGTTTAAAATCTATCATAAATACATAACATACATACATACATGTATATAAAGTAGACTTTGAGTAAGTAATGTGACATACTGAAATAAAACTGAAATATTTGGATTAGTTTCATATAGTGCAAACCTCCATATGGTTCAACATATGGAAATTTGTTTGCCATGACATGGGGAAGTAGGGGAAAAGAAAAAAAACTATTTTGTAATATATCTGTTTGGATATTTCCTTGTATTTTGAGCAGCCCAGCCCTTCTCAACATCGGAACACGTTGCTGAAAGACAAAATTGCTGCCTTCCAATGCTCATTTAAAGCCCTCGAAGAAACTGAAGAAAAGGCCATCCATATTCACTCTGTTTGTAAGTAACCCACATCAAATCTCAGTTATAAGATGCATTTTATTATTCATCAAAGAAGGTTTGTTAAAGAAGTACAGAATATTTTAGCCAAAGTGTGTGTTGTTTTTTTCTGGCTTAAATTATGATTTTTTGGTGGGAAGTGAAGGATATTTCAGTGAGAGAAACTGAATGATGAGTTGCACTGTAAATGCTTACATGACTGAAAATAACTCAGTCCTTTACAGTGGAAATTATTTAGTAATGTTTGCATCTGTGTTGAATGCAGCAAACACAAGACTGCACGAGCGATCAGCGTTGAGCCAGACATGGTCACCAGAGGATACGAACAACGCTTTCGAAGAAAACTTAAATAATAAATTTATCAACGGAGATGGTATTTCAGCTGATATCCAGATGCACAGTCCCAGATTTCCATCAAGGAAACCCCTTGTGTCTGGCACAAATGTTATGTCTAAGGTATGAATTATAGATATCTATAGAGTTAGAGGTATCATTGGATGACTTTGCCAACTGTGCTCCTTATTCAATATGGTATAGATAGACTCTTAATAGTTTCAGACTATATAAAAGAGTGGTGATATTGCAATTGCTTCCCTTTTAATTCATACAATCTGCCTGTCAAACCCCTCTCATAGGAGTTGGCCAGCTGATTCCCGTCCATGCTTATTATCCATTGAGCACAGCACCCATTTGGACTGGGTTTCTTTTTAGCCTATCAAATATCTAGTCTCAGTTATTCCACGGAATAGAAGTGGTAGAAAATGAAGCGGATTTTAATGTCTTTCTCTTAAGTTTTCCTGACCTATAGCCTTCATCTTAGAAGCCAAACCAGCAGCAGAGGGGTTGGTAGCACACCAGCCTGTCTATTTCCCCCACTCCCAAGGATTTTTCTGCATTCTTTTGAATGGCCAGGCCTCAAAACCTAGAGACGGTCATTCATCATCTATGCAAACTAAAATAACGTGTCAGAATAGAAACTGGACTTGTGTGTTCCCAGGCTGTTCCGGTCTCACCAGCGAACGCTGTGGAGTCTACAAGTGTGTCTACTCCAAGTACGGGCATATCAAAGAGTGACAGTGGTAAGAATGAACTTGCATGTTAAGGCTTTATTTTAATTCAAAAAGGTGTGTAGATTTTCTTTCTGATTGAAAGCAAAGACAACAATCGTATCCATTTTGATGATGATTGGTTTTATAGCAAGTCTCATGAATTGTGTTTTCGGAACATTGGCTACAAATATGAAAATGGTGCACAAATAGTTTTGGAGGCTGACTTAGTACTTCAGATTATCTTTCCAATTAATGCATTCCACGGATTCTTAGAAACAGTCCCCTTTCCAAATATATTCAACAACATCTGCAGTTGTTCCTACCAATATGTTCAATGATGACAGATTAGAAATGGCTGCTTAATAACAGCAAATTAGTTAAGTTAAATTCGTGTCCTGGTAGTCCTTGACTCACAACCCAATTGGGCCCCACGTTTCTGTTGCTCAGTGAGGCATTTAAGTGAATTTTGCCCCATTTTATGACAGTTGTTAAGTGAATCACTGCAGTTGTTAGTCACCCAGTTGTTAAGTGAATCTGGCTTTCCCATTGACTTTGCTTGTCAGAAAATCGCAAAAAGGGGATCAAGTGACCATGGGGATGCCACAACGATTATTAAGTGTGAAAAATGGTCATAGGTCAGTTTTTTCAGTGCCGTTGTAACTTCAAAATGTCACTAAACAGATAGTTGTAAGTTGACGACTACCTGTATTCTGTTACTCCGTGCAATGCACAGAGTTCTAGAATCTAGCCACTTGAATCCAAAAGTTGTTTACTGTTATTTAATTCAAATGCAGCATGAAGGCTGATCGCACATTTTTAAGCACGTCGTTGCTCATAAGCTGCAGAGGAAAGGGCTGGCCTTATTTTAGCAAGGGACACGTGTTTCATGGAGTTACTTGTGACTTATCATGGAGTGAGTGTGGTCATAATTGATTGCAATGTGCTTTTTGTTGTACTGTGGAGGTGAAGACAAAGAATTGAGCAGAAACGACACATCTCGACCTAGCAGTAAGAAGGTTCGGTTTTCAGAAAAGCAGAGCTTGGAAATCTTTGATGAAAGCAAACCACCCATTACACCTATGGGAAAAGGCCATTCCTTTCCCAGCTCCCTTCGTTCTGCTCTGAAGAAAACACCAGTCAAAATCATGTCAGAAGGTTCAAAGGTTGGTGTTTAATTATTAACTGCACGTTTATTTTCCTCTCGCAAATCTTCAATAAATACCTTGAAGTCAATTAAAGAGCCTTCTTCAGGTGAATAGAATGGAATGGAATGGAATGGAAAATCGAATTAGAATGGAATGGAATGGAATGGAATAGAATAGAATAGAATAGAATAGAGAATGGAAAATAGAATTAGAATAGAATTAATAGAATAGAATAGCCCCCCCCTGCTCTAGCAGGAGAACCTATAGCGAACTTATGGCACGCGTTCCAGAGGTGGCACTCAGAGCTCTCTCTGTGGGCACACATGCCGTTGCCCAAGCCTCGCCTCCCCTGCAACCCCCTCCTCACCAGTAGCCCCCCTGGAGGAGAGTCGCCCCTGAGCCTGGCCCACACGAAGCAGCGCAGCCAAGGACATGACAGCCAGGCAATGTAGAAAAGACTCTGCCCTCACACCCCATCGCGCACAGTTGATGCTGCGGGGCGCAGGCAGAGGGCGTGGCCACCATGGCGCTGCTGGGCTGCCTGGGCGATCTGTGGCGGGCTCTGGAGGCGGTGAGTGGCCCTGCGGGCAGGTGGGGCAGGAGTTAGGGTGGGGGCGGAGCTGGGGGTAGAATGGGGGCGGGGCCAGTTTTTGGGCACCCGGTCTCTAAAAGGTTCACCATCACTAACCTATACCATCTCAGACAGGTGACTGTGTAGTCTCTTCTTAAAAGCCTCCAATGATGGAGCGCCCACGATTTCTAAAGACAAGCCGTTCCACTGGTTAATTGTCCTCACTGTTAGGAAGTTTCTCCTTAATAACTTGATGCTTGACAGGTTGCTTTCTTCTTAAAGGATCTTCAAGGATCATCAGATAAAATGGCCACACTGATACGGACTGGATCTTCTGATCCTGAAGGTGAAGATGTGTTCCTTTTTTTTTTTTAACAATTTGTATTTTAGCATCGGTCTGCTAGAGAACCAGACTCTAAATATTAGTGCTGATATATAAAACTCTAAACAGCTTAGGGTCAGGTTCCTGAAGAGTGGTTTTTTTTTTTATTTTACTTTTTATTTATTGCGTACTACCTTCATTTCCTTTGGCAATTGAAATGTCTGACTGATTAAATAGATAACTCTATCTGCATACCAGGGAATCTGCCCTCTGCACAGTAACTTAGAAACTGCTTTTTGGCGGTGATAGTTTTGCAGCAATATTTGTCTCACAGAACAGCCTCTGTTTTGTGTTGTGCTGCACCATGTGCATGCAGTATGTACCATGTGTGTTTGTGTCAGTTTTGACTCCTGGAGACCATCTGACAAAACTCTGCAGATTTCAGAAGTGGTTTGCCCTTGCCTTTTTCCTAGAGTTTGGAAAGAGTGATTGGCCCAAGGTCACTCAGATGGCTGCATGCCTAAAGTGGGACTAGAACTCACAATTTCCTGGTTTCTAGCCTGGTGCTTTAACCATTATCCCATACTGCTTCTCATATTTGCCTTCGGCATCTATTAAACTTTATCTTCTTAGGTTGTTCTTTCCTAGCTATTACCGCTATGTAGTTTTTGCATTCTCTTATTTCCTTATTTAAAAACTGCTTTTATTTCAAACTGCTCTTGGATTTTAAAAATAAATGCTTCATGCCTATAATAAAGCAATTACCATACATGTTGCTAATATAAGAGCCAAAGATTTGTGCCTAACTTAACTTTTGTTCATCTTTAGAAAGAAAAAATAATTCTCCTGACCATCAGGCTCCTTTGATTAGAACCACTCGAAACTCTGCTAAAAAGAAGGTATAACTAAAAAGGAATATTTCATAAGTTGATTAACAAACATAAATGAACAGCTTTGCTGCAAGTTTCCATTCACTTTACAGATACCTGTTTTTGAAATAATTATTTTCACCATGGCTATTTGGCAAATGCTTAATAGATGAGAATATGAAATCTATTGCACATCTCTTCTGTTTTGAAAAATCCAAGTTGCGTGGTATTATTTCTGTTTTTATAGTTCTGTATATAGGATACAATTTCTGTATGGTAGCAGACCCTGTTTTTTAATATAGATATTTCCCAATAGTGTGTAAAAGGAAAAAATCTTGCAACCAAAACTGAAGCCCAGAATCAGCTTAACCAATTGCAGAAAGCCAAAACTTCAACCAAATCCCCCAAAAATCTGGTAAGTAATTTACATTATAGATGTATGTAGTTTATAGCCATTTCTTTGTTTGTTTGACTTATTTGCTGTCCATTTTTGCCCAAAGGTGGCTCTCATAGTGGCATTTATGGTGGTTGGTTTCACACATTGTCCTAGTTCAGAATTTTTTAAAAATACATTTGTTAAACACTTTATTATTTGTTTGTTTACATCCCATCTTTATCATTTTTATAAGTAACTCAAGGCAGCAAACATACCTCACGCTCCTTCCTCTTCCTGTTTTCTCCACAACAATAAACCCACGAGGGGACTTGGACTGGGGGTCACGCAGCCAAATTTCATGCCTTAGGTGGGACTAGAATTCTCAAGTCTCCTGGTTTCTAGCCTTAACTGCTAGACTGAACTGGCTTTCTATAAAATATCAACTCTATACATTCTATCACTTAGCAACTGTTCAAAGTTACAACAGAGTTTCTCCCCCCCCCCCAAGTTACTTATGACCTAGTTTCACAGTTCTGACTCCGGGCAAGGAGGACCCCGCCCCATAGTCACGTGACTACATTTTGGGCACTCGATAAGCAGCCCACATTTATGGCTGTTTGCAGTGCCCTGTGGCCACTACAATTCATGACATTTTTGTCAATAACCAGCGTTTAATTCCGATTTAGCAAAAAACGGTAAGCATAGGAACTGTCTTGAGGGACCATTTCACCTCACTGGGATCGACCCATACCACTTGAGCCGGCAGAGGAGGGATGCTGCAGATCTGGTCAGCCCGATAATTCCGGCTGGCAGGATCCAGGAGGAGGGCCTTTTCTGCTGTGGCTCCTGCCCTCTGGAACGTCTTGCCCCGTGATGTGAGGTTGGCCCCAAGCCTCCTATCTTTTCGTGGCTCAGCGAGTCGGGCTGGAGCCCCAGTGGGGGAGCAGCACAATGGAGGTGGTTGATTGAATAATAACAGATCCCACCTCCCCACCACCACTCCAGCCCCACCCTCCCCATGTGTCTTTGGTTGTAAGATTTGATTTTAACTTTTTATACTTTAGCTTAGAAGTAACTGTAAGCTGCCCAGAGTTACCCTACGATAAGCTGGGTGGCCAATAGTTTTTATAAATAAATAAATCATAAGTGAATAATAGCAACTAATGGGTTCACTTTACGACCGCCACGTTCACTTCACGACCACCGTAAAAGAAGGTCATACTAATTGCCGGGCTCAATTACGGTTGTAACTGGAGAACTACCTGTATTACCAATATTTAATATCTTCTGTTATTATCTATATCCTTTGCTGCAATTCAAGTCAGCTGGACTGCATGTGATACTCATCCACATTGTGTTAAGGTTAAAAAGAGAAGAAAGCAAAATAAAAACCCAGGCCACTTCATGGCCTGATTTCATATGTAAATTTGGTTTCTGAATCCATAATGAGAAAATATTGGCAATCTTGAGCATTGGATTTCTGGGCTGTCTTCCCATTTATTTTCAGGCTGCCCAACCTAAAATGGTGGAGAAGAGGAGGAGGAGGAGGAGAGGGAAGAAGAAAGAGGAGCAGAAAGTATTTTATGGGCCGCGCGAGAGAGTATCGAAGAAACCGCTCTTAAGTCCGATCCTAGAAATAACAGAAAATGCCTCCTTTTGTTCCTCCTACACAAATACACCAACATTAAAAGTTTCCACCTCAGGTACGTAAAGTTTTCGGGCTGCCTTTCGTCACCTTTTCTTTATCTGGTGGAGTAACAAGGCTCCTTCCGTTGCCAAGTTCAAATAGATCACAGGTAAAGTTAAAATAATGAAATGTCAGAGGCAGGAACTAAAATTCTGTCCGATGTGTGTGGAGGTTATAATTGATTTCAATAGATCTATTACGGATGACAGTTTACACCTACGATAAATAGGAATGTCGTCTCTCTTTTGAGCAGTTTTTTTTTCCAAAATGCATCTCCTTTCTCATAAGTATCATGGATTTATTTAATTTAGCAATGAAAAGAAAAAAAACAATTGTGCATTATACGTGTAGGTAATGGAGATTTCATAATATAAGTGAATTTATTTTGCCCAACAAGATCTTAGGATGTGTGGGCCAGTCTATTTAAAATAGTTTAGCCTAATGCAGGGGTGGGGAACCTTGGCTCTTTTATGACTGGTGAACTTCAACTCCCAGACTTCCTCAGCCACCATGGCTCAGCTTGGACCCTCTCCCTTTCTCCTCAGCATGGCTGGCTCAGGAATTCTGGGAGTTGAAGTCCACGAGTCATAAAAGAGCCAAGGTTCCCCACTCCTGACCTAATGCATTACAGGTGGTCCTTGACTTACGAGCACAATTGGGGCCACAACTTCTCTCACTAAAGAATGCAGTTGTAAAAGAGTTATCATGTGGCCAAGCCTGATTTTACCACCGATTTTGATGTAGTCATTAAGCAAATCTGGCTTCCTCTATTGACTTTGCTTGTTGGAAGTTGTCTGGGAAGTTGTCTATGACAAATCACCACTCGCTGCGGGACAAGAGTTAGGCTAATGTCAAAGAAAAGGTGGAATAGAATCATTAAAGAAAGGATGCCGAAGGAGGGGCAGAATGAAATGCGAATGGCAAAAATTAAAATATTGTTTTTTATTTATTTTAAATAGTTAAATTGAACTGTTTAAATTGTCCCAGGGCGAGTTGTCATAGCAGAAAGTGGGCCATGAAGAGTTGTCCCACTCTGATCTGGGAAGGTTGCAAATGGAGATATGTGTAATTCCACTGCAACTGTCATAAATACATGCCCAGAGTCCAAATCACAATAACATGACTGTAAGGACACTGCAACAGTCATTAATGCGAGAACTGGCTTTTTCCAGCACCATTGTATGGTTGCTAAACATATGGTTATAAGTCAAGGACTTCCTGTATATACTTTACATTCACTACTAAATGAATGTCAAGTACAGAATGACCAGGACTGCTTGCCTATGATAATAAAATATTTCAAAATGAGACAGTAAACAAGAAAGACAGGAAGCTATTTCAAAAAGGGGCCGATTGCAATGAACTGGCTTTGGTAAAAGAACAAGACTATCTAACACGTTAAACTCTCGTGCAATTTCTTAAGAAGTAAGAAAATAGCTAGTGGTGAAATTAAAATAATTTTATAGCTGGAAGGAGGATATTACAAAACAAAATGTCTTTAAAGCAATGGGGTTGAGTACCTTGTGCTAAATCTAGACTAGCACAGCTAGATGAAATCACATTCTCACTTGTTGGTTTGAAACTTTGTTTTAGACGACTCTTTAAGTGACCTGCATGCTACGTTTATAGATGAAATGGCTGAAGACAAAAAGAGTCCACCTCATGCTATAGGAGTGGACGGCCACGATCAACATTCTAGCCCTCAGGAAGAAGATGGCGTATCGAGTTCATTCGTGCAGCTTCCAGAACTGGCTCTGAACAATAGAGAACAATGGCTTCCTGGATACGTGCCTGAAAAAATCTCTTCTGAAAAGCTGAAGAGTTCTTTAAATGGAAATGAACAGGTGGTAGGAACGGGCTATCTGTCGAGTAGGACAGCAATGCAGCTGGAGGAGTTTCTGAACATCTGTGGACCTGGTAAAAATATCGAAGCTAAAGAAAATTCATTTTTCACCGTAGATTTTGCAACGGAGGCAATGAGTGAAAGCAACGAGGTGAACTTTGAAAGGAACCCAAGAAACAGCAGAAAATCGAGGGGAGACTTTCTGAACACGGAGGGCGCCCAGTCAAACAATCCTGGAAACAGCACTGGCGTTCCTGGAGGAAACCTGGAAGGCTTGCCACCTTGTTCTTGGACAGCAGATGATATTGCAGCTTTAAACCATTTTGGGGAAAACAGGAACGTAACAAAAAGAGTAAGACGCAGCATGAGGGGTCAGAAAGATGCAGAAGCTGAAGGCCTTGCCTGGGTTGAGGTCCCTGCCGCTGATTTAAGTCAAATCCCTCTACAGTCCGCTTGCAAAGTCCCCAAAAGGCTGTCATCTGCTGGCTCTCAAGGATCAAAACACGCTGCAAGTAGCCCTTGTGGACCAAGAAGAAGGAGCTTCTGCGCATTGGATGCTGAAAAAGACCAACGTGTCACCTTCCGCGTTCAGAGGAATAGAAGAGCCAGTCTGGGTTACAAAAGTGACCACGGCTATCGAAAAACCTTTGAAATGAGAAAATTATTGAAGGATCAACCGATTCTTCAAATTAAGATTGATGCCTAAATGTCCTGTATTTTTTTAAGCAAGGCATAGACCTTTGACTTCTTCCCTTTCCATTTTTTTCCCCAAAAGGCAGTAAAGAGAAAGAGTGGGTGAACTCAAAACAAACAAACAAAAAAAAAACAGAGAAAGGAATGCCAATCAAATAGGTTCTACTCTGAAGTAATTGGAAATTTAAGATTGCACTTAGATGTCAAGGCTGATCCGTTGTAGGACGCGTGGTTCTCATTACCGACTGTTGAATGGAGTTAAAACCAAGCAGATATCACTGGAAAGGGGTCTCCAAACATTTTGAACTGGACCTCATTAAAAGTACTAAAATAACATCTTGGGTGCTACAGGGCAACGCCAAATGTTCTGTCTTCCTCCTTTCTCAAGACGTGTAGCTGTGCATGAGTTTTATGCAGCTGTAGTGACGGGTGTTTCTAAACACTTTTTTTTAAAGTGATTGGACCTTTAACTATATCGCCACACTGGGAGTTTTGTTTTTGCTTTTTTTTTTTAAAGAAATACTAGTGAAATGATAAGATTCAGGTAAATACAGGCATATTTTAATCCTTTTCCAAGCAGAGCTGGTCTGTGGCAATCAAAGCGGAGATTGTCGTAATTGTCTTTAGCATCAGTTTCAGAAATTAAACTCCCCGTTTAACGCTACCCTTGACCTAGCAGACACCCAAGAAGACGACACTTGGATTAAATTGCAACCAGACTGAAGAACAGTAACAAGCTAAAGTGTGATGAAGTATTTACTGGCTAAAATAGAATGAAGCAAGGGCATGTTTAGTGGAGAAATTAACTTACACTTTCTGAGCTGATCATTCGTTGTAGATGAGTTTAGCTATGCTTGGCCCATTTCCCTCCACTTTTTTGGTGTATTCTTGTTTCTTGTTTTCTTTTTTTTCTTTTTTTTTCTTTTTTGCATCATCTAGTATCCTGAAGGCGATTTCTAGAAGAAGAATCTTCATTATGCAGACATGAGATGCATTGAGAAATAAAATGGCAGGTTGGCATTGAGCCTCATTTGAGCAAGATATGCACGCAGCTCACTAGGGGTTTAAAGCGTAACAAAGAGACCTTTACTAGATCTGAGGTTCTTTTTGCCTGACTTGCTATGTCAGTGAGTCTTTCTCTTTTAACACCTATCATTTAATACGAAGAAATAAAAACAAAATCCACATAATCCTTATTTCTTTGGGGACAGTGGCTAGAAGAGATTTCTGCTGGAATTTCTAAGAATATTTTTCTCGGTTTGGAAGCATGTATATGCGAACGTACATTAAGAAATTACCGTATATGCCGGCGTATAAGGCGACTTCCGCAAGCGTTAAAATCGGCGCCAAAGACGGGGGTCGTCTTATACGCTGAGTCGTTTTATATGCCGGAAATACTGGTAGTTTCCGGCGTATAAGACGACGTTCTAGGAATGCGACTCGGCGCCAAAGATGGGGGTCTTATACGCCGGGTCGCCTTGTACGCCGGCATATACGGTATGTCGTATACACAGAATTTTTGTATGGCATTCATAATGTCGCTGCACATGGCTACAGTGTAACAGGAGAGCAGGCAACCTACAACTGCCTAAGGTTTTGGATCAATGCTTCTCAACCTTAGCCATTTTAAGATGTGTGGACTTTAGTTCCCAGAATTCTTCAGCCAGCATGCTGGCTGGAGAATTCTGGGAGTTAAAGTCCACACATCTTAAAGTGGCTAAGGTTGAGAAATACTGCTTTTGATTATATTGCCTTAAATAGCATACCCACTGGGGTAGACCTTAGGATTGCTTGAAATATCAGTAAAATATCCTATTGGGCATGTTGCTTTGTATATAAGGTTAGCAAAGATATAGCTCCACAATTGCCTGTATAGATAGAGTATGTCTTCTCCCTTGCTCTTCTAGAGGTGATATAAGGCCATTCTTGTGGCACTTATGATCAAAGTTCTTCCATCTGCTATCTTCTCATCTCCACCCTGGTTCACTGCAATTGTACACACAGCTGAATGGGCTACTGTTTTTATTTACCAGTCCAGGAAATTGGGTAGAGCTTATAGCTGCCTTTAGAATAGTAAAACCTATTAGTAAAACCTCTTGATTTGTCATTTCTAGGTTGGGGGGAGGAATCTAGTTTTGCTATTACCAGTTCAGAAGACTTGGGAAGGATATTTGCCTTTATAAAAAATAGCTTCTGTATATTTTAGTTTTGTAGGTTAAGCAGTCAATGACCCAGAGCCCTTTATTGCTGCCAGAAGACACAAAATAAATACGTTTCATTTCAAAGCATGGTGTAACATTCCCGTTCTGATGGTCTGAAATGTGCATTACTTTAAATCATTTCACCTTTTGCATTTCGGTTTTATGGATGCTGTGAAACGCTCTGGACTGTTTTTGTACTGAGGAGCAGTAGGTAAAAACCTGGGTGGGTGGGGGAGAGAGGTTCACGCTGGGTATACATGATTGAATGATAGATTGGGATCCATCTATCAGTCTTGATTTGCTTCTGTGGGTACACCCACCTTTGGCATCCAAAGACAGCCTGCTAATATATCAACAAAGCAACGAACGCAAGATGATTTAGGGGTGGTTAACATCTATTGTTTAGCTCTTCAGTCCAAGTAATAATTGAAAGCTAGAGGCAAAATTAGGACTTGAAGCCTAAATTAAAGAGTAAAGTAAATTTCACTGAACACTTAGCAACTTTTGGATCCCTTTGGTTTGAAAATTGGCAAGAGGTTATTCATTTCTGAACTGTGTAAGTAAAACATCATCCAGTGACCGTAAGCCCCTGCATCTTTGAGAAATGAACAATAACATGCTGGCTGGGGAATTCTGGGAGCTGAAGTCTACCCATTTTAACATTGCTAAAGTTGAGAAACTGCTTTACAGCTTCTGAAGGCTCTCCGCTCCCTATTGTGGATTTGGAGTCAAAAACATCTGCCTCCCATTTGGAAAATCTGGATGAGTGCCAGAAGGGCAACATGAATGTTGAACATTAACTGTTTCAAGCGCAGTCTCATTTTTCCTCTACTGGGAGAGAGATTTATACGCAGGAAAACTTGTACTGTACTACCGAGGAAAAGTTGCTAACCTCAGGGTCACCAAGGCTAAATTCAGCTAACAATACACAGTTGAAACTCATAACATGTATATGTTTGCATATCAGCATGTTGACATGCAACCTTGCTTCCATAGAGTTGATCAAAAGCTTTCCTGGAATTTATAGCGGCCTCTGGTTTTATTATTAGTATCTCCAGTTAAACAGATTTGGATAGAGATTGGACTTTATCTGCTATTGGATATTTGATTTGGAAACAATTCATCAGAGCATTAAGGCAGAATTTTCCCATTCCCTTCTGCCCTTTGCCTTTTATCCTTTCAGATGCCAGTGCAATTAGAATTGAACAGAATATGATGTCTATATATTGACTTTAGTATAGCACGCTTAACTAGCCAGCTTTTTAGAAAGTGGTTGGACTTTATTTGTCCAAATAATGAAAGAAAGATAGATAGATAGATAGATAGATAGATAGATAGATAGATAGATAGATAGATAGATAGATGTGTTCAGATTAACTTATAAAAATGTGTAGAAAAGAAATTCCATTGTATGTACAAACCTATAATATAATGACAATCTGACTCTCTTTAATGCATCATTAAACTGTTTTTATCAGTTTGGAAATGATGCCATCCTGCTTAGAGGGTTGAGGGGCTGACCAGACAACTATCAAGGTAATTTCAAAACAAGAATGGGCTGAATCTTATTGTTGCTTTTGAAATTCTGAGATACAGCCTAGTACAGGAAAAAAATCTAGTACAGTATAACTTAGTATAAACCTAGTACAGAATAGCTCACATGCAGAGTTCTATGCAAAGGACAACACTGATCCAGTGCAAGACTTATGTAATACGTTACACAAAACAAAGCTAGCATATAAATTCTATTTTCCCCAAGCATTGTTATTTAGCAAGCCAATTTAGCATAACCAGAGCCCAGCTTTTTTAGGAGGTGCTGCTTGAAGTCTCTCTTAATTTATACCTGCAATTGTTAAACAGGCCAGCAGTAGAGAAACCTAAGACCATCTTCCACTCGGCTCCTAAACAGTTGTAGTGACTTTAGGTCAGTCCCTTTCTCTCAACCCTAACCCTACCCAACAAGACTCTTGGTTCTAAAATGAGTTGGAAACCTTTGGGTATCTACTTGAGTACCCCAAGAGAATGCGGGAAAGAAATGTCATAATGATTAAATAATTCTAACGTTCTTTCTCTCCCTCCACGCTCTGTGCAGACCTCTTGTCTTTTCCAATGTCAGAATTCGCACTCACGCTGATGTCTGAAGACTGCTTTAACTGCCCCACAGGGCTTAGGGGAAGGCATAACTTTGCCTTTGACACTTAGACCAGAAGGTTAATGTATTAGTTTTGTAATTAAACCTTGTAAATTGTGCATAACAGAGCAATTAACTACTTGAGCTAGTCTTGGGAGAACTCGAGGGAAATCTAGTATGTGATGGAAATAAAAATATGAAACATATTCCCTAACTGAGACCCAGAAAGTGGGGGGACTCTCAGTGTTGGTCTATTTCCAGTGACCTCTTGCCTCCTCACTTCCTGCCCCCTGCACAGATTTGAAACTGGTCAGCCTTTTTCTGTTTTGTTTTTTTTTTTTCGGAAAGCCAAAAAAGACAGTTATAATGAATGACTTTTATTGTGCAATATTTCAATAGCGTTTGACTGCTTTCGGATGGAATGGAAACCGTTTCTACCCTACGAGGCTGCCAAAACAAACAAAACGGAGGTCCCCAGCCCTCGATGTGTCCTTCACTCAAACTGCCAGGAGTTGCAGTTCTACGCTCAGGCTAGATTTGGTGTTGGACATTTTCAGCCCCAAACGTTAAAAGCCAAAGAAAATATAGGGCAGGGGGAGAGATTATATTTATCCTCTGCAGGTGAAACTCAGATAAGATCAAGACTCATAAAGTGCTTTTTGGAACGCTTTCAATTGGTAGGGTTTATTGAAATGAGCCCCGGCTTAGAAGGTCCTTTTCTAAAACACAGTTTGAACGTCTCTCCTTGATGGCCTATAAAGCCAAGCAGAGAATCAAAGTTCTAAATTTTAGGGAGTCCTTATGCAGCCAAAATTTCCATAAACGTTTAAGTTGGGCAGATTTGACAGTTAAACACTCTGACGGCAATCAAATCCCCTGATAGATGCTAGTTTCCAAATGCGACTTTGTTTTAAATGCCCTCCTTGTGAATAGTCGTTAAGGCTTTTTCTGCCAGCATAAATCACTTTGGTGAAGAACGTCTACGGTTCAATAATCATAAAAAGGTATTGCGCAATGCAACATCGGCTTTTATGGCATAACAACTGTATTTATTAATAAAAACTTATAAGCTTTTGGCAGGGAGCCTACAAGGGCATTTAGGCACTGTAAAAAAGGGATGCCAAAAAACTATCCACATTTTAGGTAAATGTGTTTCTAAGACAAATAGCTCACCTTCCCAATACAATCTCCTTGGGAAAATAGAAAGTTCAGCAACTTAAATGATTTTAACCAAAAGAAAAAAAAATCTTAATTTCACCTAATAATTTAATCTCCAAATTTGTATGATGGAAGATACTGTAGTGTAGGAGATGACCGGGCTGAGCTGAGGGAGGGGTCAAATGCGTCATCAGTCATGAGTCCCATCGCACCCACAAGAGATCAAAGTCCAGCCCACCTTGAATTTCTTTCTATTCTTAACTCCTGCTAATTTCCCTTGACTGTTAGTAGTTCAGATTCTTGTAGAGAGTTTCAGCTTACAATAAATCTTTATACTCATTGGAACTGTCTGGATTTCCCGATTTCGCTGGTCTTTGATAGGCAGTGCAAGCAAGTATTGGCATGTGCTCAGAACCTAGCCTCATCTGAATGTTTGGGAATTCCCCTTTAAGTTTAATTTCCATGGCCAATTTGGAAAGGAGGAATTATTATGGCAAGGTAATAAATCAGAGTGTATTTCTCTAAATGCTCATT